CTCTCTCTCTATATATATATATATATATATATATATATATATATAGAGAGAGAGAGTTTACTCTAAAGTTGGCCTTACAGTTCGCCTGATTGTAAGCTATCCAAAAACTTTGGATTGATATATGAAAAGTCCTTCATGTAGAAAGTCTCCTTTTGAGAGAGGAAGTTCACCTGATGATGAGGAGTGAATTCCATTTCGGTAAATTCAGAATCAAAATTTTCGGCAAGAATAGGATCAGTGATGATTGGTAAAATCGGGGGCAACAATGCATCCCCCCCATCTTCCCCTTCCCCGTCATCATCTATCATTTCCAATTTCTTCCAATCCACGTATCTAAAGAAATTATGACTCTTGAATTTTTCCCATTCTTTATCAACATTGAACCTCTTATCTGGATCCACTTGTAATAACTTGCAAAGTAGATCTTTTGCATCAGTACTCAAATAAAATGGGAATTTCAAATTCTTTTTGAAATTCTTAATTTTCGTCAAAACTTTATTTGCATTCAGTCCAGGAAATGGAGGCGAGCCTGTTAACAAATCAAATGCGACACATCCTAAACTCCACCAATCCACAGAATAGTCATATTCTAGGCCCATGATGACTTCAGGTGCCATATATTGTATTGTGCCCGTCATGGAGTTCAATTTGCGGCTTCCCAGTCCTTCATCGTCGGATGCATCAGGAGCAACTTTGCTCAAACCGAAATCTGTCAATACCAAGTTTCCCTTTGCGTTCAACATACAATTTTCTGGTTTCAAATCACGATAAATCACTTTAACTCGAGTATGCAAATAGTGCAATGCCAAACTGCATTGAGCTAAATAGTATGCTGATTTTCGCTCGCTCATGAATTTCTCCATGGATAGATGATGAAACAATTCACCACCTTGTAAGTATTCCAATATAAGGTATAGTTTATTGTTATCTTGAAAAGCATAATAAAGCTTTACTATATTTGGGTGGTTGACAGTTTCCAAAATTTGTTTCTCACTCAATGTTCTTTGGTAATTTTTGACATCTATTTTTGGTGGTTTCAAGGAAGAAGAAGAAGAGGAGGAGGAGGAGGAGGAGGAGGGGGAGAAGGAATCTCCCTCTTCGCTTTTGTGTTTGTCCTCTTTGTCTTGATTAATGATTATTGACGCTTTAAGCAACTGTTTCTGTGCAAATAACCTACCCGTGCGTATTTCTCGAACAAGCAAGACTTTCCCATATGAACCTTTACCTAACACTTTTATCGGCTCGAAATCAGATAGTTTAGGTTTATAAGCAGAAATCGACTCGGTATTATTCCCTAGTGATTTATTCGATGATATGTAATCATCCTGTCCAATTTTGATCTCATAAGAAGAAACTATGGAAGACTTCCGACGTGATCTATTGTATGAATGTAACTGGGGTATACCCAATCCAGGCACTTGCAATTGGGTTTGATCGATACGAATAGGTATACTTTTTGATGGGAGATACTCTAAAGTATTTCCCTCTTCTTTGTAACTCTCTCTTGTGACTGCTTCATTTAGAAACTCCTCGTCACCTTCATTCTCGTCTATAGTGTCTATCAATTTATAATTCAATTGTACTAAAGGGCTATCTTGTGCGGAAAGATCATTTGATTTTAATTGCAATTTGGAAAACCCACTTCCAAGCAGTTGCTCGTAGCCATCCATATCGAAAATATCAGCCATGGTAAATGCGAGATGTATATATTATGTGTAGCCTAAATGTTGTAGTTGTTGTTGTTGTTGTTTAGTTTTTTCTCTCAATGGAGGCCCTTGTATATTGAACAGTTTTCTTGATGTTATTTTGTGAAGTTGGTTAACACCTCAAGAATAGGTCTACACGGTTACCATTATCTGTAATGCTATGCTGTGGAAAACGATTGAAAACACCAACATCTACTTGGTTCAATATATAAATTGGACAAAAAAAAAATTAGAGAGAAGAGTTTAAGGAAACTCGGGTAAGAGGTTGTTGCTACCAAATGTTGCATTCGAAAATAGAGATGTGACATGAATATATGGCTGGGCACGTGGAGAAAGCGGATGTTGACGGACCATTCTCAAGAGCTAAAATCGGCTCATAGCGGGGGGAAAAGAGAGAGGGGGGGGGGGGTATGTGCATGTGTGTGTGTGTGTGTGTGTGTGTGGAGGGCGAGTGGAGGGCGGGTGCTCAAGTGCTGATTTCAGAAGGAGGACGAAATAAAGACATCAAAATACAAACCTAAATACTTTTTCTAATATAAATATATAATACAAACCTCTTCAAAACGTGGATAAAATCTCTTGGTCTGGGAAATAACAAAAGTGGCACTTGTTTTTCATAAACTTTTAAAATTGAGCTCTAATGTACAATTTCTTCTTCATTTGAACATAATCCAATAATAATTCATCGTTATTGAAAACCACTTCCTTTGTATTTCCAGTCTCATTAAAAGAAGCATTATCAGCACTAATACTCTTTTTCAAAATAATAGGACTCAATCTAGAGTTTTTGAAAAAAATACTCAACTTGATGTCATTAATGTTAACGTGTTTTTTTCTGGTCATGATTTTAAAAATTATCACATTGATCAACTCATTGATATTGCGTAATCTATCCTTGCGCAATTTCAACGCAATTAAATAGTTGCTTGGATCGAGATTGTATGTTTCTCCTTTTATTCCATTTTGGAAAGTGTTGAAATTTTCTTCTAGGTAAATGTTCAATCTTAGGATAGAATCTTCTTCGTTGGTCGGCAGTATCTCTGTTTCAGTTGTGGTTTTTGTAGTGTGATACGGAGATTTTCTCGGGGACTTGGACTGTATTGGAGATGGTGTTGATCTGTTGCTTTTGCTTGCTCTGTAACGGTACCCCGTTTTCGAGGATGATAATGCTATAGGGCTCAAACCTACTTCATCGTGTCCTGGAGGTGATCCACTCGCGCCACTTGAAGTTGAATGAATAGCGGGACTTGGTAAAGAAGAAGAAGACCCTCTCAAATTTACATTCTTCGAATGATGGTCAAAAGATTGCAATTGCAGAAGCGACATCTCGTTAAACGAATTTCGAGGTGTCTTAAGACCTTCAATATCAACAGTTTCTTGTCCTCTTGTTGGAGAATGTGTATTTACTGCATAACCGGTGAATAAGGAAGTATCAGTCGCGTGACTAGCGGAATCGCTCTTTACTACCCCCTCCTTCTCCTTCTCCTCCATCTTCTTCTTCTCCTTCTCCTCTTCTTCTTCTTCTTCCTCCTCCTCTTCTTCCTCTTCTTCCTCTTCTTTAACTTCTGATGGTTGGAGGGAAAGACACTTAAACCGTTTTATAGCCGGGTTAATTGAGTCGTTTGTCGGAGTAGGTGATAATGCAGTATCGAGGTGACATCTTGACACCTTAACTCTTGTTTTAGGACTTCCATCTTCACCATGACTTTTCAAACTAGAAGGTGAGTTTGGTGTTTCTGGAATTGTTAGTGCACTTTTTGGTGATGAAGACGTATTTGAAGCAGTTCCCGAGCTACTGCTAACGTTGAAGTTGCTTTTCACTCTCCTTGATAATCGTTTAAGCAATTTTGAAGGTGATGATGTTAAAAACTTTCTCAGCGGCGAGGTAGGAGATTGGGATGCCAGATTGCTATCATACCCATTAGAGTTACCCAACTCTTTCTTTGATGGCGGGGGCTTATATAGATCAATAGTTTTATCAATTGGTGACTTTGGTGTTAACAAAGTGCTTTGCGGTCGACTTGAAAAAAGCTGGCTATTATTGTTCATACCATTTTGAGATTGTTTGAATGCGCTACTTGAGAAAATTGAGCTCACTGGTGTGGCCAATGATACTGTCAGAACTTGTATAGATTTGCGGTCATTTTCAGTCTCTAACGAGTCATTAGTATCGTCTATAGGTAATGGCGGCGTAGTATAAAGACTAATTGGTCTTGAGCTGGATAAAGTGGTGGACATATGCATTGAATAAAAAGGGGGATATGCTTAACTTTTCAGATTTTCTTTTTTTTTTTTTTGCAACAATTGGTGGATTGGTATATCAAGAAGTAAAGAATGAGGCTCTAGAGGGGAACGTGTATGTATGAGTGTCTGTATATAAGTGTTTGTGTGAGTGCCTATTATTCTGTTTATGGGCGAATATGAATAAAAAGAAGGCTTAAGCCAGAGTAAAAGAAAAAAAAAAAAAACGGATGTCGAATTTGAAATAGTTTTAGTTATATACCCAATTTAATCTTAACCCTTAGGCCTTTTAATATAAGACTTAGTTCAAAGTCAAAGTGTGAAGGGTAGTTGCTCTTTACACCAAAAGGAATTGCTTTTCTTTCACGTTACTCTGTCTACTCCTCTTCGTCCCCCCATGAGTTTCTTATTTAAAATAAATTTAAAAAAAAAAATAAAAAAGAAACTAAAAAAGAAACTTAAAAAATAAAAACTAATGAGTTCTTTTCTGGAAATGAAAATTTATTATAAACTTTTCAAAGTGCAACAACAAACTGCTAAACCCCACTCGAGAAGAAAAAACCAGAGCCACGGAAGACGACCACCATAATAACCACAACCAGGAGGCAATTCAGGAACGTTACTTAGTGGTAGCATTGGTGGACAAAAATAAAAATAAATAAAAAAAAAAAGAACAAAAAGAAAAGAAAACTTGACACTGAGAGAAAGTGCACATTTATCTTCACGTGTAGGCTGAAATAACGCTTTTAGTGTCTGTATTAGTAACATTAGTAGCAATATCAATTCTTACAAAAAAAAACATTTTTTTTTTATGTTTTCATTGGTACCAGCATTTGTTCATTCTTCTCTGCGCTTTGAATTGAGTGTTAGCCGTGTTTTCTGCTTGGTTTGTTTGTTAGTATCTATCTCTATGCAAGAGAATACATTTCCCATACATATTTTCTGTTATCGGTAATTTTTTTTTTTTCTAAATGCATTATCACAATATGCAAAAGAAACCTAATTGTTTCTCTTGCATTGTTTTAATTCTTTACATTAATTGACATATGCTTCTATATTAGTTGGTAGAAGCAGAAGGAGGGGAGATAAAAATAAAAGCAAAAAAAAAAGAAGAATGAGGGGGGACATTAAAGACTCCTCCTACCTTTGTCAAGTTAAGGTTTCCATACTCTTCTTCCACACCTTTAAAGTTGTAAGAAGTTTACTTACTCTCTGTGGGAACAATCAAACAGGGGTGGTCTGATCAAAGTTGCATTATAACAATGCTTTGAACTCTACATATCAAACAATGAAAACTAATGGTTATAACCTACTTTTTGAATAGTTAAAATTTGCAATGACTTAACTAGATTTAGGTTATTAGCCAGCTAAATTTGTTGCCCCAAAAAACACAAAAGCTCAATGGTAGTGATTATTAATGTGAATCTCTATATATTATTATTATTGTTGTTTTCACATGTTTTCTCTTAAAACAAAAAAGATAAAAAAAAAAATCGTCCAGGATAAGCTAATACCCTGTGAGAGAGGGGAGAGAAAGGAAGGTTTCGAATCGTTCTATTTTGCATTATCATACATTTACGTAGATCGTTGCTTTCGTACAGAGAAACTTTTCTTTTAAAAATATGTTGTTGGCAGTGATATGCATTAACGGGCATTTAGATCGTAAATAGATCTTGATTCAGAATTGGTTACACTAAAACAAAACATTTTCTCTTACAACTGTAAAGTGTGTAACAGTACAACTGAAAGTGTACATGGAGCACAAGATGAGGGAAGAGACGTTCTTTGCCAAAGTTGCGGCTGTTTGGCACTGTTTCAATATAATCACCCCTAATTTAATATTCAATATGTCTTGTGCCTTCTAATCCTTTTTGGGAAAAGAAAAATAAGTTCAAGGGGTAAAGGAGGGGAATAGTTTCTTTTATTGTTAAAACCTCGCTCTTTGTTGTGTCATGCAGATACAATAACAACGTTTACAGAACTCAAAGAAGCTTTTAGAACTACAATCACTACAACAAACGTACGAATCAGGCACAACAAAGGGGTAGGTGAGGTACAGCAACCAACATCGGAAGTGTAGATCAGGTACAACCGAGTTTTCTTTTTCTTTTTCTTTTTCTTTTTCTTTTTCTTTTTCTTTTTTCTTTTCCAAGAGAATAGACCAGAACTCGAAGCAAATGGATTTTTAGTGGTTGGCTACAATCACGAAGCTTCAAAGTGAAACTTTCTCAAGTGGTATCTATCTGTAAATAGAGATAAAGAGTGTAATTTTTATTGCAATGCAATGTTAACACAACAGTTCCACAATTAATAACCTTGACAAAACTATTCATAGAAGAAAAAGCCATCAAAAGTATCAAGCATAATATATTTGTTGTTTTTTTTTTTTTTTTTTTTTTGCAAGCCATCCACCCTTTTCTCTCTCTTTAAAGACTAATTAAGTGACAATGGTTGAACAGCAGACTCTAGCTCGTCAATCTCATCTAGTGTAGATATCGAAGTAATGGTAGGCAAAGAAGATGATGTTTTAGTAACCGCGGCATTATTTGAAGACAATTGAACATTATTTTTGAACGAAAAAACTGAAGAATGCGGTGAAAAGTAATTTGAGCTTCTTCGTGACTTCACGGTCCTAGGTGAAGGTGAAAGAGATGATGAGATTGGTGATGCCATAAAAGTACCGCGGCCGAATGATGGTTTCTCTCCCGCAAATACTCCCTCGTGCATATTCATTGGTGTCATTGGAGTTGATGGTGTTGAAGGACTGGAGAATTGTCCACCACTGCCGTTGTTACTATTATTATTGTTATTATTGTTATTATTATTATTATTATTGATGATGTTGTTGGTGTTGGTGTTGTTATTGTTATGGTCACTAAAGTCAAAGCAACTTTCCATTTCACTTTGTATAGAGTTGTGTCGAAGTGACTTGGAGTTCAGGAGTAGTTGATGGCGGTAAGGGTGTAGGCGCTGTTGTGATAATGCTTGCTGCAAATTTTCATCTAATGGGGAACTATCTTTAGCTTCAAGGAATACCTCATTGCTTGATGATGAAGCTGGTGTTGAGTTTGGTTGAGAATAAAAGTTGTCAAAACTTTCAGGTGAGATCTCTTTCTCATCATTATTGCATAATGATTCATCACTAAACTCAAATTTTTCTTCCTCTAAAGATTGCTCGTTATACCCATCTAGCAATGAAGAGTAGCTTATTAATGTGTTTGAGCTTTCAGAAGTCACAATTGATTTTACAGCTGATGATCGAGCAGAATCAGACAGTTGGCTAGTAACAACAGGGGATGATTGCTCTGTGGAATAATTATACAACTCTGAATGTTTGTTAAGCTCAACAGCAAGTTTCAGGTTTCTACTTCTCAAAGTGTGTGATTGTCGTTTAATTGATGGTGATATAACTGGTGGGCTGATACTTCCTAAAGCAGTGGTCGACTTTGGAGAATAGTTTGTGGTAGAATAACTGTCATGAGGGCTTTGGGGAACTGGTAGTAGTGGCTCGGTTTTGGAGTATGTAAAATTGGATCTGCTTTGGTGTTGAGGTCGAGACAGAGACTGCTGTGGTTGCACGTATAACGAGGATGATGTAGAATCAATTAACTTTGAGTTTAGCGATAGGTGACGTGCAATGTTTAATGATGGAGTATCATCATCTAATGATTCAAGCAATTTGTCGGTACAAGTAATAAAATTATTCAATTGAAGTTTGATTTGGCTATTTTGTAAAGTTGTTGTTAAAGCTATAATTTCCTTGAAATATGTGTTTAGCTCAGTGCAAAGCTTTTTCAAGTGGCTAATAATTGTAGAGTTGAGTTTAGCGGGATTGGGATCTTCTGTTTTTGGTAGTTTTGGTATGTCGAAATCTCGACAATGAGCCTCTTGTACCTGTTTATCAAAAGTTGCAAACTCAAGATACGTTTTTCCTGCATAAATGATTTTTGATTCGTACTGCACTTTGATGCAATACCAGATCTGTTTAGTGTCCAAATCCTGGTAAATCTCATCAATTAAGCAGTCTATTGGATATTCATCAACATCATCAACATCATCATCATCATAATGACTATTATTATTATTATTATTATTGTTGTTGTTGTTGTTGGATGCATGGCGTGACTGTGACGGTGTCTTACGATTATAAGAGTGGAGCCACTCCAACGTAACAGGATCTAATACATCGTTCATGGCAATCTCCATATACGAAGCAGGTACAAGTCCCACATTAGAAAAGTCCTCCAAGTCACATACTTCCAACCAACCGTTACCTAATTTGTTCAACAATTTGTAAAGCTTCTTTGGTTTTATAGATAGCTCACGGTCATTTGCCGCTTCAAACTTGTACTTTGAAATCAAGATAATCTGTCTCTTGTGCGATGTTGTTTTTTGTTTAGATTCAATCTTGATATTGTCATTTATCCTTTTAGCTAATTGTATTTGGTCATACGAGGTCAATGGTCCTGAAATAACTATGTTTTTCAAATTCTTTTCAGATTTGAATTGTTTGGATCTAAGTAAACGAGTGGACATAGTTAACGAAAAATCAAAATAATATGGGAAAAAAACAAAACAAAAGGAAACAGCAAAGGGGGATAAAGGTGACAAGTACTTTGGTAGACCTTTTTGAACTTACGGTATGGTGTTTTTACTGCTACTGGTTAATGGGAATATCTAATAAATGTCTTCGATTTTGAAGAGAAGTACTCAGTTTGGTTAAATCTGATAAAAATGTGCCTTCTTTTTTGTTGTTCTTTTATCGTTTCGATTTTTGATAATTAAACTTGTTAAAATTCACACAATATAATTCTTTCACTTAGTGACAAACATTCTTTTTTTTTTTTTTGGGGGGGGCCTATAATACTTTTCATTTCTCTCTCTCTTTCTTTTTACCTTGTAAAAGTTCTTCCGCTGTGTAAGAATGCAAGAGAATTGAAATTGAGAATTGGAACCCAAACAAATTAATGCAACATCATGTACCATGTAGGACTAATTATTTATTAATAATACAAAACAAAATAATAATAATAATAATAATAATAAAAGATGAAGTATGCAAGAGTTATTGCAATAGCACAAAACAAAATAAGCATCACAGTACTGCATGTAATATACGGCATCGGATGAGTTTTTTCTTGTTTATGACGCTGAAATTATTAAATTTGGAGTAAAGCTAACTGAGAGAGAGAGAGTGGCAACTTAGGTATAGCCGAGAGAAGGGAGCAAAAAGGGCGAAGGTGAAAAGCAAAGGACAAAGGGCAAAGGGTGAAGGTGAAAAGTAAAGGACAAAGGGCAAGGGCAAGGGCAAGGGCTGAAGGGTGGTACATTTACTACAGCCAAGGAATATAAATCTAAAAAAATCAGTAGCCGCATGGCGGCCTCCTGTTTGAGTTTTAGTTGTAGTTGTAAGTAGTAGTGGTGGTGGTGGTGGTGGTAGTAGTAATTTTTCAAAGATCTAAATCATTGATGATGTTGAATCGGTGGTGTTTTGGAGATTAGTTATTGTTTTGACAAGATCAAACTTGGAATAGCCGTTAAGTTTATTGAACAGTACCTTTTTGCTTTCTCCTCTCCCTTATTTACTCCCCCTATTAAAAAGTATCTCTGAGTTCTAATAACAACGATCTTTTTTTTTTTTTTGTCTTCTATTATCATTTTCAAGAACCAGATAATAATTTGCCAAGGTATTTGTTAGAAACAAAAAAAGACAAACAGAGACATCTATGACAAAATAAAGAGAGAAGAAAACAGAGAAGAAAGAAGAAAACAGAGAAGAAAGAAGAAGACAGAGAAGAGAGAAGAAGACAGAGAAGAAAGAAGAAAACAGAGAAAAGAGAACAAAGAGAGAGAAGGAAACCATTGAATGGAAGGAATATTTCATTCTGATTTTATGATGGTTTAGGTGTCAAGCGAATGTTGTTACTCAAATAATTGATGAAATCTTAATTATTTTTGACTTTGGAAAATCCTGATGAGGAATGACAACAAGTCTTGAGAGGGGAGAAACTTTAAAAAAAGAAACAAAAATCGCCTTTCTTTTTGTAAACGTCTAATTGTTGTCATACAATCAACGCTATTTGGCACTTTTGCCCCTTCCAACGAGCAAACACTATTGTATGTTGTGTGGCGATGGATGTTGCTTAATTTACTGCTCGATTCATTTTACTACTCCACTCATGGAAGAGAGAAAAACAATTTGTTTATCCAAAACTTAGCAATATAATATTTCCAAAACAAACAAAGAGTAAAAAAAAAAAATATTAATCTTTCGATTCAATTGCAACTTTGCTCAAGGTTTTCTCTAGGTTCGCTGTTTCAGGAAGCTCTTGTCGAGGCACGACACGGTAAAAAAAAAGTATTGGATCATCTTCAGAGAATGCATCTATTCAAGATGTTACAAGCTATGAAACCTTATTCTCTTTAATGACTTTCCCGTTTTGCAAAAAGTGCACTTATACTCCTAGGGGTGGTACATAAAAAAAAAAATTGAGAAAAATTCTACACTTAGCTTTCGAATATATATGTTTGTTTGTGTGTGTGTATGTGTATGTGTATAGGGAAAAGAAGATACTAATAATATCCCTTCTACATGATTTCCAATGGCACCTATTAATAAATCAATATGTCTTTCTAGTTAGGGACAAATTACCAATGTGCAACACCACGTGTAAGCTACCTGTGAGTCTAAAAGATGTAACAATAACTCAGTTCGCTTAATACCCTGTAGCTTATATTACATTAACGGTTTCAAGTTCAACTGCAAAATGGTAAAAATCAAGTACATCCCTCAATAAGTCACTGTTACAAGCAAATATTGCAGCATGGAAACACACACACAAAAAAAAAAAACGGGCCAGGACTTGCTTGATTTCGCATCAAACCTTGCTCATCATTTGTTTCTTTTTTTTTTTTTTCCAATTTGTTACTTATTAAATGGGACTTGCGTTTTATCTTGGTAGATTGATTTATGCTCTCTGAAATCAGAAACGACGTTTTCACGGAAGCAAAAAAGAAAATAAAAACTGCAGACTGCAAGGTTCGAAACGGCTCTGAAAAATCTTTTATGCACACCTCTGCTGCATCGCTAAATGCGCTTTTCATGCACCAATATTAGCCCTTGATTAAACACAGTTACGCTTATGCATCTTTTTTTTTTTCAATTTTTTTTTGTGCTCAGTTCAAAGCTGCCATCCCAAGGTTTGGTTAGTCGTGTATTTTTCAATAAATAATTAATAGAGCATGTTTGTTATGTTTTTTGGCGCTTTCTTTTTATGAGTTGCATTGGTATGAAACCTTCTAGAATGACACCTATAACCGAGAAAAACAGCTTTGGCGAAGAGAAGGTCGGTAAGAAATTCAAGTAAGGTCTAAAAAAAAAAAGAAAGAATTGTTGTGAATGCTACTTTTTACATATAGATGATATATAGAAATATTGCCGCTGCAAATAAACCAATGGAAAGGGTTCAATTGGATTGACATGTTTTTATACCCTCGTAGTAGCATTGTATTTTATAAGCGAAAGGGGAGTAATCACTAGAATCGATTGAAATTTGTAGCATATCTTAGCGAGACATATTGTTATCAATACCTCCTGAGTTTCCATTTGATATGAGCCCTGACATAACAATAACAATGGGAAAGTTGGGGAGGAAAAAATGAACTGATAATGAAAAAAGCTACGAACGGCAAATCTCAATTCTGCAGTTATTCTTATCTCAGTGTGGCTTCAACTCCAATGCTAACCATGCACTCACAATATATTCACGGTACACCCACGCCAAAAACACTTACGTCGGTTTTACGATTCAAAAAAGTAATTCGAGCTGTACTTGCTAAAAAGGAGAGTCTATTGTATTTTAGTAAATGAAGCAAACACATAAGGTGGTTTTTTTTTGCATTGTTACTTTCTGACGCAAAATTTCATTTCTTCTCCTTTTTTTTTTTTTTTTTTGGCTGCGAAATTGTCGAAGATTGAACAAACACACTTGCAACAGATTCCTTAACAAGTTCAACAACCATTCATACTTTTTAACACTTCTTTAACCATCCATCGCTACCCCTGCTCCCCCCTCCCCCCTCCCCCCCAAAAAAAAAATACTTTTTCAAGAACCAAGCTCATTAGAGATATAGTTACTTAGATATAATTACTTAGATATAGTTACTTAGATATAGTTACTTAGATATAGTTACTTAGATATAGTTACTTGGATATAGTACATTATAAACTATAAAACCGTAATGAAATAATTGAAGAAGAAGCTAAAAAAAAGAAAACAAAACATCAACAATTTAATTAGATGAAATAAAAACAAAGTAATTAAAAAAATATCTCTTGTTAAACGATTTTCTAATAGGAAAGACCGTCTATTTCGAAAATGATACAAAAGAAAAAATGGCATGCCTAAGTTCGTGATGAATTGAATAAAAAAAAAAAAAAAAACTCCAAAAAACCGTTTTCGTTTAAAAGAAAATTGAGCAAGCAATGCTCAGCCCTTTCTTTCTCCTATGTTATTTTCAACATAACCTTATCATTGAATCTCAAAAACTCGGTAATGTTAAAATTAACAACATCGATATTTTCAAAATTATTCAAATTAGGCAATTTGATAAATAACTTGTTATATGGTACCTTTTGCCTGATCAATACTTTCATATCTTGAATAGTTTTAAATTGTGATTTATTGAACTTGATTGCCAATATTTCGTTGTCATGATTCATGATTTTGCACTTGATGTATTGATGAGCATTGGAATTTGAATTGGAGGAAATAAATGGCGACGACATGGTGTTGATCATTGGAGATTGTTGAAGTTGAGGGTTGCTGAAACCACTGATGGGAAAAATTTGGTGGTTCAATCCTAAGGGAGACATCTTAGATGGTGAATGATGATGAAGATTATTAAGAGGCTGTAATTGAAGTGGACTTGGCCGAGACTGAGGACAAGTTTCAGGAATTGTTAGTCTTGGAGTAAGTCCGGGTCGAGGACTATAGCTCGTCTTTGGGGAAATAATTGTTGAATTTGTTGATGCTGGTGAATATTTAGGAGAAGTCTCGTTACTTTGAATTGGATACGGGGGATTGGAAGCTGCTTGCGGCAGCAGCAGTTGTTGTCGCAGTTGTTGTTGTTGTTGCTCGGTAAAAGGTGGAGTCATTGCGAAAGCAGTAGACTGCTGAACTATTGGAGTTGAATTAGAAGAAATGCTCAATGAGGACGTATTTGGCGTACCATCGAATTCTTCCAAAGACTTAAACTCTGTTGGAGACGTCGAAGAGTTACTAGCCAGGGAAGAATTAGCATTGGATAAACTCTTTGTGCTACCTTTCCTTTCGTAGAGAAGAGCCTGACCAAGACTAGTATGCTTTGTTGTACCTGCCAAGGAGGATTTAAAAGAGTTTCTAAGCGATCTTGAGCCATTTCCTAATATTTCAGACGTTTGTCTTGAACTAGCAGTATTGTCAAAAGCACGTGAAGCCTGTTGATAATTATTGTAGATATTTTTGGATCTTGTCCTTGCCGGTAAATCGCCAGTCAGATAGTTATGATTCGCTCTAACCTCTTTAAGTTTTTTCCTCTCCATTTCTTCCTTCTCTTGTTGTAGTTTCAATCTATTTTCGTTATAGTTTTTCACTACATTAACAGACTCAGGAAGGATCTTATTATTTATTTCATCTTCTGTTAGCCTGGCTGTCTTCTTATTCTTCTTCTTCTTGTAGTAGTCATCATTACGATTATACTCTTCCTTTTCTTTCTCTTCTTCCTCCATTTTGATTGCTTGATCTCTAGGTATAAAATAACCTGGTAAATTTTTATAGCTCAAATCTAGCCAATCAATGAATTCAATTGAAGTTTGGAAATACTTGTTTAAAATTAATTTGTTAATATAAATGTTTAAACTATTGCACCTCTTCAATAAAATAGATATTTGCTGCTCTTCCTCCCTTTTCACTTCATATTTTTCGTCTTTGCACTCGCTTGCACTATCATTGTTTGATTTTTGAAGTGTTGTTGGAAGAGGCTCGGGCAACTTGGGCAATTTCAACTCCAGAGATTCTGCAGTATCACTGTGACAAATTTTTTCAATCATCTCTAGCATACTTATATGCAAGTTGTAAAAATCTTGATAATATCGACAAAGATAAGATTTTGACTTGTCACTAAATCCAACATCCAATCTGTACCAGTACCTATCTTTATATAGAAAAAAATTCAGAATTGATGCTGAAACGGGATACGCTTTATTATTGATAGTTTGGAATTTAGACTCAATCTTGTTAAACTGCAAGTTTAACCAATTATGGTCATCGATGATATTCAGGTCTTCCTTTGAATGTAACCAGTTCAACGTTATAGGGTTGACAGGATCATTAATGGCAATGTCCACATATAAAGCTGGTATCAACCCCGGTGCTTGCAATTTGTCAACAAATTTAACCAAAATCCAACCGTCGTTTGGTTTATCTAACAATTTCAAAATGTCTCCCAGTTTAACACTCAACTCGTTTGCTGATTCTGCATGGAACGGATATTTCACAACAAGAATGATATTTGCTCTAAAATCATTGATTACTTTCTCTATGTGTTTTGTCGTTGGTTTGGAAATAGTTAATGTCCTTATTGGCGAATTCAAGGATGATGAACCGCCGCCCCTTAGATGCATCAGTTGAGGTTGTTGAAATGCTGAAGTGATCATATGAAGAAATGAAAAAAAATAATAAAAATAAAACTAAGACCAAATGAATATAAGATTAGGGATAATTGAAAAACTGGGAAAGAAAGCTGGTCTATTTTGGTAAAAAAAAATGAATGGTTCTTCCTCCTTCACTGGTTCAAGGACTAGCTCTTTCAGTTTTAAATCTGACTCTCTCCCGTAAAAATGGCACCCCAGTTTTAAGTTTGACTTTTCACACTTGTGGTTTTTCTCAGTATACTTTAAAATAATTCTTTCCCCCCCCCCAAAAAAAAAAAATTATAAAGGAATTGGAAAAATTTATGATAATACCTCTTTTACTTCTTGGTATTGGTAACCGCCTGAATATGGTTTCTCTAATTAGCCTTTTTTTACAAAACAAGTAAAATAAATACTGGCTAAAAAAAAAGAAAATTTTTTTGTCAGTTTTACAACTTCAAAGAATATTCGCAGTCAAGGCTGAAAGTCCAAGTTGTAAGTAGTACTAGTTTAAGTTCAAAGACCTAGTTCAAGTTCAAAGACCAAGTTCAAATTCAAAGACCAAGTTCAAGTTCAAAGTACAAGTCCAAATCCAAGTACAAGTACAAGTCAAAACAAAATGAAATTCTAAGGTAAAACAACAACAAAGCAAAATACAAAATTCGTTTACCAAATATTAGCCATTAGCTTTAATCCTCAAACTTGCTTAGTTCATTTTTAACTCATGCTGCTATACCTCATTATTTTAGTTAGTAGTAGCCTTTCTTATATACAATTAGTTCTGTCAAAAAAAAGGTACTGTATGTAGTAAATTTTTTTTTTCCCTATAACCATAGTAGTCTGAAAAACGCGTGTTTTTTTTTTTTTTTTGCATTTTCCACTTTTTGACATATTTGGTTGATTAGCAGATTGGCAAAGTGGCCAATGAATTGTTTCTGTTTTTCTCTAGAGATTGTTGTATAAAAATGTATTGAAGAGAACTTTCCTTTATTAGATAAGCAATCTGCACTGCTATGAATGCTAATGGAGTAGTATATATTTTTTTTGGTGAAATTTGAGATTATCTTTTGAGAAAGAGTAAGTGAATTCTGTTTACGATTCGTTGCATTGGTACGTTTACTTGAGCTGCTTTGTGCCAGGGATATTCCAATTCAAATTAACGAGGACAAATCCGCTTTGCTTATTGTAGTATTGATCCGCTTTGCTTAGTGTAGTCTTGATGCGCTTAAAAAATGGAGAATAATTACTCTAAGGACGCCCGAATTTTATAAACAATTTGTCATCTCAACCCCAACTACATGTCTCAATTGGCGCCCTGTCCCCGGTTCAGCCGTTGATGCCAGTTGCATTTCCGTTGAGAACAATTCCGTTTAAGCCAGTTGCATGACACAAGAGTTGCAATTGTTAATTTCTCCAATATTACAATAGATTACAAAACAATTGAGGTACGGATGCAACTCGTTCACATCCTTGCTGATTTGGAGACTAGCAACAAACCCAACCCTCAGGCAACCTCAGGGCAACCTCAGGCGATTCAAGTGGATTAATTATTTTTCAAATAGCAGAGCATTATTCTATAGGATATATGAGTTGTTGCATCAAAACACAAGGGTAAGAGAGAATTACGTCTTTCAGATTGCATTATCAAGACCATACAAATAAAATAAAAGCTCATGGCCATAAAAGCTCATGGCCACAATACAAATCTCATGGCCATAATACATATCAAATAAAAGCTCATGGCATCCCAGAAACAAAAAGCTCATTGCTTCCGTGACGTCAATGCCCTCAGCAAAGTGCGAGGTCCTTTTCTTTTGAAAGAAAAAAAATGTGTCCATCATGCGAACCAAATAAAATTTATATGAAATGAAAAAAACATTAAAAATTTTTTGGATTATTAACAATGGACAAAAAGCTCTCACACTTTTCCTTCTCTTTTTCGAGGTTTTGATTTCCTTTCGGCCATTTTTGCTCAACTGAATGGGAGTAATTTGATCAGTCTTGCTGGTATTCCGAAAGTGTATTAATATGTATAGAGAAAAGAAGAAGAAGAAAAAGAAGAAGAAGAAGAGTATGACAGATTTCAAAAATTTTTCTTTTTTCTTTCTCTCCTGATTTGGCTGAAAAGGTTTTTTTTTTTTTTCTTCCTTTTCCAAAAAGCCTTTTTTTCTCATCTCGAAGTGAACGATTTTTCTTCATCAAAAATCTTGATTGTAACTTTGTAGTTTCGTCAGGTGTGAGATAGGTTTCAACAGGTATGTTGGCCAAAATTAGCGGATTTATCAACTGATATACAAAGTCTCCAAATTATCCGTTTTAATCGCAAAAAAAAAAACAACGTTTTTTCACCTTATCAATAGGATTACCAAATAGAGATATATTCAAGAGATGGAATTTTACATTTTCATCAATTTCTTGAGCTCCTGAGAGATTTGCTAAATTTAACAACAAAGTATTTTATTGCGCTTTCCTCATGAAGGTGGTAAAACTCGTCATAATCTAGAATACCAATATTTAAGAGATATCGGGTTTTTGCAAAATTTTCAAAGATGGCCGAGTGATGTCATTCATCTATTTATTTTTTTGTAATTGTTTCAAGTAGGAATGAAACGAAAAGCTTCAGTTTTCAGTTTCGGTTTCGGTTTCAGTTTCGGTTTCAGTTTCAGTTTTCAGTTTTCGGTTTCGGTTCTAGTTTTGTTCCAACCCTGATTCCAGTTTCAGTTTCAGTTTCATCTTCAATTTCAGTTCCAGGTTTCCAGTGCTGATGATGGCCAAAACTCGATTTGAGACTAACAAAAACAGGAATATTTTTTTTTTTTTCCTTTCAAATACTTTTTCTTTCCAAATGGCAGTTGTTCAACATAATCAAGTGCATTAGCATTGTGGAAGAAATATAATCACAGGAGTAGACCCATTTGGATAGAAAGGGGGATTCCATCCTACGTAAAAAAGCCTGCTAATTGCAATTAGATGCTAAGAATAGGAGAAGAGATAATTTTTGTTTCTTTTTTTGAACCTTCCGTTTGGGTGTTTGCAATTTGATAATTTGTCAATAGGGTTCTTTGTGCAATGAAAGCTATCAGGCCATTTTTTTTCCATAAAGGGAAAAACAATGCTAATACCTCTGGACAAACCCCAGTTTCAAGCTCATATACTAATTATTAATTGATTTTACGTTACTGCTTGTGGTCCCATATTGGTGAAGAGTGAAAGAACTATTCCTGTTGTACAAATGGAAAGTGAATACTGACTTTTTTTCATTCCAAAGTTTCATTTTTGGCAAAGTCTAGATTTACATCAAAAAAAGAGAAGTAGAAAAGAACAACTAGGAGAGATCTACCACCAGGAGAGATCTACAACTAGGAGAGATCTACAAACAGGAGAGATCTACAAACAATTTTATCTTAGATAAAAGTGGGTTGGTTTTTTTTTTTTTACAAGCGCATGGTTTGTGTTACCTGCGCACACATATTGTATGAACTTTAGACACCCTGCCCTTCCCTAGAAGAAAAACCGGTTTACTGTTGCTAAGGCATATCGGTAAAATACCATCGAGGAGGATTGAAACAACAGCAACGTCCGGATAAAATATTATCAGGTACTTACAACACAACTTTCGTAATAGAGCTCGTCGTGATAACGAATTGGTATGCAGCGCTTGCATACTTTCCTTTATAAGCAATAAACCTGTACAACAAGATACTCAATCTGTGGAAAATGCACACGGTTTTGATATCATCAATATATGCAGGGCATGTAGTTGGATGGTTACCTGTTGTGACATCTGTGTTTGTACAGTCCTATACGATGTCTACGTAGTAGTAGAGCAAAAGAGGACTACCATGTGTCTATTTGTTTTTTTAGAACCTTAAAGACGATGCAAATCATTTTTTTCATCACCAGGGTTTATATTGTATTTCAATAATAAGCCACTACAATCTACCTGATAATCTAAACAATATAACAAAGAAAGTATTACTTCCCCCATTCAAAAGGCACCTTTAAGAACGACAAAATGGGAAGAGTGCAAAAAAAGGTTGAAGTAGAATGAGTAAATGAGTAAATAAGAGGGTTAGTGTATGCGGTTTTTCCATAGCCGCTACACTGGTTTTGATATATGGTGATTGTTTATATGTACCATCAGTAATATTGATAATTTGACCCGAGAAAATCCAACTAATCGATCCGTCCCCTCATTTCTTCTAACCTTTGCATATGACACACTGGTCTATTACTTCCTACTTATGCAAGGTTCAAAAGTAAGTTTTTAGTTGAAATTTAAATTTTTCATCCTGAATCTGAAATGTCGTGCAGACAGAAAAGAGAGAAACTTCATGGAAGAGACTTTAGTTGGAGGTACGTATAGAACCGTAATGCCTTACAATAACCATAGCTAATCCCATTCCAAGTGCGGAGATCTTCTAATCTAATTGGGAAGAAAGGTTTTTAATTTGGTCACTAAACAAAAGGTAAAACAAAAAAACCCTAAGAAAAGCTTAATTTTTTTCTTTTCATTTCTTCACTGATAACATTTTAAGAATGCAAATAGAGACTTTCGGGAAGACTCAATGACCAACTGATTGTGTTCATCATCGAGGTGCTACAAAAAGGTGACTCCCGGTATTTTATTCTTCATCAGATTGGAAGATCAAGCACCTTGAAAACAGAGTTTTGCTCTTTTTTTTTCCTTTGTTCTCTTTCTTCTTTTTTTGCTTCTTCTGGTATCTGTGCTATGTACCATTTTTCTCACGTTTATTAAGCATATAATTTTTAGTAATGTATCGCAGATAACAAGATTATCCCAATCCAAATAAATAGGCCAGTGTCTTCCATGACCCCATAACTTGTATTTTTCTAAAATTCTCTCCCCCCCTTTCTGGTACAAGTTGCCCAGAGAATCATCATTTTGTCAATCCGTTCAAAGTCACATGTGACTTTGGTTACTTGTTTTTCTTTTTTCATTTATTTCAATAGTTCTTTTGAGAGAGAATCGATTTTTCACTACAGGTTTTTACTTCATTGAAAAAGAGATTTGGCTCTTTCAAACTTCAATGCTACTTCAATTCTTCTATTTCTTCAATCATTAGTAATTGGTGTAATCCTTAATAAAGAATTTTTTTATTATTTGACAATATTCAGGTATAATAATAGATATATACTGGTTTGGAGAAAAGTCGGGGTCAACCAACCAAAGGATAACCAAAGAGTTTTTAAGGTTCTCATTTTTTTTCTTTCTATTTTTTTCCTCTTAATTAGTTTTTCAACTTTTGAGGTAGCATTAATGTCAACAAGCCAATGTTCATAACTTCCAAAAAAAAAATTACACTATGGCGCGCTTATTTTTGTTGTACCTACTTCATACATGTCAATGCTTTAGTATAAAGTAATTAATCCATCAAGCCCATAGGTTTCTCCTCTTGAGAGTGTTTTCTCTTAACTTTTCCTTGCCTGAAAAAGTAACAAAAGAAACACAATAAAAATGAGGACACTACTCAAATGAACATGGAACTTTTAAATACCTATGAGTTATGAGTTATGAGTTATCTTTGGTAAAAGTTTATTATTTGCCAACATTGTGAGCTCTCACGACTTCTATTCTACTTTTTCTTCAAAGGTAAAAAAAAAAAAAGAATAAAGGGCCCTTCTTCTATAGAATATGTCTTCTTTGTCAAAAAAAAAACAAAGAGGGGCATACACATTTGCTAAACCCGGAAAATATTCAAACATATCTTTCCCTAGCAAAACTATCAAGTTCTTGTATTTGTAAGCTTTCAACCCTTTTTTCTCCAAGAAGAATAATTAGTGAAAAATAGTTTTCAAGAAAAAAAACAAATTTTATAGTCAAAGTAATTGAACAAATTTGTATTGCTGAAAAATAAACAATAGTCATCATCCTTTCTTTCTTTCTTCATGAATGAGAGGTTATGTCCAAGTGCTTAACTCCTTCCGAAAATTGTTGAATCAGCAGAAAATGTATTTTACTTCCTCCCCTCTCCTTCCTCCGCTTTCCTCGTACTCCACTACTCCACTACTCCACTACTCTGCCACTCCATATTCTTCACAGAATATGGAGTGGTAATATTCAAATTATGGAGGAAATTTAGTTTTCTGTCTCTCCATTTTTTTTACATTTCGCATTCTATCTAATAATATGGAACTTTTGCAACATAAAAAAAAGATAACTCGACACCGTATCACCTGTTTATCTACCAGTTTTCTTTGGTTTGATATAGCTACCACATTTTTAATAATAAATGCATTCTGTTTTTTTTTTTTTATTTATTTATTTAATTTTTTTTTTTTTTTGCAAGTCACTATTATATGTCATTAAAAATAGAAATTACAGAAAATCGACAGAAAAAAAAAAAATTAACCTGAGACAAAAGGGTTCTTGAAAAAAAAAAACCCCAAAAACGACAATTATATTCAATTGTCTAAGGTTTTTTTCTTTTCAAATTAGGTTCTAAAGTCTGTGTCAGTTTTGACTAGGTTCTTTGTTCTTTTTGGTAAAAATGGAAATAAAGTACGCTAAGGATAATTAGAAATTTGTGTCTTTTTTAGTTCTATATTGAGAAAAAACGAATGGGGAAAAAGAAACATGGATTATACAACTTGAGCAGATTTGCAGATTGCACCAAAATGAATTTTAATTTGATTTTTATGTCACAAAGCAGAAAGGGTAAGAAAGAAAAAAAAAAAAAAAGAAAAAGGCGAAGTATTAAGCGTTAGGCTGTGGGACATTTACTTAAATGTCTTGTTCATATCTGCAATAATAAGGCACTTTACGTATAACACATTGCATACATGTCTATATGTATGTGGTGTTAATGACCACACCTTCTTTAAAACACATAGGATAGACTTCAATGGATTTTTTTTTTCTTATTATATTAAAAAAATTTTCTTCTTTCTTTTTGATAAAAAAGGGACTCTTAGGTTCTGGCCATAAAAGTTTATTTATTTGGAAAATAGCTCCATTTACAGGAAAGCAACATCTCCTTATTCAAATGTAGAAAGGGAAAAAATGCAAGAGATGGCTCAACTTAGAGTATATTTCTTCGTACTTGAGTTATGTCGCTAAGATTTAAATTACTTTTGAAGAAAAACTCCAAATCCTTTCTGGGGTGATTATCCCATGGGCTACAAATTTATAGATAAATATATATATATATATATATATGTCAATGCATTCCAGAAGTTTCTCTTCCCTTTTTTTGCCCACCCTACTTACCAAAGTATGTTTTAGAGAGTCTTGTTGTCATCGAGGTTTAGATAACATTAAAGTGAACCCTCTCCCTCTCCTCCCTTTCATCAACTTAATATCTTGCTCTGACCAACTTTTCATTCGTTTATATTCCCCCCCCTCCTAATGTACAGAGCTACTTGCCACTTCAAAGCAAATAGAGAATAAGAACATTTTTTAATTAGTTAAACCCACTACGTTTACCGAAATTCACACGATATTATTACCTACAGAGAAACCCCCTCCCCCCCCCCAACTAATCTAAAAACAGACTAAGTCATTAGCCGACTTTGTTTCAACTACTAAATATCTCACTTACCATCCAAACAGTTCAAAAAAGCATTTTGTTGAATCCAGGTACATTCAAGTTTCCTTCTGAATTACTAATTTCCCACTATAAGAGAATCACCACCATCCAAAAAGTTCTCTCTTTTATTTCATTTTTTTATCACTTTTTTTTACCTTGTCGACACTCATAAAGAAAGTTATTCCCGAGTATTAAACAAATCAATTTTGTGTAACGGGTCCGTGATTATTTTTTTTTTAATTTTATTTTTTAGTATTTTCTGACACTCGGTTTACAGGAAAAGGTTGCAAAATAATCAATTAAAGGGGGTGAAAAAAAACTAAATAACCCAAGGCATTTCCCCCGTAGTATATGATTTTGCTTGAACACCAGGAAGTTTTTATGGCAACGCCGGGCTCAACCACGCTGTCAGCAACTTCATCAATTGACGCTGACGATACGATACACTTGGAGTCGTATGCAATGTACCTTACGTCGCCTGCAAAGGCACAGTATAGTGAAACAACTTATGACAATCCAAACCACAATGACCCTCCCTATCAAAACAATCCTCCAACCACTACCACTACCACTACCACCCAGCCATTCTTAGACCATTTTCTACAATTGGATAATTCAGATTATCTACCGCGTCCTCCGCCAATTAATATAGATGGATCTCCAAAAAGAGTTTCCACTTTGTCACCTCCGCCACACACGTCAGCTGGTAATGAGTCCGCTTATTACTATGGTCCCAATATAAATGCATATCATTCTCCCTTATTGTCTACCAATTCTTTGGAACAAAATAAGGATAAATTCGTGATTCAAAATGCAAGTCAGCCGAATTTAGCCAGCGCAACATGGTCATTCCCAAGTATGGACGATAATTCCTTCTTGAACAGTAGTACCAGTACCAATAACTTTTATAAAGTCAACAGTGATACACAAAACACCAGCTTTGTGTACTCTGTTGATAATCAGTCGACAGAGCTATTCAACTGCGACAGTCTCAAAGATGATTTTAATTTATCCAATTCATTTGAGGCGACAAATGTGTCCTTAGAGTCACTACCTAATTTCAACCGTCCAAACGTGAGCCAGGAAATTCCTCATTTCCAGTATCATGAGAATGTACCCCAACAACCACCACCCCAGCAACAACAACTACAACAACAACAACAACAACAACCACCCCAGCAACAACAACTACAACAACAACAACAACAACTACCACCTCAACAACACCTACCACTACAACAACACCTACCACTACAACAACACCTACCACTACAACAACAACACCTACCACTACAACAACAACACCTACCACTACAACAACAACACCTACCACTACAACAACAACACCTACCACTACAACAACAACACCTACCACTACAACAACAACACCTACCACTCCAACAACAACTTCCACTACAACAACCACAACCTCCATCTTCACCACAGCAACTACAACAATATTTGCAGCCTGTACAAGCAGTGCATCACAATTTACAGATTTTTTTACCAACTCAAAACTTTCCCAATACACCAAATAAAAGAGCTAACAGCGATACGCCAACTTTTCCAGAGACAGGCGCCTTTATCACCAACAACAACTCTTCAGTTCCACAACCCAACACTCCGCTATACCATTCAAGTTTTTCGGAGGATTCGTTGCCTCGTAAGCCATCCACGGCTTGTATCACAAAAAGTCCCCTTTCCATTTCTATACCCATTCAATCATCTAATCAAGTACATCGCATTGTTAAAAAGTCATCTCATTCGAGAACCAATCCTTCATGCAGAAAGAACTTAAATGCATTGCATACAATAATCACACCTTTGGACCGCGTAGAAACCTTGTCACCGATTATGAAAAAAAGTGCATCAGCATCTGGGTCGTCTACTCTGCAATCTCAAAATGTGCAAAATTTATTCATCAATACCCAGTTGACTTCAAAACTACAATCGCCTACCGTTGCAGTAAAAACTGCGTCAACTACTAGCTCTTTGCCTAGTGCTTCCACTACACCCTCATCTGCATCTTCCCATAATGGATTGTTAGTAACAAATGTTTACCGTCAAAATTCCGATTGCTCAACAGCATCTTCATTGTATTCCGAAGTGGCACAATTTAAGCGAACTGTTTTAATGCCATCACAAAACGATACTGCAGGAAGGGGAAACACCAAGCAAAAGATCAAAAACAACGGGGTATTGACAGATCAAAGAGAATTAAATCCAGGCAGCACTTTAAACGAAAAGCCAAACACTAACACCAAAAGTCAGGGGACAAATTACAATGATGATTCTACTGAAAAAGATGATAGTGAAGAAAGCTTCGGGTCAATGGAAAATGAAAGTGACCAAAGTTCAACTCCCAAATTCATAGAGACAGGGTCACCAAATATTGTAAACTTTCAACATTCTCAGAATGAGCCTGTTCAACAGGACGGATTGAGAAAAAAATTTACCAGGAGACGCTTATTACCAAGATCAAAGAAGGGGTGTTGGATATGTCGTATTAAACATTTGAAATGCGATGAAACGACACCTTCATGTGCAGCATGCACAAAATTCGGATTGAGTTGTGACTATAGTAATATCAAGCCCGAGTATGTTACTAATAAGAGACTAAGAGAGGTGAAGTTAAATGAAATGGCTCTTGTGAGGAAAAAACATCAGGCTAAAACAAAAGTCCCAAAAAAGAAACGCAAGAGTCAAGATTAGAGGTAGTCTGAGTTGGCAAGTATTGTTTTTTTTTCTTCTTTTTTTTGCAACTGGCATATGCTTCAAAAGTTGTATCAATGAATAAATTTAGGTAATTATTGGTGGGCACAACTACAAAGCTAGTTTCTTTGTCTTTGGTGGCTGCTCACAATCTCCAAAATATATTTAAGTTAACTTTTTTTAAGAAAACCAAAACCACACAACGGGAAGAGATGTAACACTTTATCACATACCTACACAGACCTAAGATTTTAGAGAATTTAATCCCTTTGTGCAATTTTTCTTTTTTTTTTTATTGGCTCTTCTTGTAATTCTATATAAATATGAACATATATATATATATTCTTGGTTTTAGATGCTTCAATGGAAAATACGAAAAATAAAAAGGCAACTTGATTCGACTTGGACTTCCACTTCGACTTGTCTCTTACTGAACTTCAATTCCACCACACATCTTTTTTATTCTTTCTTTTATTCTTTTTTTATTCTGTTTTTATTTTCGTTGTCGCGCTCTTTACTCCCATTCACTTACTATTAACTTCTTATTGATTATAGTCGTTTCCGTCTCATTTCGTGGTACTACTCTAGTATCTTCGCCATATATTCTATCACCGTTTTCCAAGATGCCTTCAACACAAAACTTATACTCTATCATGGAAACAATGTTCCCAGTAAAGCCAACCCATGGTCCAGCTAAAGGATCTTTTAATGGCGGATATGTATAATCGGTAAACTGCTCTCTTTCTTCATCAATAGTGGACTCTCTTCTCCCTAAAGATTTAGATTTCCCCTTAATACGTGGCTCAGAAACATAGTTTCTACCGGCGGAATGTGTCCCCTCATTGAGGAGTGATGATTCGTCAATGGGCGTCTCATTAGCAAAATCGATGTTTTCCTCATCTTCTATAATGGCAGAATTGGGCTCGTCATTTTGAGTTTCTCCCGAGGTGAACAGAGTATCATCGTTGTCAAACACCTTATCGAAATCACAAGGGTTCAATATAGCTCTCAATGCAATAAAGTTACTCAAGGGCACGTAGTACTTTTCAAAATTGTACAAAACGCACATAGTTGCAATGATTGTTGGTGTGCACAACACGGATAACAAAATTGCACTTTCCAAAGCAAGTGTTCCACACATGAATAGTTGGAAAATAACCAACCCTAAGATCACACGCCTGAAAATCATTGGCCACACTTTACCTGTTGAATGTGGAGGGTGAACGAAATTGTATACTAGCTGGTATTTGTAAACAAACAAACCAAGTACAAAGTATATTAAGCCACAAGTGACTATTTTTGTCGAAACCACAGAGTATATAAGAATGATCATAAAAATCATAATGTGCTGTGGCTGGTGAATACCAAAATCAAATATTTGTGGTGTAAAATAGTAAGCTCTGTAATCTCTTGGAGTTTTCAAAATCAACTTTTTGAAAACGAAAAGCTTTCCCAAGATGTTGAGAAGTAAAAAATCACTAACCTGCAACAATTTAACCGGAAACATAGTTAATCCCTGCAATAAAATCAAGTCCACGTAGAACAAAGCCATTCTCCTTAGTGAAGTTGCAAGCTGCGTTGCTATTTTTGTCGTATCACTGATATAAGACATATAATCCCAGAATGTTCCCGCAGCAACGTAGATTAAAAACAAGTTAAAAAATATGAAAAAAAAGTTTTTTGACAATGTTGATAATTCAACTTCACTGTTGGAGGAGTACCCCTGTTGCCGTGACAAGTACTGGTAAAAATAAGGAAACAGGATATTTAAAAGGGTAAACAACAATGGAGGAAGAATACCTGTAACAAATGTAGTCAACCATTTTGACTTTCCAATAAGTTCGCCCAACGCTGGCCAGAATTTGCTAATTGTCTTCAAATCAAGCAAAGATGTCAATGGAACAACCAAGAATATAATAAATCCGTAACTCAAGACAATAAAAAAGGTGATTAAATATGACTTGAGCAATTTCTGGGAATAGGTTAACTTCAAGTTTGGCCAGATGATGTCTTTTGGCGCTGGAGCTAAACTGACAATTAATTTGTAAACACGAGGGTCCAATATCGTTTGGGCTGCCATCTGCGCCGACGCAACAGAATCCATGGTAATAAATGCAGAGGGTATTTGTTTAAACTCATAGTGCTCTTTAGCGTTAATAGTTGACAACTCCGTGTCAAATTTGCCTCTGGTAACTTTTATATCATCATCCAACTCAAGTAGCTCCTTTGACATTCTAATAATCTGGTCTTCTTCTTGTGCTTTGAGCAGCAAAGGCTCATCCCATATGGGATTCACTGCAGGTATTCGCTGTCGATTAAAGATGTCAATATCCATCTTATACTCGGATGCATACAAATACTCCAAGTCTCGAATAAGTTTCTTTCTTCTATTGAATTCGTTCTGGAGTGGTGTCCAGTCATATATTAGTTTCACATCTTCCACTTTGCCAATTCCTAAATCTTCAATAAACTTTTTGATCTTCTCTCTTTGCAACAACTTTTTCGGTATACCATCTAGCCTAATAGTCCTATCCGTTATAGAATCTTGTGACGCCAAATACTTTTGTCTCATTTTTAAAACTTTCATTGTAAAGTCATAAAGGTAGTAAAATACCACAATTGAAAATAAGTACGTGAATATCGGGTACACCCAAAGAAATTTCGGAAAATCATCATGAAAATCTGGCGGTTTTTGGGGATTATTGTTTCCCAAAATGTCTTCCTTGTCATAATTCCCAGTAAAATAAAATCGGATTGGACTCAATACTCCAATTGCCAATATTGCCAATACAAAAAATATCTTGATCCCCATCTTAAAGAAGGAAAGGAAGACATATGCATCGAGACCCGAGTAGGTAATAATCTCCTCATCCGTTATCTTGTAGATCACCTTCAACCACCCAAATAAATTGTCTGGTAGTGGTTTTAGTAATTTTGTCCCTTGTTGTCTCAACGTTCGCACAGCGTAGATGTGTGGCCATCGATACCTCATGATGCAAAATAAAAGAAATAGACATAAGCCAGAAACACTGGTAAGAACCAATTGTGTGGTGAAAACCCTTTGAGGTCCTACTGTATGTATAGGGTCTGGACCCTTATTACCTCCATTACCACCAATACCTCCATTACCTCTACTTATTCGGTCCTCTTCCTCGATGATTTGCCAGCCAACTCGTAAAATATCTAGTATTTTCACCACCATTATATTCTCGACGTTTCTTTTACAAAGCAAGCACTAAAATGCTTGCTTAATGGTAAGCAAACGGGTAATTGTTATGTTGGTAAATCTTGACGAGCTTATATAGAATCTTTTTTTTTGTTTAGGCGATGTTATGGCGCGCGGCTCAAGGTGAAACATTAGAAAGTACGACCCTATCGAGCGAAGCGAGATAGTGGAGCATAGACTGCTACTGACCCTATCGAGCGAAGTGAGATAGTAAAGTATAGACTGCTACTGACCCTATCGAGCGAAGCGAGATAGTGGAGCATAGACTGCTACTGACCCTATCGAGCGAAGTGAGATAGTGGACCAACACTTTTGAGCTTGTGCTCGCTCTGCTCGATAGTGTCGCTGTGCTCAATAGTGTCGTAACAAGCTATTCAGTACTGCTCAATAGTGTTGTAACAAGCTATTCAGTACTGCTCAATAGTGTCGTTTCAAGCTATTCAGCACTGCTCCACTATCTCGCTCTACTCGATAGTGTCGCTTTGCGCAAAAGAGAAAATATAGAAAGTTATATAATAGTTTCAAAGTAAATGAAAAATTTCCATTCTATCAAAGCAGAGATCTGATATTAAAGAGTGCTGCTCCACTATCTCGCTCTGCTCGATAGTGGAAGTCGATAGTGGAGCTCGATAGTGGAGCTCGATAGTGGAGCTCGATAGTGTCGCTTGTGCTTGCTACTACTGTCCACTTTTACTGGCATCATTAGTTAAACAATCATGTTTGTCGTCAGTGTGATTTGGACCACAGCAGCAGCAACAACAACAAGACAATCTTTGTAGTTAAAGGAATGTTTGTCAATTGTAGGGAGGTCTCTGTGAAAACCGAGTTTTTTTTTGCTAATGGTGCAGTTTAGTCTTAATCATAGCGATGACGGTGCCGGGCACCGTCATTGTGTCCAGAAGAACTTTTGTTCCCGACATGAGTGTGATATTCTCCCATGGGACCAGCACCTTTTCAGCAAGAGCCTTTTTTAGCACATAAACCGACAGTGCCTCTGGCACTGTTACTGGCATGGAAAAGACATGAGGAGGTTTAATCGATTTGACAAGTACTGTTGAAAGGGTGGGTAATTTTGGCAAAGATGGTCCTAGAGAAGTAACCAGTGCATGACGAGGTCCTGCATCTGGGCCCAAGTTAATCAACTCGATGTACGTGGTTACAAACGATTTATCCATTAATGAGTTAAAGAGGATAAGTAATTATTTATTTTTTTTGGCTTGTAGCATTTTATTGTAGCGACACCACCGACACTATCGAGCAAAGCGAGATAGTGGAGCATACTAGCTGCCACCGACGCTGCTTTGTTCCCCCTTCCATCCTCGCTGCTTCGATAGTGTCGACTAGACGAGTGAAGCGAGTCTAGTATATAAGGTGTAGCACTCTGCTTGTTTCATCCTCCCGGTGGGATCCACTATCTCATCAACACTATCGAGCAGAGCGAGATAGTGGAGCACACTAGCTACCACCGACGCTGCTTTGTTCCCCCTTCCATCCTCGCTGCTTCGATAGTGTCGACTAGACGAGTGAAGCGAGTCTAGTATATAAGGTGTAGCACTCTGCTTGTTTCATCCTCCCGGTGGGATCCACTATCTCATCAACACTATCGAGCAGAGCGAGATAGTGGAGCACACTAGCTACCACCGACGCTGCTTTGTTCCCCCTTCCATCCTCGCTGCTTCGATAGTGTCGACTAGACGAGTGAAGCGAGTCTAGTATATAAGGTGTAGCACTCTGCTTGTTTCATCCTCCCGGTGGGATCCACTATCTCATCAACACTATCGAGCAGAGCGAGATAGTGGAGCACACTAGCTACCACCGACGCTGCTTTGTTCCCCCTTCCATCCTCGCTGCTTCGATAGTGTCGACTAGACGAGTGAAGCGAGTCTAGTATATAAGGTGTAACACTCTGCTTGTTTCATCCTCCAGGTGGGATCCACTATCTCGCTCTGCTCGATAGTGTTAGAATGCGCAAGTCTAAGAGAAAAGAGACATTAAAGTAGCAATACATATAGATTTTGAACAAGAGTATTGCACTTTTGACGAGGGATCTAGAGCATAGCTTTATCAGCTGAGTATATAGTATTTCTGCTGAAAATTTCTGTTGATTAAATAGTATACCTTTTGAGTATATAGTATATCATCTATATAGTTTTACACCACATTAGTGCTCTCTCTTTCAGAACATTTATAAAGAGCTCCTAATAGAGATGATAGTGTCGATAGTGTCGGTGTAGTCTGTGTGCTCCACTATCGAGCGAAGCGAGATAGTGTCGATAGTGTCGGTGTAGTCTATGTGCTCCACCATCTCGCTTCGCTCGATAGTGTCGATAGTGTCGCCCTATTCTTTTTTTCCCGCCTGGCAAATATTTTTTACCGCCGAGTGGACCCTTTTCTCCGCCTGACTTTTTCCGCCTGGCTCTTTTCCTTTCTCTTTAGGAAAGAAATAAATTACATATATTGAAAATCCATCAAGCAAGATTAAAGGACAGTCAAATTGGGGTTCACCAATAACCCAAAACAGCTGCGAGTAAACCCAAATGAGCTGCGGAAAATGGTATTCACAATGTCAAATTGGACTAGCAATGAGACCGGTGGACCTGAAACAAAGTTTTATTCAACTAGCAGAACATCTACTGTAGTTTCATGTTCATCTACTTCATTGCCCATCACAACTACAGCAACGCCGCCGCCGCCGCCGTCGTCGTCGTCGACGACGACTACAGCAAGGGATTTTTTTGATGACGAAATCTCACTTGTCTTGATCAATAGCGATCCTATGGAATGTAATGAAAACTTTTCCATCTTCATAAAATGTATCATTGACAATATTTATGTCGATACCAATAGCCCGCCCACTTACCAAGAGTTGTCCTTGTACGCTTTGAAGCTTTTGTCGCTGAATTTGTTTGTCAAAAATTCCAGATTTTGCATTGGCAAGATATTGGCGTTTTTAGAGACATTCGCGGCAGTTACCGAGTATAGATTGGAAGCAAAGGCCAACGAGAGCAATGATGCAGATCTCATGAAACAAAAAGCAGACGATCGAATAAAGTTTGAAAGTGAAAGCTTGAAGGAGTTCTTGTGTATCACTTTACTCCTACTCCTCAAACTCAAGAATAGCAGCAATGAAAAAGACGATAGGGATGATGATGAAAGTGTTCTGAGTGCATCTTCGACTTCAACGCAACCTGAGAACTTAGACTTGCTAGGCATTGAAGAAGTTTTCAAAACACTTCAAACATCCAAGTTTATCGCAATCATTACTCGTTTCATAACTACTCAAATTAAAGCAGTAGATCAAAATGAATCGTCCTTTGTGATTTTGAAATTCAGTTGTGATTTGGTGTTTGAGTATTTGTACTACATTGAGTTTCTATCCTCAAAAGAACTTGCGGAACTCGCGAGTAATGACAATGAAATAATTGCGGTAATTATAAAGTACCTTTTGTCCTCGGAACATTTTAATAACTATGATCTAGATAGCGATGAATTTAACAATGAAAGTAGACTCGTAGCTTATGAGGAGCTAAAGCTTTTGTTGTTAATTAATGAACAGTTTTTGATGAATTCGTATAACGAGCTGCGGAGCACCAATAATGTCTTTGCGGAGCTCACCAACAACAACAAGGACACAAACTGTAATATGAAAAATATTGTTGGCTTTATTAATCTATTGATTTACCATTTGAACCGAGAGGAATCCCAAATCATCAAGTTGTTGATTTTGAAGTTTCTCTACCAAGTCTTTACTACATCCTACACTGCAAAACTAATATATCGAAACGACTTGAAAATATTGATTGATATCTTCATTAGAGAATTGGACAATTTAGAATCTAAAGATAGTATTCTCATATTCACTTACTTGAGAGTACTTTACCCGATATTGATGTATTCCGAATTGAGTGACTGTGGAAACTACAAGAATATCGAGTTATGGGACGTTTTAAGTCATACTATTACCAATCCAGGGTCCAAAACAAGCGGGTCTGAGGAGAGGTTGTTAATGCTGCAATTAGCAGCAAAATGTATGAAAGTTAAGTGGCTAGAAGCCTCTGTTACAAAGATGAAGAACAATAGTCAAAATAATGGACGCCATCTTCGTCATGAGCCAACACTTCCTTCTTCGCTCGAGTCGTCTCCGGAAAAGCATTCACTAGAGGACTCGACTAAGGGGGCGGTACCGACAACATCACCATCATCATCATCATCATCGATAACAACGGCTACAACAACGACAATGACAACACATATTGATGGCATGACTACGCCATCAACACCATCAACACCACCACCACCACCACCACTATTCACCCGAGTTGCGTCTGTGCGTTCATCATCAAGGGCCGATTACCACAAACATACCACGGCACATAATTTCTTGGATCGTAAAAGTAGCGGAAAAAGGGCAAAAACAAATACAAGTACATCATTAGGAAGTATATTCGAGGAGAACAATAACAATGTTTTCTTAAAGCAATTTGCGCAGAAATTGGCTATTACAAGAAACAATGACATTCCGATAGATGAAACGTCGGATATTTCTGATAATCCTAGTTGTCAAGATTCTAATATACTAAATTTGCCAAACGAATACCTACAATCAAAACCGCTTCCTAAGATCCCAGTACCTAAAAAGATAAGAGGGCAATTTTATCAAAACGAGGGTTCTGCTGCATCTTCCTCAAGTTCACTTAACTCAGATTCTTCCGTCAAGCAAAAGGCAAGAAAGAAAAAAGCTCCGCCGCCGCCACCTCCACCTCCAAGACGTCGTAAATAATGTGATTGATTGTGAGCCTTGTTTTCTTCCCCTCTTATATCGATATACGTTTATACGAATGTAATGAATAATTCTTGTAGCCTTGGCCGTTTGTCTTTTTTTTCTTCTTTTTGATTATCATATCTTTTTTTCTCCTTTCTCCTTTTCTTCTATATAGAGTACTGCTTTTAAAGTTTGGTCACATAGTGATATCTTCTTTAAAGCTAAGCACATCATCAAATCTCAATCCGTTGATCTCGGTCTTTATGTATGAGTCCAACTCCTTTTTCAAAATTTCTTCCTCCATTTCATCACCACGTTCGCTGACATCACTCGAAGCAACAAGAATTAACCCTCTACTTCGGATTAAAGATATTAATTTCGGTACTAAATCAAGCAAATGTATGGAGGTGATTAAACCAAAAAGGTTATTATTAATTGAAAAGTTGACTGCTTCCTTTATTGATCTGATAATGAGCTCTTGATAATTTTTTAAATTAGACGCTTTTGATATCTCTTTATTGCTTGCTCCTCCTTTGTCACCACTACTGCTGCTGCTGTTGTTGTTGCTACTACTCTCAATTAATAGTCCGTTGGTTGATTTTTTTTCAAATTTGTTCAACTTTCTATTATAAGTGATTCCATTCATTATTAAAAACACGGGGAAATTAGGTTGTTTCCAGTTCAAAATCTTACAAATCAACGCGTTTGAACTAAGAAATATGATTGATCTTGAGGGAGTACTGTGTCCTTCTTTCTTATACTTTGAAGGTCCCATGTGGTTGAAAACGTCATTTAGTGTGAAATCAATAAAAATGTTTAAATTCCTTTGAACATTGCCCACAAATGGTAAAATCTCAAGCTCGTATGTAGATGGGAAAACAAGCTCCAAATTCAAGTTGATCTCCGGGCTTAGAACTTCCAAAATTATATCCAATGGAAGGTATATTATCCTCAACAATTTCTTAATCAAACTGATATCCTTCACAGTCATACTAGAAAGATCTTTGATAACTTTGGAGTAGTCAAACAAGTCGTCTGTTATTGCAGTTAGTTGTTCAAGTGACAAATTTGGCAAATACAAGTCAATATTTTCCGTGATTGCAATTGCCCAGTGAGGACAGACAACTGGAGTACCGTCATTTAAAAGGCACACTTTGATTCGAAGGTATTCCCCGGATAATGACGTAGCTGTTACTATTGACGAGGGAATGAGTTGTTCTTGCTGCTGCTGCTGCTGAATCTGCACTGCAGGGTTCTGTGCACTGTGAGACACTGCATTTACTCCCGCATTGAAGTTTGGTGATAAGAAGTTGTTAGGTGAAAGACCTCCTGCGGCATTCAATTTCAAAGTTTGTTTATTTTTAACAAAACTCGTTAAAGATTTCCAGTATGTGTCAAACTTTGAAGTTTCCAATAAAGTTCCTGAAAATGGGAAAATTATTTGATAAGTAAACTTCAATTGGCCGATATTTCTTAGTCTTAAATCAAACAATGGGAGCTCGATAGAAGTAATCTCGGAAGATGTTCTGTCAAAGTGTGAAAAGGATAAGGCCGTGGTCTTTGCAATTAGTCTCGTGCCAAACTTTGGAAATATTTCGAAATCAATACGGAACTCAGTTAAGGAATCAATATCCGTTTGAAAAACACAGTTACTCTGAGAGTTCCCACCAGCGCCTTCTTCGTCTAATGGTAACAAGATATTCCTGGGAACAATATCGGAAATATTGGATGTCAAAGTAATCCTTCCTGGTTTCAAATCAGTAGCTGAATTGAACAAATTGATAAACTCATCTTGGGGAAAAATTAGCTCAATAAGAACTTTTTGCTCTAAAAAGTTGTGCCCATAACGGCGTAATGGCAAAATTGGGGGTGGTAATTGCAAGTCAGGTATGCTATCTATATTGTTCTTGTCAATTGATCCACTATCTTCCGAATCATCTTCTTCATCTGCGGCATTCACCGCATCATCTCCAGCACCATCAGCACCAGCACTAGCACCAGCACCAGCACCAGCACCAGCACTGTTACTACTACTGTTACTACTCAAGATACCCCTGGAAGTGTCTTCGCCATTATCTATTAGTTGCAATTGCAGCAGTTGTGGCTGTTTGCTTTTGTCAAAAAACTGTTCATGGTGACTCAACAATTCATTTATAACACCAATATGACCTTCAAAGACACAATAATATAAAACATTATAACCATCTTGATCTAGTATATCCAACCTGGCACCAAATTTGACCAACTCCTGAGTAGTATTAACATGGCCCTCAGCAGCAGCATAAAATATTGGTGTCCATTTATTAAAGCCATCAAACTTGTTGATTTCTGCACCATATTGGATTAAAAGTTTTATCAATTTATAATGACCTGCTCTAGAAACCACATGTAAAGGAAGTAATCCTTCAACATCTTGCTGATTAACCAAATCCTTGACCAATTCTTTGGAAGATTCATTAGAAAGTAAATACTCTATGATCTTATAATCTCCAAATTTGCATGCATAGTTTATTGGCAAATACTGCAATGTATCCTTACTTGTGTATGGAAATGGGTTTGCACCAAATTGAACCAATTTTTTAATAATGTTCAAATTGCCGTGTTTAATGGCAAGTAAAAGTGGGGACATAGAGTCGTTGCCTAAATCATCAATGTGTTCTTTGGGAAACAATGTGATTATAGTATCTAGCAAATCCCCTCTGTTGTGTTGTGCTGCATAATGAAGACAATTTCTTCCATTAAAGTCTCGACGAATTAGCAAACTTTCAATCTCGCTTTTAGACAACTTCTTCACTATGCACTCAACAATGAAATTTCTAGAATGGTTGATTGAATCGTATGGATTAACGACTTTAACACCGTTGTTTATAACAACATGACTTTCATGGTGGGTCGGTGTCGGCAGTATGGAGCAACATTCATGCAATATTGTCTTATTATTGTTGAAGTCGTTGTTGACCAAAGTGAGATCTATATCGTAGTTGATTAATTCCAAAAATGATTCTAAAAAGGAATCCGAGATTTTGAGATTGGTAATTGATAATAAAAAAATCTTTGAGATTTTGCATTTTACTGAGGTACTAAATGGAGTATTGGCTGACTTGCTTGAGCCGTTGATTTTATCAATCCACCGTGCTAGTAGGGACAAATCGGGATCCTTTATTGTAGCCACATTGACAAAACTGGCATAAAGATCATCCACCTCGCTATTATTACGTTCAATATTTGAGATCGACGACTGCCTTACAAATGCAGGCTGTCGCTGTTCTTGATCTTGATCTTGTAAATCAACTACTGTTTGCATTTCACCTGCGATTACTACAGACTGCTCTCCTAAAGTTTGAGCCTGCGCTTCGGCACTAGTTGCATGCAAACTGTAATTATTCAAGCACGTAAAGTCTCCATCCATAATACTTTCAATGTCAAACAAAGACTGGGTAACCAAGTCACTCAATTCGTTGATTTCGTTTTTATGGAAAACGGGTTGAACGCTAACAGCAGTACTAATGAATAGTTCCTTAGTATGTGACTTGGATCGCTTATCCCATTTTTTGACCACTTTAGAAAACCCCGTTTCATTCAACTCGATAAATTGCTGAAGTCTAATTAGATCCTGGTGTATTTTTTTGAAATTTTGATACAAGTTGAGAAACGAGATTGAGTTTCGGATATCGGAATTTAATGGCAAAGTTTCTTCATTGTTCCCGCTTACATGCTGTTGATTTAGACACCTGTATAGTTTTGCAAATAGTTCGTCTCTTCTGAGCACTAGGAGGTTTAAGTTGATAGCTAGATTTGCTTGTTTTTCGAGATAAAATGAATTGACCTTATCTAGCTCTCTTTCCACACGGAAAAAGAAAGTTGCCTTGTTCTCCTTTAGTGTTTTTTGGATTTCAGCGGCTGTGTTATTACTGAATGCTGAAGCCAGCTCGACCTTGTTGTTGTTACCACTGCTGCTACCACCACTGCTTCTATTGTTTGTCGGAATTGCCAATTGTTTTATCAACTTCTTTAAAGCTTTATAGTCAATAAAATGACCTGAATATTCAGGTAGCTCCAACTGTCTTGACGCAAGGTATTTACCATACTTCATCTCAATTTAAAACCACTATAGAGCTCCCACACTGGTAAGTTCAGTAACCAAGACACAAATACTTGAAGTTGAAAGAAACCCTTTGAAGATGTTTAATGGAAATTGCAACTTTTCTCTTTTGGTATTTCTCTCTGCATTGTTTGTTTTTTTTGCTGTTCGCGTAACACGTGGTGGGGGCTATCGAGCGGAGCGACCCACACACTATCGAGCGAAGCGAGATAGTGGAACCACACTGACTAGCTGTACATTATCGAGCGAAGCGAGATAGTAGAGCACGCGGACTAGCTGCGCCCTATTGAGCGGAGCGAGATAGTAGAGCACACTGACTATATCAATACAGTGGAGCACACTGACTAGCTGCGCATTATCGAGCGGAGCGAGANTACAGTGGAGCACACTGACTAGCTGCGCATTATCGAGCGGAGCGAGATAGTGGATTACACTGACTAGCTGCACACTATCGAGCGGAGCGAGATAGTAGAGCACGCGGACTAGCTGCGCCCTATTGAGCGGAGCGAGATAGTGGACCACACTGACTATATCGATACAGTGGAGCACACTGACTATACAGTGGAGCACACTCACTATAGAGTGGAGCACACTCACTATAGAGTGGAGCACTGACTATATCGACACTATAGGGTTTTAAGAGATAAACTGGTTATAAAGTTGGTTATAAAACTGTAACAAGCTACTGAGTGTTGCTCTCGCTCTGCTCGATAGTGTAGGGGAAGGAGTAGGGGAATATTATTTTTGAACAATCGAAAAAGTTTGGTGTTGTAGAAAGTAAAAGAGAAGATTGTGTCAGTCTCTAGTATAGCATATAGCATTATACTCGATAGTGGAGCACACTTTGTAGCGACACAATCGGCACACTTTGTAGAGACACAATCGGTACAACACTATCTCACTCTGTTTGATAGTGTATATTTCGCTCTGTTTGATAGTGTAGATTTTGCTCTGCTCGATAGTGTAGATATATATCTATACGTATAATCTGCTATACATTATACCTATTCCTTCTTAACAGCATTGGCCTTTTTAGCTTCGTCAAAGTGTTTCTTAAACAAATCAGCATTCTCTTTATTACCGAATCTAATGGCCAAAGTTTGGGCTTCTGGCACCCCTTCGGAAACATCTGCAGTCACAGTGTATACCCAAGATCTATCGCTACCGATATTAGGTTTCAATTCATAATCAGGCGAGATTAAATGATTAGCACATATTTTCAAGGTTTTGTCTCTTCTCATCACAATTCTTGTTTTGCCATTGACCTCCTTCTGTTTCAAAAATTTGACATCTCCTGTTCCTCTTTCTTTCCACTCTTTGGTATCTGCATGAAACCTAAATAATTTGGCGCGGACCTTGTATACAACTTCTTCATCTTCCTCGTTGGTCTTCACCTCTACTTTTTTATCCAAATGAATGACAGGCGTAAACTCGACATCTACCTCTTCTTCTTCTTCTGCTCCTTCTTCGTCTTTACCTGCTTTTTTGTCACTTTCCTTCTCCTTGTTTGATTCATCTTTTGGTTCCTCCTCCTTCTTTTCCTTCTTAGCTCCAAACATAGAAAAGACATTGGCGGATGGAGGTTTGGAAATTTGGGACTCTTCCGATGTTGTGGCCTTGCCAGCTTCAGAGTTGGACATCTTCTACTCGTATACTCTACTTGATTTATTCAATAATCCCTCTAAAAGTGATCTCCTATACACTGTTTTTTTTTTTCCTATTGATTCAGCTCTAATTTTTTTTTTTTCTTTTGTCTTCTTCGATGAAAAATTTCAATTATGTAATTATTGGTAATAATTGCCGTCTATATTATATAAGAAGTGTGATATTCTTATATAAGAAATGAGATATACTTATATAAGATGATGAGATATACTTATGTAAGGATGATGTTTAAAGAGCTACAGACGAACTGGGTCTCACAAGATACTGAAAAGTTGCAGGAGCTTTCAATATGATCGAGTTGAGAGCGACACTATCGAGCAAAGCGAGATAGTGGAGCGCACTAACTGCCATTGCAGGAGCTTTCAATATGATCGAGTTGAAAGCAACACTATCGGGCAAAGCAAGATAGTGGAGCGCACTAGCTGCCATTGCAGGAGCTTTCAATATGATCGAGTTGAAAAGAGACACCGGGTTCTCTTCTTCATCCAAGCCCGAAGCAAGAAAAAGGCTCCTTGTCTGAAGTGGCTCAAGACGACTCCAAAACTCCAAATTCGTCATCTATATCAAACTCTTTTGTGCCTTTTTTTCTTCTTTATTTTTTTTCTTCTTTTTTTTCTTCTATTTTTTTACTATGTACAATAGACAATGCATCAAACAACCAATTAAGCTCTTCATTTGGTTCTTGTCAAGACTGAATTTGTCAATAGCTCCAATGCACTACGCGCATCGGATTCAGGTAATTGTCTAAGATTTTCTAAGGCTGCCATACAATACTTGGTGGCCATTTGCTTAGTTTGCTCTAATCCACGATATTTTTCAACTGCATTTCTTGCTATTTCAACATCTCCCTTTTGCTTGAATTTTCTCGCTATAAGTTCTCCCAATGCGGGGTCTTGTTTCCATGCAAATAAAATGGGAGCTGTAGCTAACCCCAACTTTAAATCGGCTTGACTTGGTTTGCCGAAAATTGTGTCTGAACTGGTATAGTCAAGCATGTCATCAACTATTTGGAAACATAATCCGAGGTTGCGTCCAAACTGATAACAGTTTTCAATTATGTTATCTTGTGCACCACTTAGTACTGCAGCTGCACGACACGATTTGGACATGAGACTCGCGGTCTTCAAATAAGTCTTGTGCAAATAATATTCAAATGCTGCTTGCACGTTTGTTTCATGATCTACCAAGTCCGAGTCGTTAGAAACTGAGTATTCATGTTGCTTAGTAGGCACTTTGCCGGTAGGTTTAGGCACTTTTTTCAGGTCTCCATCGTTATTGATTATTTCGTTTTCCTCTTTATTGCTTAAAACGGTATTTTTCAACTGCATAAACTCCCCTTCAACCAAGTTTGCAATTGTGGTACTCAACAACTCGATAACTTCTGGGTTCCTCAATCTTGCAATGGCAACAGAAGCTCTTCCCAATAAGAAATCCCCCGCGAGTACTGCCATCTTGTTGGTAAATGCAATATTCCCACTAGGTCTTCCTCTTCTTGAATCTGATAAATCAATCACATCATCGTGAAGTAAACTAGCAGTATGTATCATTTCAACGATTTCAGCCAATCTTCGTTGTTTTGGTAAGATCCCATTCATTTTATCCATTTGTGGCAATTGGTCCATAGGCTTGCTCAAAGGATCCAATATTATTCTCGGGTTTATACCATGCAAAATGCGTAAAGGGCTCAAACTATCATCTACGCTATTTCCAGCAATTGATGCTTGGCCAAACTTGGGGGTTCCCTTAATATGCTCTTGTTCAGTTACATCGTATTCATCGATGGGTATTCTTTGCCGTTCCAGTAAAGGTATATTCAGTAATGCTTTACTCAATAATAATACAATGAGAGGTCGAACATTCTTACCTTCAGCTTCAAAATAGTACGAGCTGACTCGATTTAGTGTCGGGTGTCCCGAACCTATTAGACTCGCTATAGATTTGGCCAAATTTGACATTTCATGGCTAACTATGGAGAAGGGATCTTGAAATTTGGACTTTGTTGCTGCTGCTGCTCGAGGTGACACCAATTTTTCAGAGGCTTCAATAGCTGTTTTAAATGAATTCGAGGTGGCATAAGCAGCAAACCTCCCCGAATGTAGAAGCAACTTTTTCTTGAATAGTCCACTTATCATGTTTTCTGTTGTTTTTTTTGCAAGGTAATGTGTCTAGTGTATCAAATTGGTGTCCTATTGTATGTGTGTGGCATACATCTGATTGTTATAGCTAATAAGATTTACCTCAGGTAAATGAACGAGACTTTTTTTTTTTTTTTCATTTTTTTTTCACTTCCCTTTTTTTTTCCCTGTAAGAAACAATGAAAACCGTTGGTATGTCAGTGTTGCTATATACTACGTTTGAGAGCAAATGAGCGACACTGTCAAGCAAAGTGACACTGTCGAGCAAAGCGAGATAGTGGAGCATATTGACTTACGACACTATCGAGCAAAGCGAGGTAGACTAGTTACTATTTGCTGTAGTTGAGTTTGTATGTATTACTTGCTGTAGTTGTTAATTGGATAGGACTTGAAGAAAGAGGCAATACTCACAAGTTTTCTACCAATGGTCTCGTCTCTACTCTCTTTATACTGTCCCACTAGGGAGTTAAGCGAGCTAGTGTCGGTGGGGCACCCATACCTGTTTTTTGTAGAAATGTCATTATGTAGAGAGTTTGTTCTGGTGCACTTGAATGAGACTTGGTAATAAAGGGGGGGCAGGAAAATCTCATCTCTCGCAAAGACGGTGATGCTACAAAAAAGCTATAACTATAAGAGTATCATTTATTGCTTTCTCTATTGAATGAATTCAATTTATTCATTACCCACTTTTTTTCTTTTCTCTATAAATTGATGCCAATTTATAGAGAAAAATTACGATTGCAAAATTGTTGAATATCTCATATCTTTTGTATCAACACTATCGAGCAAAGCGAGATAGTGGAGCACACTGACTACACCGACATCGACACTATCGAGCAAAGCGAGATAGTGGAGCTATCCTTGATACACATTCCATTTCCCCGAGACTGCTATAGGTCACCAAACTATGGCAACTTCGATTGACATAATGTAGGTGTAGTCCCCTATCGAGTAGAGCGAGATAGTGTCGCTAGTCGATGTCAATGTAGTCAATGTGCTCCACTATTGAGCAGAGCGAGATAGTATCGCTAGTCGATGTCGATGTAGTTAATGTGCTCCACTATTGAGCAGAGCGAGATAGTGTTGCTAGTCGATGTCGATGTAGTCAATGTGCTCCACTATCTCGCTTTGCTTGATAGTACTCCGACTTGCTAGAATGAAGAATGCGCTGAATTTGAATTGTAGTTGAGTAGAGGCTATAATGTAGAGGCTATACTGTAGAGGCTATAATGTAGAGGTGTATTAGTATTAGGTGTAATGTATAGGTGTAGTCAGTGTGCTTCACTATCTCGCTTCGCTCGATAGTGGTGTCTAGGGTCGTATTTGGCAAGTCCATGCGATTGGCATATTATCTGACAAAAACGCGCAAATAAATATGTGAAAATTTTTTGGTTTTTTTTTGAAAAGAAATGGACACCAACACTGCTCCTTTTTTCTTTTCAAGCATTGGCTATTGTCCTTGAATTGAACTATATCAATTGACTTGGAAAAAAGGTTGTTACAGTAGTTAAGAGTGGATTTTTGAAGAATGTTGAGCGACGTGTCTTTTATCAAGACCCCTGCTGCTAAGCCGCAGCCACCGTCAACTGATGAATGTGGTGTTAAAACAAGTGCTTCACCAACAATTCATAATGCTCCATTGCCAGCAGATGGGCCTGGGTCAACTTCGTTTTCAAATACTATTTTATTAAGTATAATGTGTTTGGTTCCAGGATACATCACTTATAAGTTGGGATTGGGTTTTAAGACATGGGTATTTTTTTTCATTGTTTTGGCTGTGCCTATATTGATGTGCTATTGGACTATAATGTCTTCGTTTTCGCCTAGAATTAATGAGAAAGCAAAGTATCCAAACAGACCAATTTCCTACTATTTGGAGTACCACACTCCTGAATTGAAGGCCAAGTATCAAGATTCCAATGGTGGTAAAGGTTCTAAGATTCCCATTGAAACCTTTGAAGAGTTGTATTTTGATGGCAAAGTTTCCTTTAAGGGCGATTGTTTAGATGTTATGGAATACAAACATGATTGGGCTAATTTCAGATTCACTTTGGGATTGTTTAGATTTTTTTTGTTTGGAATGATTCCTGAAGTCATATTCCATTCACAGTCGCAAGATGAAGAACAAGTCAGAGACCATTACGATAGGGGCGATGATTTTTACACTTGGTTCTTGGGTCCTAGAATGATTTATACTTCTGGTGTTATTAGTGACAATACTAGAGAAGAAACCTTGGAAGAGTTACAAGATAACAAGTTGAAAGTAATGGCTGAGAAGATTGATTTAAAAGAGGGAGAACATGTATTGGATATTGGTTGTGGTTGGGGTACATGGGCAACTTATGCATCTTCTCAATATGGAGCTAAAGTTACCGGTATCACTTTGGGTAAGAATCAAACCAAATGGGGTAATAAGCTATTACAGCAGTATGGTGTTTCTCCAGAACAATCGAAAGTTGTTTGCTGTGACTATCGTGACGCCCCACCTTCTAGTAAACCCAACGGTAAATACGACAAGATTACTTCTGTTGAAATGGCAGAGCACGTTGGTATTAGAAGATTGACTGCTTATTTGGAACAATGTAGAGATGCATTAGAAGATGATGGATTATTCTTTTTGCAATATTCAGGATTGAGAAAGAATTGGCAATACGAAGATCTTGAATGGGGATTATTTATGAACAAGTATATTTTTCCCGGTGCCGATGCATCTACACCATTAAGTTTTGTTGCCAGTTGTTTTGAATCTGTTGGATTTGAAATTGTTAGTGTTGATAACATTGGTGTTCATTACTCTGCCACAATATGGAGATGGTACAGGAACTGGATTGGTAACAAAGACAAAGTCATCAACAAATATGGTGTCAAATGGTATAGAATTTGGGAATATTTCTTGGGAAGTTCAATTGTTGCCAGTAGAAACGGTACTGCTACTTGTTATCAATTCGTTTTGCGTAAGAACATAAACTCATATAGAAGAATTGAGTATGTTCCTAAGCAACAAGGTCTTCAAGGAGCCATCAAGGGTAACGGATCATTGAATAGTAAATGGACTGAGGAATTTACCAATTTGTATGAGTGAAATAAACTAGAAAATCAGAGGGCTTAGTTCGGTACCACCAGTGTATACAAAGTTATCTATCAATTGCTCATCATTATCTAATCGTGTTTCCAAAATTAGTCGGCCCGTTGAGATCGGTTTACTAAAATAGGAAAAGATGACATGTTGCTTTTTTTGCAGTCCGAATGTGCTATTTTTTTTTTTTTTTTTTTTTTTTTTTTTTTTGGCCTCAGTATCTAGAGTCGAGTAGTTTCTAATTAGTAAATAGTTAGTGGTGGTGGTGGTGGTGGTGTAATAGTTAATCAGCTAATTTGCTTACTATAATGGTAACAGCGTTTGCTGTTTGAAGTAATTGATATACCAGTCTATCAATCTCTAGTTTACAAATTTTCCATCACCACATACCCGGGAAAATGGCTTAACCAAGGGTCACAATGAATGAGCAAGAGCGGATTGTAAGATCGAACTACAAATTATTTGTGCACATAACTTAAAAAAAAAAAACAAAAAAAACAACAGACATTTACCAAACTGGGCAAAAAGGGACGGATTTTTATTTCTTGACGACTTTTTATTATTGAGAAACGTGCAATGACATAAACAAAGATGGCCAAGATGATCAGCACGAGTCAAAAAGATATATCGGTCCGAGTATAAACCGTGTAACTGAGACAGAACTTCAGCCTTCTTTCAAAGGAAAGCAATACCCGTCCTCCTATCTTTGTAGGAATGATGGGAGTAGAGGGAGAGAAAAAAAAAGTAGTAGAGAAAAAATAATAAACTAATCTACTTGGATTATTATGGTTTCAACCTTTCATCAGGTCAATCTTTAACAATGTTGAAGATTGACTCCTTGACAATGTTAAAGACTGACTCCTTAACACTTTTACTCACCCTCCTTGCCGCTTGAGATATTACTACTAACAAAGGTTGACTCTTGTTCGTGTGATGCTTCTAGCGGTTATGAATTGATTTTTTAAAATTTACTATTTTTTCTCTCGCATCGGTTATGTGTGAAATATTTTACCCCAGTGCGAAAATTCGCTCTTTTTTGATGGAAAACAGTATTGGGCGGCCCTCAGCAGAGTGAATAAAAATCATGTCTACAAACCATAGTTGCTCGAGGTAAAAAACCATAGTTGCTCGAGGTAAAAAACCATAATATTTGACAAGGCACCAAACCATTACAGTATAACTCTAACCATCACCCAACTCACTACCTCTGACTCAGTGTCTTTTGCACTGCCTTTCATTTGGTTTTCTAATGGGTCTGTCTTTTACTTGATAGTTTTTCTATCAGAGAGCAGGAGTCAAAATCAAAGTCACAAACGGTAAAAGAGCAAGGAGTTAAAAAAGGAGTCAAACGTGCATCCAGTAAGAAAAAAAAAAAAGGTTATTCCGTTCATGCGGATGTCGTGTATTGTAATTATATTTGTTTTACGTCATATCATTTATTGACTTCCCCTTTGAACATCAAAATGTCTCAAAATATTATTTTATTGGATGATAAAATAGTACTTATCAACTTACATTAAAATGTCGTAACAACATAAAAGAGGGCGTTACAAATTTGAGCCTATATAACAATATCTACTTCTTTTACCTGACGCTACCAAATGGGTGTATAATAATATAAGTCATTTCCCAAAGTAGTGCATATTACCCTATCTCCAAACCATTACATATACTTTACCCCGGATTGAAAAAAAAAAAAAAAAAAAAAAAGCAAAACTAGAGACGTCGAAAATACCATAGAAATGTCCGATGTTCTTTTCACCATCTTTAAAAATCACGCTCATACTTTTTACTTTACTATAACCGCTGGTTAAAAACTCTCCATTGGCAAAAAAAAAAAAAAGGATTGAGCAAAAGGCGGACTTAGAAAAAATTATTACTATATAAAGACCACTATATTTCCTCTACTTGAAATAAATTCAACTCTCACTCTCACTCTCTCTCTTTTAATTACAATAATATACCAAATTCTATTAACTTTATAATTTAAATATGTCAGGACCTTTCCCAACAGTCGCAGATAAAGTCAAAGGCGTCCAAATCTTGGGACCAATTCCTGAGAGTGCAAAACATGTATTTACCCCAGATGCTTTGGCATTTGTCGCTACTTTGCATCGTGGGTTCGAAAAGAAGAGACAAGAATTGCTTCAGAATAGACAGAATGAGCAGAAGTTGAGGGATCTTGGTAAATTACCTAATTTCTTACCTGAAACCGAATATATAAGAAAGGACCTCACATGGACCGGTCCTCCTTTAGCTCCAGGTTTGATTGATAGAAGATGCGAAATTACAGGTCCTACAGATCGTAAGATGGTTATTAATGCTTTGAACTCAAATACCGCTACTTATATGGCTGATTTTGAGGATTCCTTGGCACCAGCATGGAGAAACTTGGTTGACGGGCAAGTCAATTTATATGATGGTGTTAGAAGAAACTTGACGTTTGAAACCAAGGAGGGTAAGAAGTACGCTTTGAATTTAGACAAGGGAAGACACATTCCTACTTTGATTGTTAGACCAAGAGGTTGGCATTTAGTTGAAAAGCATGTATTGGTTGATGGAGAGCCAGTATCAGGTGGTATATTTGACTTTGCCATTTACTTTTTCAACAATGCTTTTGAAACGTTGAACAGAGGTTTTGGTCCTTACTTTTATTTGCCCAAAATGGAACACCACTTGGAAGCTAAATTATGGAATGACATTTTCAACTATTCTCAAGATTACATTGGTATGAAGAGAGGTACTATTAGAGCATCAGTATTGATTGAAACCATTCCTGCTGTTTTCCAAATGGATGAAATCATTTACCAATTAAGAGAACATTCTGCTGGTTTGAATTGCGGAAGATGGGATTATATCTTTTCTTACATCAAATGTTTAAGAAACCACCCAGAATTCATTTTACCAGATAGAGCTCAAGTTACCATGGCCGCTCCATTCATGTCTTCATATGTCAAATTATTAGTTCACACTACCCACAAGAGACGCGTCCACGCTTTGGGTGGTATGGCAGCACAAATTCCAATCAAAGATGATGAGGCCAGAAACAGAGCAGTTTTGGAGAATGTGGCCAAGGATAAATTGAGAGAAGTTACTTTGGGCTGTGATTCCTGTTGGGTTGCTCACCCTGCATTGGTCCCTGTTGTATTAAAAGTGTTTAATGAACATATGAAGGGTCCAAATCAAATCGATTTACCCCCCAAGGAACCATTTAAGCCAATCACACAAAGAGATTTGTTGAGTCCATATGTTCCAGGCGGTAAAATCACAGAGGGTGGTATCAGAGCTAATATCGTTATTGGTATCTCATATATCGAAGCTTGGTTAAGAAATGTTGGTTGTGTTCCAATTAACTATTTGATGGAAGACGCTGCAACCGCCGAAGTATCAAGAACCCAAATTTGGCAATGGGTCACCCATGGTGCTAAGACTGATGTGGGTAAAGTAATCACCAAGGACTACGTTAAACAATTATTAGATGAAGAATACGCTAAATTAGTGAAGGGCGCTAAACCAGGTAACAAATTAAAACAAGCGTTTGATTACTTTGCACCAGAAGCTCTTGGAGAAAAATACTCAGATTTTGTTACTACTTTGATTTACGATGATATTACCACTATTGGTAGAGCTGTACCAGGTGAAAAATTGTAGGTGTTTGAAGAAGAGAAAACACTCAAAGGTAGAAGGAGAGAAAGTGTGTGTGCTTGTGAAAAGAGAAGTTATCGATTTCAACTTATTTATTTTGTGAAATTTCTCATGGTTGTTTATATAGCTTTTTTATTACGATCTAAGATTTTATGTTACGACTAAGTTTTTTTTTTTTTTTTTGAAGAAAAAGATGCAAAAAAAAAATATGGGGAAAAAGGTGAGAGAGATGGTGTATATGTGCGTGCTTGTGCAGGTGTTAGTAGACTTGTCAATGACTTGAGAGTAAAAATCGGATGTGAGATCTCGATGAAAGAAAATTGGAGATATTCGGCGGAGGTTATCTTGAGCGTTGTAGAGAATCCAAAAGTATTAGATTTTTGGACCTAGCGTGATTATTGATCTTCTATCACACATTCTCATACATTCATTTTGACATCTTTCAAAGGGAAATCCAAGTTTTGTTCTTTTCCATTGATTGTTTTTTTTATTTCTTTTTCACTTTTGACCTTTGATATCAACTTTTTTATGCAATGAATGTTTTTCTCGAACTATGGTCTTTGCTGCTTTTGCATCAAACACTTGGCCTTTTAAGAAATTCGTCGTTAAACCCAATTTCTCCAAATGTGATTCACAATCACCAATTGTGGGGAAGACTAAAAATTCTCTCATGAACGCTAATGTCACATTGTTGTAACTGGCACACAATGCCACCAACGCTGTTAACCGAACCTGATCAGATAGAAAACTATCAATCATGTGTAATGCCAATTTGACTTTTGGTGAATCCTTAAACAATAATAGTTCACGAAAGAACTTAACACAATTATTACCCATTTTGAAATCATTACATCTGAATAATGATTGTATGAATCGGTAATAGTCTTGATCTGGTGCACTTCTTTGAGTTTTTTCCCTCAGGTCTTGTAATATGCTCAATTTCGATTTGCAAATTTCACTATTATTCTTAGTAATCATCATGTAGATCACTTTATAACTCATCATTTCCAATTCATGTCCAATATACCGATTGGATAAGGAAGGCTCAGATCTTCTTCTTAAATGATATAGAAATTTTAACTGGGTTTGACATTGGTTAAATTCACCTAAATCATTATGTTTAATTGATAGTCGCGCATTTTCTTCGTAAACCGAAATGGTGAAATCGTTTTTAATATGCTGAACAGTTAAATCCTGACGAATGGATTTTAACTGACTGATCAAATACCCGTATGCTTCTTTTTCGTTCATCTTGTTGTACTTGTCCAAAACATAATCCATACTCTGCTCTAGTATTCTCTGTGGTCGTACATTTGCAGGATCTGGTGCAGAGGTCAACCTGAGGTATGTTTTTTCAAGTTTGGTGCTTGTACCTATAATGACACCATTCTCACCATCATTGACTATATTTGCAGAACTCGACTGCTTGGAAATCTCGTTATTGTTTTTGAACCTCTCTAAACGTTGACGTTTCCTTTCATCTGAGACAAAGTCCTCATGCAAATTATCCTTAGTGTTAACTTTAGTAAATGTTGATGAATGAACTCTTTTCCCAGAAGCACCTACGTTAGGCACGTCTACTTTACTTGGTTCGTCATCCACGTAAAACCCAGGACTTCTAAAGCCCCCATTGTTCTCACTTTGTCGCCTGCCTTGCTGTGCTCCTAGAGAGCAAAAACCTGAAAGATGAAATGCAGAGTTATCAGTAAGTGATGGATTCCCAACGCCAATGCCAACGACACCATAGTCTTGGTGTTGGTCCTCATTTTGATTTTGGTCTTGATCTTGATTTTGATTTTGATTTTGATTTTGATTTTGATTTTGGCTTTGACTTTTTTGCACCACCTGTAGATTCCCCCCTGGTGAAATTCCAGATTTATCTGCAACGAGCGCATCGCTTGGTTTCTTTGGCAACAGTAGCTGCGCTGATGGCAGTATCAGAGACGACGGTTTCAGATGAACGTTGTGCCCTAGTGAAAGTATCAAATTTGCATTCATTTTTGCTTTGTGTTTCTTCTTCCTCGATTGCTTAGATCTGGAAGCAACACCGTTGTCGAAACCGTATGAATCTGAGATAGCAGCAGTAGCAGCAGCAACAGCATCGTCTGGGTTGTCACCTGTTTCGCTAACATCCTTCAGGTTGATTGTATATTCATTTTCCTTCGATGAGTTATTGGCAATAGGTCTGGAATGTTCAGGAGGTGTGTTAAGTCGACTCAATCTCCTTGGTGGAGCTTCGTTGTCCTTGTCACGTCGTGAAATTTCCCCTTGATTCCTCGTTACATGTTCTCGTTCTTGCTGTTGTTGTTGCTTTGTGTCAGCATCTTCAATCCTCAAAAGCGATTTCTGTTTATATTGAGGTAGATACATAGATTGTTGATTATTACTAAATGACCCGTTCCCTTTCTTAAGACTGCCTCCTCCATTTGTCACATAATTACCTTTAATCTTCCCCCTTCCTTCAGACCCTTCTTCCGATTCTTTTTTTCCTCGTCCTCGCGGATTATTCTTGAACCCTGTTGGTTGTACTTCGTTATAGTAATTAGACATAAGGTGGACCTGGAAATAGTCTCAAATATGCAGAATAAAACCTTTCAAAAAGTGACAGAGAAGATAATAAAAAACTACTTACAAAATATCGTTCCTGATGTGGCACCTAAATTGGTTTCCTCCCGGTAATTTTCAATAATAGGATATACAATCAAGATTTTTCACCTCTGCTTTCTAGATTCATATACTATTTATTTTATATTTTTTTCTTTTTTCCGATGATGGGGGAGAGTTAAAAGTCTGAACCATGATGATGATGATGATGATGATGATGATGATATATATGAGAACCCACCTACACATAGAGGACTATCTACACCCTACCCTTCATCTGGGATCGTAATGACTCAATTCACAACAATCTTTGTTCTAACACTCTCTTCACCACCCTCTTCAAATTAAGTGCTTTCTCAATACCTTCTTTCGTATAGTCTTAAACGGGGTTCTAGAAATTTTGAGTAGTAATCTTTATTATCTTAGCATCATACTATGCAAAGTGTGTTACCGTTTGATGCAGTTGTCAATGTGTTAGCCCCACCGCATTGTGATCTCTAACAAAAATATATATATGGGGGGGGGGGGGGGGGGGGGGGGGGCTCTTGGCAATTCCTTACGACGACCTAATAAAACTCTCGCTTCTTATCACCACCACCTAAAAATCTCTCGCTTCCGCTCCATTGTGTGTCGCAGCTCCCTTTCTCGTTTTCTGTCGCCTCGTTCTTAGCCCTGCTCGCCCCAAAGCATCAATTCACTATCACTACCACCACGACCACGACCCAGGAGAAAAAAAAAAAAAAAGAAAACGAGAAAACACTATAATCAGTTAATCAGTTTCTTTTCATTTCCCCTTAGTCAATCTTTCAAAGACAATAAAAATACACCAAGGACCACTTCAACAGTTCAATACCTTCTTCATTTCCAATAAGCAAAAAGATTGAGAACCATTTGAGTTATCCGCAAATGATCAATATACTGTGGCACGTGTGAAGAGTATTTTTTTTTGTTTTTTCTTGGGGGATATAAATGTCGTTGAAATCATCGATATTCAGCACAACTAACCAATCAAGTACCGCCCAAACTAAGAAACGAGCAGTAGCTTCATCCTCAAATGCATCGTCGGCCATATCTAGGTCAAAATCCCCCGGGATCTATGGTAGAAACTCGAAACCAAATACTCCGAAACTGTCATCCTCATCCTGTTCCACATCTTTAGCTGACAATAGTAGTAACAGCCCAGCGCCAACTTCACCCCTTAATTCTGCTACTACCGAGGTATCGGCATGGACCTTAAATGATCTTTTAACATCATATGACAATTACAGTTCTTTACCACCTATGCTATCCCCTTCCATACCGAATGAAGTGGGATGGTTCACCATAGTGAAGCTGGAGGAAGGGGCTCTACCTAGTGCAAAGAAACCCACTACTTCTGCGGTAGAACCTGATATTAATATAGAAAAGCGACAGGTAGTGGAAAGTCATGGTAAGAAGGAAAAGGAAAAGGAAAAGGAAAAGGAAAAGGAAAGTGTGTCTTCTCAAATATGTAAGCCAAAAGTTAAAAATACTCCTGTGCCTAGTGAAGGAAAGAAAGAGAGTAGTATACCTTCATACATGCTATCGCCTACTTTACCAGCAATATTCGATCAAAAAGATACAAGCAAACCAAGTGCATCTCGTGCTACTTCTAAAATTCGAAGCAAGAGTCCCGAAAAAGTAAAACCTTCTAGTCCAAAGATAAGAAGCAAGAGTAGTGCGGAAAAGCTGTATACATCTATTCCACAACTGCCGGTAGTAACGATTATCAATACCAAAGCCGCCTCGTTTCAATGGATAAACAAATGCTATAACACTCAGAAACCGAAATTCCTAGTTCGGGTAATTGCCAATAACAAACTCAAGTACAAAAGTCATTTTAGGAAGTCTCCGAGTCCTTCAAAATTAAGCGGATTTGAAATAATACGAGAAATTCATAATGGGCTGCCAAAACAACGTGGAAAATTGACAAAGACAGAGAAAGAAAGGGAAGAGCCGACTAAGATGCGAAAACAAAGTGATGACGATGAGGAGCAAGAGGAACAGCGGAAGGACAAGGAGGAGTCGTCTACAAAGAAGCGAAAGCAAAGTGAGAAAGAAAATCGGTTGCGACTGGAAGAAGTCGAAAGGAAAACTCAAAAGATACAAGAAAGAGATGACCGAAGTGGAGAAAAAACATCGCTACAAGTCGAAGCGGTTCCTGATACATCTTTGAGGGAGTTCTCCCCGGGGGATAATATTAGTAAGGACCTCTCCGACACCAAGTCCAATGGTCTGACCAAGAGCCTCGATATATCCAAAGAATTGAATGAGCTCCAAATAGAAAGAACAAGGTTTGCAAGGTATAAACAAGCCAAACTAAAAGAATTGGAGGAAATTGAAAAGTCCAACAAAGAAATGGAACTTCGACTTCAAAAGAAAGAACAAGAATTGAGAAATATGCGCTCTGATTGGCACGGCGGCGATGAACATAGGCGACAGTCACGAAAGTCCGAATTACCACCATTTACCAACAATATCATGCACTTGAATGATCAATTTTTGACACCTAATCTCAACAAGCATGGTTCAGAAGAACTCAGAAACATATTAAGCGATAAAAAGTCGTTTTGGCTGACACAGGTGAGAAATGCTCAATCTTTTTGTGATGAATTAACGGACCAGCATCGCTCTCACCACCTGCGTCATTCCGAGGGAGATGAAACTTCATCAGTATTACCGGTACTCGTCAAGATCGATATACTCATAATGAGAATAATTTCATGTGATTATGATGAGAGAAGCAAGACAGTGGCGCAAGTGCTACCCAGTGAGAGATTGTGGATGAGTTTGGATAAAGAGATCTCGACATTTATTGATGATTTGAAAAAACTAATTGATGAGACACCGGTCTCATCACGTATCAAGTTACAATTCGTGTTTTTGCAAGTTATCAAATGTTTGATGTTTTTACTAAGAGCATTGATAAGTAAACGAGTTAGTGCCATACTAGATCATGTTATTGAGAGCTACCGTGCAAAAACCAGTGATCGTAATCGAAATGACCAGCTTTTGAACAACAAGATTATTGAATTACAAGTACAGGAGCTAGGCTTGCGTCACAGCGAATGTGACTTTTTCGCCAATGCACAACCGGCATTTTTATACTCGACAATTGAAGGGAAGTTTGTTGAGACTTGGAGTAAGAAGAGTTTGGAGTTGAGTGATCTTCATCAAAGACAACGACGTGAGTTAAACAATAAACTTACTAGCTCATCTTTAAAGCCCCTGGGAACGGGCTCTTTATCAGCACCATTTTATCTACCTATTGGGTCGTATTCTAATTTAAGTGAAGTGACAAATTTATTATATTTTATTAGCTGTGAATTCATCGAGTGTTGGAATAAATCATCTGCTTCCACCATACAATATACCCTTCAGAGCGGTCCATTACGATCTATAGAATAGATATATATATATATATATAGCGTTTTTTTTCTTTTTTTTTATGTCCTTAATTACGAACTACTACGTATATACTTTTCCTTATATATCCAACTATTCCCAATTGATTTTACCCCAAATACCTCCATACTTCTCAACCAAGCTGCAGCTTTGGTTAGATCCTTCTTGCGGCTTTTTGATTTAGTTGCCCATATTTCACCCAACTGTTCCATAGCTTCAATAGTCCCCAATGAACCTGCTTTAGACAAACAAATTATAGCACTCTTTTCATCATTTTTAGTAATAGTCACAGAACCCCAGTTGTTATACAAGTATAGACCCAATTCCAAATAACTTAATGCTAAAACATTTGAGTTATTTTTATTTGCATTTATTACTTTCTGAATTTGGTTCTTACTCATTTCTTTAAATTGCAGATATAGCATATCGGGGTTTGTCCCGTTTTGATATGGGTCTGTGTTCATAGAATTACGCAAATCAGTAAGTACCAACTGTATCAAATCGGCTTCCCCTAACTTATTTAGTTTTGACATTACAAGATAATTATGGCTTTGGAAACTTAGCGAGCCCGTGGATAATGACAAAGAGCTGATTTGTATTAGTATGCACTTGCTTAACCATTTCACTGCTGATGTGTAGTTTTGCTTAACGCCTTGACCATGTTTTAAGGCCATTGCATAAAGGTACATTGCTTTGGGATAATGGTAAGGCTCATTAGCTGCAATTTGTAGTTGATACGAAGCTTCGCGATGGTTACTTAGCGCCCTTAGTTCTAAGGCAATCGCTGTTCTTGACTGGGGACTAACTTCTTGATATGTAGAATTGGAATGATGACGTCCTGGCTGGGGGGTGATGTATTCTATGGTACTTTGATTTTTTGAATATGAAGAGGCTCCCATGTAACCATACGAACTAAGTTTGATGGCTTCATTTTCTTTGCTTGATACTTTTCTCACTGTTGGGGCTGATGCAGTTCTAGAGAGAGTAGTATGCGAGAGAAAATGATGTTGATAGGGGCTTGGTGAACTTGGTGACAGATTAAGGCTTCTTTCATGTAGTGATGGCGATGATGTAGGAGTAAGAGTGTTAGTTGCAGCGGGAGTTGGAGTGGTTGTGGTAGTGAGATCGACTGTATAGGGAAGGTGTTTTCCGGGAATAGTGTGCATGGATGAATTAGGCGAATCGTAGGAAGATGTAGTTTTCAATGTTAGTACTGAATCAGTAGAGTGTAGTTGGCTCCTCACTTGTTGTGGCCTTTTTTCGTATAGATTCATCTCTGGCAAAGTCGTAACTGAGTTGTCTTTATAGAATGTCGTATTCGATTTGCTGGTTTCCGCAGCAGCAGCAGCAGCAGCAGAAGGAGGATGATGATGATGATGATGATGATGACTGTTTGCCTTTGCACTTGCACTTGCACCTGCACTTTCGTAAACAGTATTTATGGCAACTTTCGTTATATCAGCATCAGCATGTTTCTTGGGCAACAGTTTGTTTTCGGATGAAACCACGTTTTCATTGACAGTTTTCAGTAATGGTAAAGAGTTCTTCCTGTAAAGTGATGTTTGAAGTTGGGACTTATTATAAGGAGTGTTTTGCCTTGTAGGATTTGTGTAGTTTTTTAGTCTCGTAATGGCATTTAGGTTACTCATAGGTCGTTGATTCAAAGTAGCAGTTAGCCTATCTCTTTGAAAAGACGAGTTGTCGTAATTAGACGATACGATCGACTCATTATCGAAATCTAGCCTATCTAGTAACCTCTCACTCGTGCTGACAGAGTCGAATGAGTAAATACTTTCTCTATCCTCAAACATAAAACTCAAGTAAATGGTGTTAAAGGTGTAAAACTCAACTAGATGGTGTAAAACTCAAGCAGATTTGTTGTTTAAACGAAAGGTGTAAAACTCAAGTAGATGGTGCAAAACTCAAGTAGATGGTGTAAAACTCAACTAGATGGTGTAAAACTCAAGCAGATTTGTTGTTTAAACGAAAGGTGTAAAACTCAAGTAGATTTGTTGTTCAAACGAAAGGTATAAAACTCAACTAGATGGTGTAAATATTGAACAGGTTCTCTTTCAATGTAACGAATGATAACAAGAAGCGAGATGTATTTTCACCCCTTTGATCTTCCTACTTCTCGCCTAATATGATAACTCAAGCTTTTTTTTTTTTTTTTTTTTTTTTTTTTTTTTTGGGGGGGGAGGGGTTTCACTTCCTTGAATACGAGTTGAAGGGAGGCGGGGCGGCAGCAGGGCGGTGGCAGTGGACAGTAAACTCTTATAGATGACTAAGTAAACGGGCTCAAAAGGTTTGCTGGGCTATTCTATTGTCTTTTTTTCTTCCCAAATGTTTAAGAAGCGACCAAAATCTTGCGACCCAAAATCCAGTTCACAACTTGTTATCTGTGTATACTACGTTTTCTTTTATGTTTCACTTAAGGAGATCTTAGTAAGTAGTAACTCGGGTAGTATTTGCACTACCATAATTAAAAGGGGTAGTATTTGAAAGCTTATTATTAACCAACGACACATAAAGGGAATGAGAAGAAAAAAATTCCAAAAATGGAAAAATATGAGGCGCTCTCACAGTCCAGCCGCACAGCCGCAGAAACTCAACACTATCGAGCAACACTATCGAGCAGAGCGAGATAGTGTTGTTACAAGCTAGTCAGTGTGCTCTACTATCGAGCAGAGCGAGATAGTGTTGTAACAAGCTAGTCAATGTGCTCTACTATCGAGCAGAGCGAGATAGTGTTGTAACAAGCTAGTCAGTGTGCTCCACTATCAACACTATCTCGCTCTGCTCGATGATGTTGCTCGATAGTGTTGTAACAAGCTAGTCAGTGTGCTCCACTATCAACACTATCTCGCTCTGCTCGATGATGTTGCTCGATAGTGTTGTAACAAGCTAGTCAGTGTGCTCCACTATCAACACTATCTCGCTCTGCTCGATGATGTTGCTCGATAGTGTTGTAACAAGCTAGTCAGTGTGCTCCACTATCAACACTATCTCGCTCTGCTCGATGATGTTGCTCGATAGTGTTGTAACAAGCTAGTCAGTGTGCTCCACTATCAACACTATCTCGCTCTGCTCGATGATGTTGCTCGATAGTGTTGTAACAAGCTAGTCAGTGTGCTTTACAATCAACACTATCTTGCTCTGCTCGATGATGTTGCTCGATAGTGTTGTTACAAGCTAGTCAGTGTGCTTTACAATCAACACTATCTTGCTCTGCTCGATGATGTTGCTCGATAGTGTTGTTACAAGCTAGTCAGTGTGCTTTACAATCAACACTATCTTGCTCTGCTCGATGATGTTGCTCGATAGTGTTGTTACAAGCTAGTCAGTGTGCTTTACAATCAACACTATCTTGCTCTGCTCGATGATGTTGCTCGATAGTGTTGTTACAAGCTAGTCAGTGTGCTTTACAATCAACACTATCTTGCTCTGCTCGATGATGTTGCTCGATAGTGTTGTTACAAGCTAGTCAATGTGCTCCACTATCGAGTGTGGGATCGTTATCGATTCGACATATTTTATGGATCTTAAGAGGTAATAAGGGGCTTGTTAAGTTTTATCAGCTGTAAAATAAAGAAAAGAAAAATTATATTTTTGAAAAATCATTTTCTAATGATGACAGTTTGTTCCTTGCATGGAAATACATCAACACTATTGAGCAACACTATCGAGCAGAGCGAGATAGTGTTGCGACAAGCTAGTCAATGTGCTCCACTATCAACACTATCTCGCTCTGCTCGACAATGTTGCTCGATAGTGTTGTGACAAGCTAGTCAATGTGCTCACTATCAACACTATCTCGCTCTGCTCGATAGTGTTGCTAGTGTTGTTACAAGCTAGTCAGTGTGCTCCACTATCAACACTATCTCGCTCTGCTCGATAATGTTGCTCGATAGTGTTGCGACAAGCTAGTCAATGTGCTCCACTATCAACACTATCTCGCTCTGCTCGACAATGTTGCTCGATAGTGTTGTGACAAGCTAGTCAATGTGCTCACTATCAACACTATCTCGCTCTGCTCGATAGTGTTGCTAGTGTTGTTACAAGCTAGTCAGTGTGCTCCACTATCAACACTATCTCGCTCTGCTCGATAATGTTGCTCGATAGTGTTGTGACAAGCTAGTCAATGTGCTCACTATCAACACTCTCTCGCTCTGCTCGATAATGTTGCTCGATGGTGTTGTGACAAGCTAGTCAGTGTGCTCTACAATCAACACTATCTCGCTCTTCTCTATAGTGTATGTGCTCCACTATCAACACTATCTCGCTCTGCTCGATAGTGTTGATAGTGTTGCTAGTGTTAATGCTGTTTCATTTGTATTACATATGTACTGACTAGTGTATATATATATATATTGATTTGTTTCGAAATATCTCTACACTTCCGTTTCTCTCACATTTTTCAACTCCCTCCCCCCACCTAGACTAGTCATCTTCAGAAGGCACAGAGTGGCCCCTCAATGTCAATGGATAATGACTATGGTGATCATGATCCTCATGATCGTCATCCGCAGCAGCTAAACCTAATTTGAATCCAACATAGTCCTCAGTATTTAATCCCTGTTGAGCTTCTTGCAAACTTCCCAAATCACCAGGAGTCATCATTCCAATCTTGGTTCTAGGAGAGCCAGGAACAGATAACGGCCTAGTCAATTTCAAATTTGAGGAGTTGTTGAATGGATTTGCACCATTTTTAAACTTGTCTGGATAAGCTCTCTTCAAACTCAATTGACGAGCCTTAATATATTCCAATCCCATTCTCTTCCAATCTAACAAATCACTCAATCTTTCAGTTCTATTTCTTTGGTTGATTCTTTGTCTTCTTGTCTTTTCACAAAATTCAAACATATAATCGGTTAATTGATCAATTGATTCATCAACAGATTTCATTCTACGATCAACAATGTAGATACCATAATCACTGGTGTTTTCAATCAAATCTTCCATGTAACAACCAAATCCCGATAAATTGGTGGTAATTGAAGGAATACCCATAACGGTACATTCAGCAGGTGTGTATCCCCATGGTTCATAATATGATGGGAACACCCCCAAATGACATCCACGAACAAATTCATCATAATCTAACGATAATATAGGGTTGTTGGCATTAAGGAATTCAGGGTGGAAAATGATCTTAACTCGATCTTCGGGACGATTGAATAATTGAACACGTCTAATTTGGTTCAATACCGGATCGTTGCTATCGTCGACCATGTTATGTGTAACAATTGGTGGTAGTCCATCTCTTTTCAATGCATAAATTCTCCTCTTTAACAAAACACGATCAGCTGGCTTGATCAATTCATCTATTGATGGCACCTCATTTGATTTTTCACCTGATACGTGTTCCAAATTGGGGTATCTAGCACAGTGTTCAAATAATCTCTCACCGACTTTCTTCTGTACTTCCTCAATAGTTGACTCTAATTGCTTAATTACAGCTTGTCCTTTCAAAGTTTCAACGGTGTAAGACTGAGTTTTACCAGGCATGATGATGAAGGCAACAACCGTCATCTTGGAACCAATTTCTTTCAATCTATGATTCAATCTTGCCATTGATTCAATGAAAAAATCACAACCCTTGTTTCTAAACTCATATCTTCCCGCAATAAAGAAATACAAGGTATTTTCCAAATCAAAATCATAGTTACCATAGAAATGACCCTTAATAAACTCGTTAATTTTATCCTTTTTCAAAGCATGCAAATTTTGAAATTCATGCACTGCTTGGAATTTAACAACATTCAATCCATTAGGCAAAACACCATCTGGTTTTCTCTTCAATAAATGTTCGCTTTCATAAGCTGTAATATGGGAAACGGTAGTGAACACATCGGCAGAATGAGTCGCTGATCTTTCAATACAATATCTGTGATAAATACCTCTTTTCCCTGCTTCGGCATCAACATCGAAAGTAGCCAAGTTATTGTAAAAATCGGTAGATCCTGCACAAAGGTATCTTCCTAGTAAGGTAGCATGCGTGGTAAATATAGTCGTGACATCAATTCTTCTTTTACGACACAAGGGCAAGGCGATACCGGCGAGCCACTCATGGAAATGGGCAATCACCGCTCTGTCTCTATCGTTGTATACCAACTCTCCCAAAAACCATGCTACCAAGTAACCAAGCAATATAGCATCATTTGTCTCCAGATCATGATCAGGAGTAGGAATACCAGCAACATTCCACAAATCCGCTTTCCACTCATTGAGGAAGCCTGATGCTGACCAAATATCAAAGAGTAAGACACGTGGCGCACCTTCAATCAACCATCTACCATATAACCATCTAATTCCCTTTCCCGACATCGAGTCCAAAGTTTGTTTGATAAGAGGATCTTTAACAGGCAACTCCTCGACTTCAATCTGGGCCGAGTCATAATTCAAGGGACCAAGTAAAGTATAGCGTTCTCTATATTCAGCAACTGTAATTGGTGCTTTAGATTTCAAAACAGAATATATACCGCCAACTTTGTGAGCCACCTCCGTAGCAACTTCAAAAAGAAGGTGGTTGGTGATATCTCTCGTCATCACTTATATATAGCTTACCAGTTAAAATTAGAAACCTAGATACCGTTTTGTCAAAATCTAGTATTGAACAATGAAAAGTGAGTTAACAAAAAATTAATAAATTAATATATAAAAAAAAAAGGTTAATCTTTATCTCTGATTAAATGGACAATGGAAATGGAGTATAAAAAGAGTAAAAGTCCGAGAGAGGAAACAAGCAATTTAAAAGTAAAAGTTAAAAATTTCAAACTTGTGGTTGTAACTGAGTCCCAAAATCTCGCTGTTGTAGATTTGATCCCGCTGTTGTAGTTTTTACTGGTGAAAGTACTAAACTTTTGGATTTTTTAATTGAAAATTTTATGGAAATGTAACCTCCATAAAATTCTCCAGCGTCAATATATATATATATATATATATTTTTTTTTTAGGTTCTTTTTTCTTTCAATTTATTTTTAACCAAAGGTAATAAAGCTGACTGGAGGCTGGCAATTGGTGCGACTGGGCGGACTTGGAGACTGGAGACCATTATTTTTTTTTTTCTTCTTCTATTGTAAGTGTTAAATCCCAGCGTGGTGTGTGTGGGGACTGAACGAGACCATGCCGAATCAGTAGTAGTATCAGACAGCGCGGCATGATCAAATGATCAAGAGAAAAAAAAGAAAAAGTCATATCATCCTTAAAGTCAATAGCACAAACTTGTAAAATTGTACAGTCATAAAGTTGTACACAAATATGAAACAACACCACTAAAAAAAACAATAGAGAAATATACAAACCAGGTAAATATGGAGTAAGTTTATCACTCCACTTTTCAAGATCACGTGGCGAGACAAATTGAGAATTAAAGAATGAAATTTTGGAATCGAGAAATTGAAATTATTAGAGAAAGGAGGATATGGCAAGGGAAGGTGTGGCAGGTTGGAAGGTATAGCAGGTTGGAAGGTGTGGCAGGTTGGAAGGTATGGCAAGGTTGGAGGATATGGCAAGGTTGGAGGATATGGCAAGGTTGGAACATAGATAATGTTTCAACAAGATATTTTTTATCTTGACGATTGATTTGAAAGAAAAATATCCAATTGTCATATAATAGTTAGAGAAAAGAAGAAAAGAAGAAAGTTAATCTCGTCACGAATCTATGGTTTGTGCTAGATTTGATTTATATAATTCGCCTATTGTGTCAATAGAAAAATTATCTACACCTTTTTCTTATACTTTATAGATGGTATTGCGCTACCAAAAAACACGCTTTTATAAAATGTAACGATAAAGGTATATATATCTGTTATATTTAATTGTCTTGTTTTTCAATCCACTCGACCAATACGGTAGGAAATACAACCTTCCTTTCTTTTTATATACTAGTCAAAAATCAATTACTTCTTGTAGCTCTAGGTCTAAGAGTTCTTGCAAAAATCAATTACTTCTTGTAGCTCTAGGTCTTGTAAAAATCAATTACTTCTTGTAGCTCTGGGTCTAAGAGTTCTTGTGCTTTTGGTACTGTTTCTTGAATTGGACAAAAAATCAAATATGTGTACTGGACGAGTTTGCTGATGATTATACTTTTCGATTTCACACAACCTCTTTCGTCGCTGTGCGGAATCGGGGTTGACGGAAATAATCCTCTTACGTCTATTGCCACGCAAAGAGGATGTAGTAGTAGAAGCGGAAGTGGCGACGGCAGATATTTTTTCGATATTAGTGCCTCCTTTTTTCGGTAAAGTACCATTACCATCACCACCACCATCACCATCACCACCACCATCACCACCACCATCACCATCACGACCATCACCACGACCATCACCACCATCACCACGACCATCACCACCATCGCCATCACCATCACCACCTGCAGAACTGTTGTTCTTTTGCCGGAGAGGAGATCTTTCTTCAATCCAATCAAGCTCTTGCTTTTCTCGAATGTAATCAGTATGTTCCTGAGTAAAGACATTAATATCATTATCTTGCCAAAACGCAGTCAAAAGCTCAAGATTTTCTTTTGACGCCAATTCCTGTTTGAATAAATAGTATTTCACTGTTTTATCCAATAGTTGAAATTCAGCTGCAATAGAAGTATGACACGTTTTCACTCTCTCCAATAATAAACACCGGGGGCATGTATCTCTTAGCCGTGATTCATACGGTTCGGAGTTTCGTGATTTTTTGCAAACCAGACATTTTTCAGCTTCTATACGTACTGAACGAGGCGTGATCGGAGGGGGAGCTGGCAGATGGCTAATTTGTTGAGTATTTAGCAAGCTTGCTTCTAGTATGGGCTCAGGGGATTCTGTTATTCTTCCGGGAAAATCTTCTACACTATTATTTCGAATTGATCTTGTAGATGAAGTTGTTGCTGCTTTCTGTGCTATCAGCCGATTATCCACACTTTGGCCACTACTATTTCCTGATACTGGAAAACTCGTGTCCCTTGTTCTTCTGTGCCCTGTTTTTCCCGTGTTCAATTCACTCATTTCCAAAGAGCGCTCGATTGGTTCTCTTGATGGAGTAACATCAGTTGCGTTTTTTCCAAATTGTTCTGGTCTTGAAATCAACCCATTATTTATGCTGTTTGCCGATTGCCCATTACTACCTAAATTTACAGCTTCATTGTTTGCCTCTTGTATTAATACACCCAGTTGAGTTCCTACTTCTTGTTGTTCTTGTTCTTCTTCTTGTTGTTCTTGTTCTTCTTCTTGTTGTTGTTGTTGTTGAGTATTGTTCGACGTTGTACGCGGTGCTCTACGAGTATACCTTGCTCTCCCGCGTTTTCTTCTACGCCTAGTCACTCGAGTGGGTACGGCCACTGGTTCACCAGAATCGTCGTCACTTTCAACAAGAGGGGTATAAAATTCGGCAAGAATATCGTCATCGGAATCGTCCAGCAAAGGTTGGTTCATTGATGGATTGTTACCAATAACCTTAGATGGCTCTTCTTGAACAGTAATCGTAGCGGCTTCAGGAACATTGACGTTTTCAACAAAACTCTCATGACGAGATTCACTTTTGCTCTCAGATTCATCTCTAGGAATAACTACCTGTCCGTTAACCTGACTCTCTGTTTCTTCTTCTTCCAAAAAGGGGCTAACATTTGCAACCTTATTGAAATAATCTATATTCTTTTCTATGTCAAGCCTATCAGTTTCATTGCTTTGGATAAAGTTTGTTCCATTAATATATGCTCTATCCTCGCGTAGTTGGACACTCTTGGTACTACTTCTATCTTGCAGTAGGTTCGCTACCGGGGATTTGGAAATATGTATTCTCCTCCTTCTACTTTTCCTCTTTGTCCCCCTCCTCTTGTTGTTGATGCTACTGCTGATGCTACTACTACTACTACTACTACTACTACTACTGCTGCTGCTGTTGTTGTTGTTTCTGGGACTTTTCTCACCCATGCTTAGTTCATTTTCATATGAGCTAGTTAGCCAATCATCATCATCATAGTCATCATCATCATCAATATTGTGATCTGAATGCCCACTAAAATCAACCAGCGGTGCACTCAAAGCACGGTCATTTGATGCCTCCTCACTAGTTCGAGAGTTTCCACCTCCATTTAAGTTTACACTTTGCAAAGCATCATGCTCAGACGTAGTTGCTTGTTCTTGTAATAAATCTTTTAGTAACTTTGGGGACAACTCTGAAACTAATTTCATTGAAGCTTGCGATGCTGTTGGTAGTGGTGATGTGTTTTGGATTTGAGATTCTTTCATATTCTTGGCTATACTTCGAATATCCCTACTGTATTTTCGAAGATCTTTATCTTCGCAAAGTTTGTCAATGAAATCATCGTGCCCAAGCGCTATTTCTTGTTTCAAGAGAAATAGTTTGATGGAAACATCAGTGTTTCCGAAATATTGGGTCATTGATAATGGATACTTTCCTGTTTTATAATCCTCTATGAACCAACAACGAGGACATGTTCTCATCTTCCTAAAGCTCCTCGGTTCATCCTGGGCCCTTACCTTTTTACAAACTCGGCATATAGAGTTGTAAGCTGTCAAATCATCGTCATCTATCTTGTTGTAAGCTGTCAAATCATCGTCATCTATCTTATTGTAAGCTGTCAAATCATCGTCATCTATCTTATTGTAAACCTGTTCACCCGAGTTTGGTGATAATAACCCATTTGAAAAAGTGCGTTTTTGAATGTGCTCTATAAGAATGGAATAAAAGGGCTTTAGCTTTGTATGAGTAGTTTCTATTTGCTTTGCGGAATATTCTTTAGTTGCAGTGGAGAAATTGTTTAAACACGTTTCCGACGATTGCCCACATTCTCTAAAATGAACCCACGCTCGACATAATCGACAAACAGGACATAGTGCTCGGACCTTATCTTCTTCTGGTTCTTCTATCCTCCTTCTTTGATTGCACCCAATGCACTTGTCAAGCATTCCCTGCTGTAGTCCCAAAGTGCGATAGTTCCAACTACTACTATGGTATAAACTAGCCCTATTCGTTTTCTCTCTCCCTCTTAATTTGCGTGAACAAGCAAAGTGAGCGCGCTACATAACCATTGCAAATTTGTTTCACCAGTTCATAATCAAGTGTGTGTTCTTAAAAAAGAGAGAGAGAAAAAAAAAGAAGTATAACCTTGTTGAAGATGAAAAGAAGGCGATTGGTAAAATTCAGGACCAGTTGTGTGAGTTGCCTCTACGATACCAAAAAGAAGAAAAAAATGGGAGAGTGAGACAGAGAGAGGGAGGAGCGGTAGGGGAAGAGATGGGGGGCGGGGTCGTCTATGCTAAATTATTCAAAAGGAAACATGTACATTAAAGATCTTCGTCCTTGCCATCGCCATCGCCATCGCCATCGCTATCTACTTCCATCGAGAATGCAAGAGGCCGACCTGTTTGTTTCATGTTGATGCTGTCAGGCCCGAGCCACTCGCCTTCGCTTTCTTCACCGTCATCCATTATCTCCTCTTCACCGTCATCCATTATATCCTCTTCATCCTCATTCAGTAGTTCAATATCTTCTTCCACATTCTCTTTCAAATCTTTACTAACCGTCAAGAATCTCAATAGATAATTATTTCTCTTACCCACATTCACCACCTCTTTAGCAATCTTATTCAAAAATCTTGATAATAGTTTCAAAGACGAGCGAAATTCAAACTTGTGTGATGTTATATACGTGCCATGCCGAATCAATAAATTATTGATCCAAATCAAGTAAAACTCAATGTGCGGGGAATCATGTTTGACCAACAACTCTCCAATGAAACTCAAAACACGATCTACATATACTACGGGTAGATCTTGACAAATCAATTTTATATCACTCAACGGAACACTTTCAATAACTTTATGAATGAGATACGTCTCATTCAAACGTAGAGCCATGACTAAAGCCACAAGGAACTCTTTCTCCTTTAACGATTGTATAGTTGTTTCTGGGGTGATATCAACATCCAAATCAAATGGATCAAAAACCAACTCTTGGTTAACCAAGTATATTAAAACACCTTCCGTCGTAGCTGCTGCAAATGCCAAAGTAGTTGGCGAGAATTGCACTGCTGATACTCGTATTGCAGGTCTAGTTCTACGCTCGCTTGGGTCCCCTAAACGCTGTGATCCAGGCAAGGTATTATCAATCCTGTCTTCCAAGTCACTATTTTCACCATTTCTATCAATTAAATCCGAATTGATTCCAGCATCGGTAATCTTGGCACTATTTAGGAATTGTAAAGTACCATCAAGCGACATGTTTTCCGAAACAAGGAATCTCTTTAGTAAAACCTCATTATCAATATCGTACATACATATTGAATTGTTGTTGCCTCCAGCTAACAAAGTTAATCCATCGAATGAATAAGTAATCGTATCAAAAAACTTACCACGGCTCGATTTCTTACTGACAAATTTATCCTCAAGGTATCTACCGTTAATGAGATCTTTACGACCATCTATAAGGTGGACCTGTTTAGCATCTTCAATGTCAAAAATAGTAATATGTCCATTCAACGTGGAAACTGCCACCTCCTTACAATCTGGTCTCATTGATAAGCATAATACATCACTTTGTACTTCTATTGGCTCCGTGGTTTGATTTCTTGCAAATATATTCCAAATTCGAATTGTTTTGTCCCATGAAGCAGAGGCTAAAGTCGAATCCTCTTGACCAAAAGCAAGACATGAAATTGGCCCTTCGTGACCAGTCAAGGAGTCCAATAGTTGTCCCGTTTGCACCGACCATACATAGATTTCAAAAGTGTCATGTGATCCCCCTACAATAACCTCCCCGCTGGGATCAACTGCTAAACAATTGAATTGGATTCTTGAAGTAGCCGTGAAGGTTTTGAAGTTTCTAAAACGGATCAAATCATAAGCCCGAATTGTACCATCCAAGGACGATGAAAACAAAACGTTGCCCTTCTTAGCAAACTGCACCTGTGTTACTGCAGATGTATGCTCTGTGAATGTCACCAAGCAAAACCCAGAAGCAACGTCCCATACCTTGATCTTACCGTCATCAGACCCAGTAACGAGTCTAGCTCCGTCAGGGGAATAACAAAGCGTATTCATTGTATCAAAGTGTCCTTGTTGTTTAAGTATATACGATTCCGATTGCCATTCGTAAACTAATAGTTGTCCTAATTTGGACGACCCAAAAGCAAGCCACTCCCCAGTTTTATTGATATTTACAGTATTCACCGTGTTTTGACCCATACTCAACTGTTGAATGAGGACAAAGTCTTCTCCAATTTCATAAACTCGAAACTCACCATTGCTGAAGCCAACCACTAGCAAATTTGATTGGGCATGGAAGGTAGCACATTTTAGTTTGGCATTGGCATAAAAGAAATTCTTTGAAGTTATTCTCCATTCACGTGGACCATCCTCCTCTTCCTCCTCTTCCTCCTCCTCATCATCATCACTCTCTTTGGGTGCTTCAATGTATTCCCATTTAAAAAGAGCTCCATCTTTACTGACTGTATAAATTGTGTCGTTATCTTTACTAAAGAATGCATTCACCACGTAATCTCGGTGACCTGAAAATGTCCTTGCAACATCTTTATCACTGGACTCGAGTGAATAAATTCTTGCAGTCATATCTTTACTAGTACTGATAAAGTATTTGGAATTTTCTGACCAGGATATGCTAAGAACATCATCAAAATGTCCCAGGTAAATTCGGTGCCTCACAAATGGTGCAAACTGTCTATCTTCAGTAAAGTCAGGAGTCTTCCAAACCTGAATAAATCGCCCAACTGCAACGGCAAAGTACTTCCCACACGGACTAAAACTAATATCATTTACTCTAGACTTGAAGTTGAAATGGTGCAAAACCACTCGCGATATAAAGTTTACAAGAATAGCCCTCCCGTCTTCATCTATTGAAATCAATAGATTATTCTGCTTATTTAAAGCAATACATTGAATGTTTTTCCTATGCTGATAGTTGAAAGTTGTTGTTTGAGACTTGACTAAATCAAAGCAAGAAACACGGTTTCCTACGGGTGATAACAATTTAGTACCATCCTCTGTAAAAACCAAGTTCCCCTTCCGATAAACTGTTCCCAATAAATTGGAGAACTTGAAGTCCGACTTCATTTATACAAAGATCTAGTGTCTGTCGTATTGACCTATGATATCAATATATGTAAATGGTGAGTTTTTTTTCACTTTTCTATGGAAAAGTTGAAAAATGAAAAAAAAAAAATTATAATTAGCGATGCTCATCGCAAGGACTGAATTTTTGATACATTGAGATTTATCGTCACTATTTCCCCATCTCTGTAGGATAGCCACACACACACGCACATAGAGAGACACATATTACAAGTATACAATGTCATCCTCACTTTCGAGTAGGGTGTTGAACATGAAGTTCATGCAGAAAGCCAAGGACTTGAAAACAATCGAAAAGCGACAACAAGAACTGCAGAAGAAAGTTGAAGATATATCGGAATGGAAGTTACCAAGTCTGGAGCAAATACTACGGATGGCGTCTCGGAAGTCAAAAATAGAAAGTGTAGGGTATGGAACCATTATGAGTGACACAAGCTATTATAGGAAAAGGAGAAGTTCAATTGGTGGAGAATTTGCAGAGGAGACATTAAATAAAGAAGAAGACAAAGAATATGATGATATAGAAGGAGATAGAGAAGAAGAAGAAGAAGAAGAAGAAGAAAAAGAAGAAAAAGAAAGTGGGTTTAATCGAGAAACTATAAAGAATTCAAAGGATTTGGGTTTGCATTGGCGAAAACGGAAGTTAAAGAACCCGGAGAATAGCAGAGAAAAACGTTTTCATGGATAAAAGTGTACTATCGACACTCCACTATCTCGCTACGCTCGATAGTGGAGTAGCACTTGATTGTAATGCTATCGAGAGCGAGATAGTGGAGCGGCACTGACTACACCGACACTGACTACACCGACACTATCGACGCTATCTCACTCTGCTCAATAGTGGAGCGCACTGACTAATAATACTATCTCGCTGTGCTCGATAGTGTTTTGATTGCAAACAGAAGCTAACCTATAAAATACAATAATCCTTTGCGCTATTGCATTTATACCATCATAATTCCATTTTTAGCGCGCAATATATTTTCGACTTGTGACATATTGTTTTTCCTGCCATAAATTATACTTTGTCGTTTGTACTATGTCGTTTGTACTATGTCGTTTGTGCTTTGTGCTATGTCGTTAGTACTTTGTCATTTGTGCTATGTCGTTTGTGCTTTGTGCTATGTCGTTTGTACTTTGTAATTTGCGCTATGTCGTTTGTACTTTCTCGTTTATAAGCTTTACATAGTTGTTTGCAAAAAGAAAAGAAAAGACCTTTCTACCCCTTTATTACATTAAGACAAACTGACTTAAAAGTAATATGCTACTAAGTGTTGCTCCACTATCTCTCTCTGTTCGATAGTGTCACTCGCTCTGCTCGATAATGTCACTCACTCTGCTCGATAGTGTCACTCGCTCTACTCGATAGTGGTGCCAATTATTGGCATTTCCGTCAAGCTCACGTGACCCATATTAGCTTTTATTGCTAACATTTTTGTATTCCTCCCTGTTTTATTTCAAGTACATTTTTTTTTTAAACCTTTTTCAATTTCAGACTGCACATACCAGCTTTTCAAATTTCAATGCTTGCTTTCAATAAATACTCTAATTTTTTTTAAACCAACGTCAAATCCACAGTACTTGCAATTGGCTTCTTCTTCCCCAATTTGAAAGCAGCATTGGTTACTTGAGGAGGCGACAGTTTTCTTTTACCTTATCTTTTTTGCTTTATTTATAAATTTTTTTTTTTTTTTGGGCTCAATCATGGCTGATGCGCTTGCTTCAGCAGGTGGTGTAGAAGAAAAGGCTTCTAATGTATGTTGATCATGATCTATACCAATTAATTTTATGTCCACCAGCTTACTAACAAAAACCCTTTTTTTTTTTTCGCACCAAGCCTAATGATATTCTTCTGCCTCCAAAACAAATAGATGTTAAGCAGCCAATCTCGCCTAGCGAGAAATTAAAGACGGGCGGTAGCAAATCCGGCGAGTCTGAGTCTAGGTCCTCGCAAAATGAAGCTATTGATGAGCAACAACAACAAAAGCAGCAGCAACAGCAACAGCAACAACCACAACATCCGCAACCGCAACAACAACAACCGCAAGGTGGTAATGGTGGTAATGGTGTTAGCAACTCTACGAGTTCCGGAGATTTCACGTACCCCCCTCGAGTCAATGGTAAAGCTCCTACTTCACCATTACCTCCCGTACCTTCTCCCGCTCCCGCTCCTGCTCCCGCCAATATTCCAAATAACAATGGGCTACTGCAGAACCACCCTTTTCCTCAAATGGACTCTTTAACTCAACAAAGTAACATAAATAAGGTGCCTACTTCCGGATCGGTCAGATCAGCTGTATCTAGAACAAAAGAAAGCAATTCGATCAAACCAACTACAACTAGCGAAAACGCACCAAGATCAAATGGTTCACAAAACACACAAACCAAACCTACTCCCAATGGCGTTTCATCAAAAAAGTTAGTACCCAGTGAAGATTTCGACATGAGCAATGTCAAAAGCAAACCGGCACAGAGAGAGCCTGTCGAAACAACATTTAGAGGCTGGAAAGAAGTAGGTGGTTACGAGGCTGATGACACATTAACAGAAGAAGACGAAACAGTGAATTTATTATCAAGGGGGTCGATTTTCGACCAGTATTTACCTGCATACGTATATGGAGACTGGTACCATAATGCTGGTTACTTGATTCTTAGTGGGTTGTTATCGTGGTTAATTGGGTGGTTGAGATTTTCAGTTGCTCCCTTGTTTTTCGTTATGGTTGTTTTTGCTTTATTGTACCGTGCTTCGGTTAAGAAGTATCGAGGTTTACTAAGAGAACAAGCGCAACGTGAGTTTTCTATCAAACATATAGAAGATGACTATGAGACTATGGACTGGTGCAATTATTTTTTGGAAAAATTTTGGTACTATTTAGAGCCTTCAATATCTCAAATTGTATGCGAGCAAGCTAATCCTATTTTGGCCGATTTGCCGATCCCTGCATTTGTCCTGGCAGTTTGGATTGATAGTTTTACTTTGGGAACAAAACCTCCAAGGATCGACAGAGTGAAAACTTTACAGGGCACCTCTGATGACGTTGTGGTTATGGACTGGGGGTTTTCATTCACTCCAAACGCCAATGTGGATGCTAACAATAAACAATTGAAGAGCAAAGTTAATGAAAACATTGTTGTTAAAGCTACAATTTTTGGTGTGACTTTGCCAGTAACTGTCGGTGATGTTTCTTTTAGCGGATTAGCCAGAGTAAGATTGAGGATGATGTCCTCATTTCCTCATGTTGAAACAGTTAATGTGTCGATGATGGAACCACCATCATATGACTTTAACACAAAGATTTTGGGCGAGGCTTCCTGGTGGTGGGAGCTTTTAGCGGTTCCTGGTTTATACCCGCTTATCAACGAAATGGTTAAAAAATATGTTGGTCCAATTCTTTTCAACCCAATGTCTTTTCAATTGAATGTGCAGCAGTTGTTAGCTGGAAATGCCTTGGACTCTGCTATTGGTGTTTTGGCAATCACTGCCGATTCTGCTAGAGGCTTGAGGGGTTTCAAGACTCTCGGTAATACATTGGATCCATATTTGACTTTTAGCTTTAGAGATAAAGTTTTAGCAAAGACAAAAGTTATTAGCGATACCAGCAGTCCTGTTTGGAAACAAGTTGTACATATACCAGTTTCATCTTTATCTGAGCCATTAAACATAACAGTTGTTGATTTTAACGATATCAGAAAAGATAGACATGTTGGTGCCATTCAATTTGATTTAGCCGGCTTTGTAGATAACCTGTCGCAACCACATCTCACTGCTGCTTTTTTGAGAAACAACAAGCCAGTGGGAGAGCTCAATTTTGGAATAAAGTATATGCCTGTCTTGATGCCAGTTAAACAAGCTGATGGTGCCATCACTCCGCCACCAGATTTGAACACGGGAGTTGCAAGAATAGAGATAACAGAGGCAAGACATTTGAGAGGCGGTGACAAAGGTGCCTCTGCAAGTGCAGAGCTCATTTTTGACAACAAGTCTGTTCTTCAGACTTCAGTTCAGAAGAACACAAACAATCCTGGATGGGGAGCAGCAACCGAGCAAATTGTATTTGATCGTACTAAGGCAAGAGTTAAAGTTATCATTAAGGATAAGAGCGGAAGACCTTTTGGTCAAATTACTCATAGCTTGAATGAATTGATTGATGCTACGCAAGTTGATCTGACGTGGTTCCCATTGAGTAAAGGTGGTGAAGTTAGAATACAAACGGTTTGGAAGTCTGTGGAAATGGAAGGTGCAAGTGGTGCTGGTGGATACACCACACCAATTGGTGTTATTCGAGTGGGTGTTGAGCATGCAGAGGATTTGCGTAATTTGGAAACAATTGGTAAGATTGATCCATACGCTAGACTTTTGGTTAATGGATATGAGAGGTGTAGAACAGTTGCTTTTGATTCAACATTGAATCCTACTTGGAACGAAATTCATTATGTATCTATTTCCTCGCCCAATCAGAAATTGACAATTGAGGTTATGGATGTTGAATCCCACTCTGCAGATAGAACTTTGGGTTCATTTGATGTCAAGTTGAATACTTTTATTCAAAAAGACGAGATGGGTCAGTATATTGAACATGTTGATAAGAAGAAAAGAACATCGAAATTGATCCATAAAAAGGGACCAAAAGGGACAGTCACTTATACCTTGTCATTCTACCCGGCGCTACCAGTAATGACACAACAAGATTATAAGGAGGCTGCTAAAGCAAAGGAGAAGCTTAAGAAAGATCAGGAAAAACTGGTAAAAGACGAGAAAAGAACAATAGAAGATAGTAATCAAATCAACCAAAAGAAAACCACTGCTCAAGAAAATGGCGCAAAAGCAACCGATGATGTTGCTGATGATGATGTTGAAAACGATGATGAAGATAGTGATGATAATGAAGAGGATGATTACTTTAGACTGAAACTCAAATTGTCTCTTGAAGAATTAGTGGCTTATAAAAGTGGTGTTTTGGTTTTTGAGATCATCGAAGGTACTTTTAGCAGAGAGGATGTCTACTTACAAGTTTACTCATCAAACCAAGGTTATCCCGATTTTATTACCAGAAAACTTACAAAGAGGAGTGGTAAGATTGAAATTACTGGTGATTGTGTGATAACGCAATTGGATTGGGCACAGACTTGTTTCCGGTTGGTTAAAAACAAAGATGACAATAGGGTTGATAAATGTGTTGCTGAAGCAACAATTCCAACCATGCAATTGCTCAAGAATGGTAATCATGAATCATATTCTGTTGAGTTGAATGGTGCAGGGAACGCCACGTTTAAGATATTATTTTCGTGGATCCCGTTGATTTATAAATCTGGTATTCCTCCTCAGGATTCTGTAGATAATTCGGGTATTTTGACTGTGGATGTGCTTAATGCTGAGGACTTGCCATCCTCCGATAGTAACGGAAAATCTGATCCATACATGAAGGTATACCTCAACAGTGACAAGGAGGCATTTTTGAAAACCAAGACAATCAAGAAGACGCTTGATCCTACTTGGAACCACACCGAACAAGTCGAGGTTGCCAATAAATTTGATTCAGTGTTGAAGTTTGTTTGCTGGGATTGGGATATGGCCAACCCTGATGACTTATTGGGTACTGGATATGTAGACTTGTGTGATTACGATATGAAAAACGGTTCGGTGGAGGTGAAAATACCTTTATTTGGAGAAGCAGGAGAGCCCGCAGGTACAGCGTATGCCAAGTTATCGTTCAAGCCCGAGTTTGTATTGAATGTTAAGCCAAAGAGTCACACAACTGTAGGAACTGTTGGACAAGTGGGCAAAGGTGTCGGTAAGGGAGTAGGCAAGGGAGTAGGCAAGGGAATAGGGACCTTGGGTAAAGGAGTCGGAGGTGTTGGAAAGGGACTTGGCGGCGGATTCAAGGGAATAAGAAAGGGTTTACACTTTGGAAGCCTGGACTAATAAGCAAGTTGAAAAAAAAAAAAAAAAAGACAAGAGGAGAGGAGAGACAATAACTTATTCATTGCTCAATTTACAAACATTTCATGTCGTTGTTATCCTTACAACTATCTCGCTCTGCTCGATAGTGGAGCACACTAGCTGCCACCACTATTGGTATACTTCCCCAATACTTGTATTTGTTGGTGTAAATGGACTCTGATTTTTATCTCTAACGTTTCTTGTTAAAAAAAAAAAAAAAAAAAAAAAAAAAAAAAAAAAAAAAAAATTCAATTCTTTGAGATGAGCATTGCTTGAAAAAAAAAAAAAACGCTTGTAAAGGTCTACAAGAAACTGGAGGGATCCTTAACTCTTTTCAAGTTAAACACCAGAAAAAGAGCCTAACACGCCCTGCTGTATGTTATCATGGATATTTCTAAACCAGTTGGTTCAGAAATCACTTGTGTTGATTTCGGAGTGCTCTCAGATGAGGAGATACAAAAGTTATCAGCCAAACAAATCACCAACCCTGTTGTGTTTGATAATTTAGGCCATCCAGTGAATGGTGGTCTCTATGATTTGTCTCTTGGTGCGTTTTTGAGAAACGTGTGTACGACATGTGGATTAGATGAGAAGTTTTGCCCCGGACACATGGGCCATATAGAGTTGCCAGTACCTGTTTATAATCCAATGTTTTTTAACCAACTATATATACTTTTGAGAAGTTCATGTTTATACTGTCACAAGTTCAAGATGAATTGGCTTGAATCGAATTTGTTCAAGTGCAAGTTACAACTAGTACAATATGGACTATTGTTAGAATGCACTGAATTGGAGAATATGATGCCATCTCGGGGGAAAAAGAATGACAATGACAATGACAATGACAATGATGAAGACGATGAGTCAACAATCGACGAAAAATCCAAAAAGGCATTGATGGAGAAAAGAGAGGCATTTGTTAAAGATGCTATAGCCTGTGCATTAAGAGATGGACGAACCACACATAAAGGAGTGAAAACTGCATCAGTTGGAGAAGAAAGAAAAGCCATTATACATGACTTTTACAAAAGGTTATTGAGCAGGCCCAAGTGTAGCAATTGTGGAATGTATTCACCAAGTTTCAGAAAAGATGGGTACACAAAGATTTTTGAAAACTCGTTAAATGACAAGCAAATCACCAACAACCGTGTGCGAGGCTTACAGCGCCAAGATATGTTGAAAAAGAATGGGGGCGTCAAAAACGGATCAGATGCAAGTGACATACCCAATATCAAGCATAAAGGAGGTTCAAAATACGTCTTAGCATCAGAAGTGAGGAATATAATAAGAGCTGTATTTGAAAAGGAACAGTCAGTGTTGCAAAAAGTTTTCCATTCTAGACCGTATCAACACGAAATTGTTAGTGGTGACATTTTCTTTAAACAAGCAATTTTAGTTCCACCTACTAGATTTAGATTGCCTTCTAAATTAGGTGACGAAGTCCATGAGAATTCTCAGAATGAGTTATTGTCCAACATTTTGAAAACGGCTGTATTGATTGGAGACTTGAATGGGCAAATTTCCCAAATGTACAAAGAAAAAGTCAGCGGCGAGCAAAAGAAGATGATTTTCAATAGACTAATGAATTCTTTTGTCACTTTGCAAAATGACGTTAATGCGTTTATAGATTCCACGAAAAACCAGAATGCTCCAGCCGGCAAGGTTCAAAACCCAGGTATTAAACAAGCTCTAGAAAAGAAGGAGGGTTTGTTCAGAAAACATATGATGGGCAAAAGAGTTAACTATGCTGCACGGTCAGTTATCTCGCCTGACCCAAATCTTGAAACCAATGAGATTGGTGTACCTCCCGTTTTTGCATTGAAGCTAACCTATCCCGAGCCGGTCACTTCTCATAATGTAGCAGAATTGAGACAAGCTGTGATTAATGGTCCTGATGTTTGGCCAGGTGCTATACAAGTTCAAAATGAAGATGGGAGATTAACATCGTTGGTTGGGATGACCGCTGAACAGAGGAAAGCATTGGCAAATCAACTTTTAACCCCTTCAGGTAACGCTCCTGTTGTAGGTAAAAAAGTTTACAGACACCTAAAGAATAAAGATGTTGTTATCATGAATCGTCAACCAACTTTGCATAAGGCGTCTATGATGGGTCATAAAGTTAGAGTTTTACCTGGTGAAAAGACTTTAAGGTTGCATTACGCCAACACCGGTGCTTATAATGCCGATTTCGATGGTGACGAAATGAATATGCATTTCCCTCAAAATGAAAATGCAAAAGCTGAAGCTTTGAATTTGGCAAACACTGATAGTCAGTACCTCACACCAACTTCAGGAGCTCCTTTGAGAGGTTTGATTCAAGATCATATCTCTGCTGGTGTGTGGTTAACTAGTAAGGATTCGTTTTTCAATAGGGAAACATATTACCAGTTAGTTTATGGATGTATCAGGCCAGAGGATGGTCATACAAGTGGGGATAGAATTGTGACTGTTGCGCCAGCAATTTTTAAGCCAGAGTATCTTTGGACTGGTAAACAGATAATCACCACAATATTGTTAAATATCAAGCCACGCAATGTTCCTGGTGTCAATTTAGTGTGTAAGAACAAGATCAAGAATGATTATTGGGGTCAAGGTAGTAATGAAAATCAAGTCATTTTTCAAAATGGGGAATTGTTGAGTGGTATTTTGGATAAATCTCAATATGGTGCATCACAATTCGGTATTGTTCACTCTTTGCATGAGATATATGGACCAGATGTTGCGGGAAAAGCTTTGAGTATTTTGGGGAGGTTATTCACAAATTTCAATACCATGTATGCGTTGACATGTGGTATGGATGATTTGAGATTGACTAATGACGGCAATGTTTGGAGAGATGACATTTTGAAAAAATCTGTTGATATTGGAAGAGTAGCTGCTACAGAAGTCACCAATTTGTCCGAGGATACGCCAAACAACGATAAAGAATTGAGGAAGAGATTAGAAGAAATATCAAGAGACGATAATAAATTGGGAATATTGGATGCTATTACACAGTCTAAGGTAAATGCCATCACCTCTCAAGTTGTTTCCAAATGTGTTCCTGATGGTACAATGAAAAAATTTCCCTACAATGCTATGCAAGCCATGGCTTTATCCGGTGCAAAAGGTTCTAATGTGAATGTTTCTCAAATCATGTGTCTTTTAGGCCAGCAAGCTTTAGAAGGAAGAAGGGTTCCAGTGATGGTATCGGGAAAAACATTGCCCTCTTTCAAGTCATTTGAAACAGATGCTAGAGCTGGTGGCTATATTAAGCAACGTTTCTATTCCGGTATTAGACCACAAGAGTATTACTTTCATTGTATGGCAGGCAGAGAAGGTTTGATTGATACTGCGGTTAAGACATCTAGATCCGGTTACTTGCAACGTTGTTTGACAAAACAGTTGGAGGGTGTTCATGTTAACTATGATAACTCTGTAAGAGATGGAGACGGTACCATGATTCAATTCTTGTATGGTGGAGACTCGATCGATACAACTAAGCAGTCACACATGAATGAGTTTGAGTTTTGCTTGAAAAATTACGATGCTTTGTTGGCCAAGTATAATCCCGGTGATATGGTTGAACACTTGGATACCACTGAGGCGTTGTCCTACTTGAAGAAGGTTCGTAAATCGTTGAAGAAACAGAAAAATGTACCTCATTATGATCAAGTGATCAAGTATGACCCAGTGCTTAACATCTACAATCCATCCAAATATCTTGGTTCAGTATCTGAGAAATTCCAAGAGAAATTGGAAGAATTTGTGCTGAAGAATCCTCATTTATTTGCACATTCAAAGGAAGAAGCTAAAACGCTTCGTAAATTGACAGAAAAGAAGTTCAGAGCTTTAATGCAATTGAAGTATATGAGATCTTTGGTGAATCCGGGTGAATCTGTGGGTATCATTGCTTCTCAATCAATTGGAGAACCTTCGACTCAAATGACCTTAAATACCTTCCATTTTGCTGGACACGGTGCTGCAAATGTCACCTTGGGTATACCACGTATGAGAGAGATTATTATGACTGCTTCTGCTTCTATTAAGACGCCACAGATGACATTACCTATACTAAATGATGTTAGTGATGAACATGCAGATGCATTTTGCAAATCTATTGCTAAAGTTGTTTTGTCTGAATTTGTTGATAATGTAACAGTGACGGAGACTACTTCGCAAGATGAAAGTGGGTCGAATAGTCGTTCGTATGTAATACATTTGGGTTTTTATACTAAAGGAGAGTATGAAGCAGAGTACGATATTAGTCAAGAGCAATTGGAGAATGTTGTGACAAACCAGTTTATACATGCATTGGAAGTACAAATTGTTAAAGAAGTTAAGAAGCAAAAGAAACCAGAACATATGCCAGTTGTTGGTAAATCTGCAGGTAAAACGGATATGGAAACTGTTAGTGGTAAAATCAAAGATGTAAGCGATGATGAGGATGACAATGGTGATGATGATGATGATGATGAGGATGCCGAAGAGGAGAGTATGAAGAGCAAAGCTAAACAACAAGTTTCCTATGATGGTCCCGATGATGATGAGGTAGAGACCATGAAGCGTGCAGAAGAGACTAGTGATGAGGAGATGGAAGATGCTGATAACGCATCATCTTTGTCATCATCATCATCATTTGCTTCCGACACTAGTGATTCTGAAAACGAAGAAGCAGATAAAGATGAAGATGCCATGGCTACAGACAGGCCTCAAAAGAAGAAGGAATTATCGAGACTAGCTAAAGATCGTCAAGCAGAAGTAATAGCACGACATAATATGGTTACTGAATTTGACTTTGACGACGAGCTAGGAGAATGGTGTGTTTTCAAGCTTGAGTTGAATGGCAATGAGACTCAAAAATTATTGATGGTTAATATAGTTGAAGATTTATTACGGAAAACGGTTGTTCGAGAAGTTTCACGTATTGGAAGATGTTTACGTCCTGAGCCCAATGCAGGAGAAGAAAGAGTGCTTACTACAGAGGGTGTTAATTTCCAGGCGATGTGGGATCACGATGATTTCATCAAGATCAATGCAATCACATCGAATGATGTTGCTGCGGTATTACATACATATGGTGTTGAAGCTGCCAGAAACACCATTGTCAATGAAATTTACCGAGTTTTCAACACGTATGGTATCAGTGTCTCGTCGCGTCATCTTGACTTGATTGCTGATATGATGACTAGAGAAGGTACATACTTGGCATTCAATAGACAAGGCATTGATAGTTCTACATCCAGTTTCATGAAGATGTCCTATGAAACAACGTGTCAATTCTTGACCAAAGCTGTATTAGATGGCGATCGTGAGGAACTAGAGAGTCCGTCTGCAAAGATTGTTATGGGTAAATTGTCAAATGTGGGTACTGGTTCATTTGACGTTTTTGCCCAATTGCCTAAGCAAGAGGAATAAGGAGGGCACAAAAAAGAAGGAGATGATAAATTTTCGTATACTAAATTAGAATATGTATTTTACTAAAAACAATAGCATTTAAATGGAACTTGTTTTTACCAGTGATGTTTATTTACTATTTCTCTACTACTACAACTTCAATGCATACCAAAGTAAATCAAGAAAAAAAAATAGTCTTTCTTTCTTCCCTAAAAAAGAAAAAAAAAAAAAAAAAAGGATGATGATGATGATGATTGGTAGTATTATTCTTTGGTATATACCTTACACTAGCTGCGAGATTCCGTGACACTGGTTTCCTAGAAGGTTTAAATACCGCAACGCGACGAACGTTTTTTTCTTTGTTTCTAAAATTGTGGGGTTACTAAAATAAGTTTTTATTTTTCAATGAGATTGAAAAAAAGCCATGCCTTTGTTATAGCTTCCCATCGAAGGCTCGTAGTGGACTATGCATTATTTTTATATGATTTATAAGTGAATATTTTGTTCCTTTGATTTGCAAAGGGTGCAAATTGTAGACGCATTGTAAGCCCATCACTTTATTCTAGTGTCACTAGTTTGTGGTGCTCGATTGTAGAGGTTGTTGTTTGTTTTCGAAATGAGTAGGCAAAACAGTGACTTGAATCAAGGCAGGAGAGATTCAGTATCTGCCTATGCACGATTTGAAAGAATTTTGTTTAAAAAAGGTCGGCGAGATAGTAGTATGGGAATAGGTGGTGACTTTATGAATTATTCAGAATTTTCTGTAAACTCATTATACGAAGTCTTGTTTGAGAAAGAGGAGGATAGAGGAGATGGGTTGGAGGAAGAGAATGCGGGAGATAGACGAGATAGAGAAGCAAGAGATGGCGATGAAAATGAGCGTTTACTATTCAAATATAAAGGGTTTATACCAGTATCACCAACTTGTCCAATCACAATGAAGGATGTCACTTCGATATCAACAGGCACAGTTACATCGATTTCAAGTATATTGCGACGATATACTATATGAAAAATCCACTATCGAGCGAAGCGAGATAGTGTCGAGGTGTCAAGGTGTCAAGGTGTCGAGGTGTCAAGGTGTCAAGGTGTCGAGGTGTCAAGGTGTCGAGGTGTGAAGGTGTCGAGGTGTCGAGGTGTCGAGGTGTCAATAGTGTCGAGGTGTCGAGATGTTGAGATGTCGAGGTGTTTCTCCACTATCTCGCTTTGCTCGATAGTGTTGCTCGATAGTGTTGCTCGGTAGTGTTGCTCGGTAGTGTTGCTCGGTAGTGTTGCTCGGTAGTGTTGCTCGATAGTGTCCTAGTTATGCATTACAAGCAGCAGCGATGAGGACACTCAAGAAGAATGAGATTTTGAAACTTGGTTTATCAAAAATCAACTCTTTTAAATTGATTCTATTCTTGCCAATCGTTACGATTTTGGTCCATGGTATTGAAATGATTTGTCTATTTTCCAAAAATTCAATTAAAAGGAATGAACTTAGCGAAACAAAGAGAAACACTTGAGATAATTTACCCAAGATTATTCCCACAAATAAACCAGTGACCGAACCAAGGGTCAAATCTTTATAGTTTAATACATTATTAAATCTCGATTCTGTGTAGTTAGTTTTGGGATTGACTACTTTAGAGTCCTTCAAAGACTCTTGTTGTCTCTGTAAAATGGGGGGTTGCTGTTGGAGTAGGGAGTCATTATAGATGTTTTTGGAAAATGCAGTGACTAATAAGAAAGAAGCACCTGCACTTGAAAGTAGGAGTTTGAAAATGGATGATGATGATGATGATGATGAGGAGGAGGAGGAGGAGGAGAAAAATAAAGGGTTTGTCTTGAACAATGATCTGCTAGCTATTGCAATGGCACTTGGAGAAGCTGAATTGGTAGCTTTGGGTGAAATTGTTGGGAATTGTTTTGATAAGAAGGAAATGGACCTTGTTGATTTCATTGAATGTTTGAAAATCGTTTGCATGTATTGCGGTTTAAACATTGTCGATAGATTCTAAAGGAGTAAGAGTAGTGGAAAGTGAGAGTATATAAAGAGTAAGAGTAGTGGAAAGTGAGAGTATATAAAGAGTAAGAGTAGTGAAAGAGTAATGGTGCAAGTTTTTTGTTGAATAGCAATTATTAGTTGGAAAATTGGCGCTTAAGCTCGTTCCGGGGAACAAAAACACACAGAAACGAGCATAGGAATATGCCTACTGAATAACATGACGTTATTTGCGAGTGACAGGATCAGTGTCGTGAGAAAGTACGACATCACGACATCACGACACTACGACACTATGACACTATCGAGCAGAGCGAGATAGTGGAGCAACAGTTTGTAAACACTACAACACTATCGAGCAAAGCGAGATAGTGGAGCAACAGTTTGTAGACACTATGACACTATCGAGCAGAGCGAGATAGTGGAGCAACAGTTTGTAAACACTACAACACTATCGAGCAGAGCGAGATAGTGGAGCAACACTTTCTAAACACTAGCAGAACAACAGTTTGTAGACACCAGCAGAGCGAGGTTATTTCGCTCCGCTATTAAGTACTGCTCCACTATCTCGCTCCGCTCGATAGCAGAGCCTGATTATTTCGCTCCGCTATTAAGTACTGCTCCACTATCTCGCTCCGCTCGATAGCAGAGCCTGATTATTTCGCTCCGCTCGATTATTTCACACCATGTATTAACTTTTCTTTTTACTCTCATTTTTCTTCCCTTTTAAACTTCATTGGGAAAATGTGTAAGGTTCTGTAATTTTAAGGATTTACTTGGTGTATTATATAATAAATTACATAATACACAGTACATTTCATTACAAACAATCTTTTTAGCTCACAAAACTTACATAACAAGAATAATAACCTTTTCCCTTTAAGCAAGCTATATGTGGATAAGTACACTACCATCATCTTTGACCATTATAATATATACTAACTAGTTATGTATCCCAGTACTTACATATTAAGAAACTTACACTCATACTATGTATTAACAAGGTATGGTGGGCTTTAGCCTACAAATGTATAAAATTCTTGCAATTTTCCTCTTAGTTCTCTTTTGTCCTTATTCTTTTATTTTTCATTCAAAAAGCCATCGACTTGAAATTTTTTTTACTGCGAGAATTTACTTAGTTTCGCTCGCTACTGTCGTCCTAAATTGTTTTTACTGCGAGAATTTAGTTTCGCTCGCCACCGTTGTCCTTTGTCGCCCTAGTTGAGTCCATAAAATTTTTTTACCACCATTGGGAGATTTCTTTTTATTCAAGTATATTTCGTTTCTTACTGCCAACAACAAAAGGTTGCAAAAAAAGGTTGAAAGAAAGGTTGCAAAAAAAGGTTGCAAAGAAAGGTTGCAAAGAAAGGTTGCAAATTATAAGAAAATCCTAATCTTAGTGTAGTCAGTGCTGCTCCACTATCTCGCTCTGCTCGATAGTGTCGGTTAGGCTTTTGGCAGTGACAACAAAAAAAGTGTTGCAAATTTCGCAAACTGAAAAAGAAGAAAGAAAAAAGATTTAGAGGAAAGTTCACAGCCATTAGAGATTTATAAAATTTTCACTTTGAAATGTTTCCACAGCAGCAGCAGCAGCAGCAGCAGTACCAGCAAAATGGCCATGTTTATCTACCGCAAACTAATTTCAACGAGTCTATGTTTTTCAATCCAGACTTACCACAGGAAATATGTCCTAATGTTTGGCTTGGTCCATATAGTTCGCTAAGAAATTATTCCAACAATAAGATATTAGAGCAGCAAAAGCAAAGTGGAGGTACAAATACTAGCTTCCTAGCCAAAAATAAGGGCATAAAGATGATTATTAATTGTGGCACAACTGCGAAATTTCTTGACTTGATTGAAAACTCTATTGAGGTATCCATCTCATCAGATATTATGATTTTAAGTATTGATCCTGCTTTTGATCCTCAGCACCAAAATGAACAAGTGCTAATTTCTGAATTTACCACAAAATTCAATAGAATTTTACAAAATTACCTACTGTATTTTTATATAGACAACCCACTGTCAATCAACTTGATCCACCAGCTACCCAAATCGCATGATTTGACAAGTATAAAATCCCCACTTTTTACGGGCTCAAACTTGAAGATTCAGTTTTTCAAAATTGTTCGACTTATTTCACTATTCAAGTATATTTTTAACCATGAATTTCAAATACTTATCTTGCTGGAACTGGGAGATTTGAACTTGTCAACCGGGCTAACAATTGCTTATTTAATGGATAATTACAAATATAACTTGAATAATAGTTTTAGGTTGATTAAAGAAAAACGGCCTACTGTGATGGAATTGAAATTGAATTTCTATGACGATTTGTTAATTGTTGAACATTTGAAGAAATTTTATTTAGAGAATATTGAGATCAAAGTGAAGAATCCACAATTATTGATTAATAAAGTTAAGAGAAAAAACAGTCTTTGTGAAAATGATGGTGGTTGTGGCAATGACGGAGACGAAGATGATGCAATGAGGGACGAGATTATGGTTGGTGGTGATCGCAAAAGAAGATTGCACTAGAGTTTGTGGGGTTTGCTTAAAAAGAAAATGAAGCAAAAAAAAAAAAAGAAAAAAAAAATAGTACTGGTTGCTTATGAAAGTCCCAATAATGTGGTCTACTGTATGTTACTAGCTGGAATGAAGGAAGGGGGAAGAGGGAATCAAACGAAGGAGGTGGGATTCTTTGTATATTATTTGTATTATTAGAAAAGAAGGAAAAAAATATTGTACTATATATTACCAAACCCCCTTTTCTGTCACTCAATTAGATCTCTTTTACACCCGACACTATCGAGCAAGGCGAGACAGTGAAGCAACACTGACTAGCTGCTACGGGCACAAAACCTGTTGAATATGGTCTCCCTTTGTATAGCTGGATGGTTTCTCATCGAGGAACTTCCAATCCGACACGATGAGCACTTTGGGTAACATTTTCCTGTTGATCCATCAACAATCCAGGATTATATCTCACTAACAAATCAAAATATTCTCGTTGGTTCTTAAGGTAAATAGCCACGTTATTTAAATTGTTCAATTCATATGACGAGTTTATTCCTGGCTTATCATCGATTATATTATTCAAAAGTTTTAGATCTTGTATTTCAGTGGCTGGTGAAAAGACAGAGTCTGTTTCAAGTTGTTTCAATTTCGTGTCGACTTCATCCGTTGGTTTACTTTGTTTTGTAAGAAGATGTTTTTGATACGTATAGTAAGCTTTCAAATTTTTTACTTCTTGATTTTTAAGTGATGCTAGAGTTTTGTTTTCATATGTGAGAAGCTCTTGTGTAATGGTTTTATAAAGCTGTTTAAATGTTGGGAATGTCCTTGCTGAAATTGTCATTTGTCGTTGAGAGTAATGAGGAGCTGAGAGAAATGGGTCTTGTTGAGATGGAGGAGTTGTACTGAAAAATTATAATAGATAGGCGAGGACAAAATGAGCAAAAAAATTGAAAAAGTTTACTTTTAGAATTGAATTTTTGAATTGAAAAAAAGTTCAAGTTTTTTTCCAAATCTGGATAGACCATTGCAAAAAGGGTAATATTAACCACTCTTGAAACTAGGGAGCTACACTATCGAGCAGAGTGAGATAGTGGAGCAACACTAAGTAGCTTTGAACTTTACACTAGTGGAACAGTGTGTACCGTCCCCCCAGTGAGAAACTAGAGCAACATTGACTAGCTGCCACCGACACTATCGACACTATCGACACTAGGTAGCTTTGAACGTTACGTTATCGAAAAACAGTCAATGTTCCACTATCCCTCTCTGCTCGATAGCGTCGTTTTAGTCTTTTTCGATCAACACTAGGTAGCTCTGCTCGATAGTGGAGCAGCACTAGGTAGCTTTGAACGTTACACTATTGAGAAACAGTCAATGCTCCTCTATCTCGCTCTGCTCGATAGTGGAGCAGCATTGACTTGAGAAAATTTTGAAATTATAAATCATCTTGAAAAAAGAGTACCGCATGTTTGATTGGATCCAATTCTTCTCTTTTATTTAGGTCCTTCATACCATCATTTATCACTATTTGAATCTCTTTATTTTCAGAATTGAATAATCATTTCCTTTCTTATAATCGTATCTCCAATCTTTGATAACACGTGACGTGGCAATTTATTACTCAAATAAGAAGAAAAAAAGAGTTTTTTTTTGGAAATGTTTGACTTTGAAAATCATCAAAAATCATCAAAAAAATGCAGTTATTTCCTATACATAGTAGTGTCCATATATCAAGAAATTTAACCACAACTATAGCTTAGATAGCTCAAGTCTCATAATTCAGCTTAGATAGCTCAAGTCTCATAATTCAGCTTAGATAACTCAAGTCTCATAATTCAGCTTACATTGCTTGACAAGTAGCTGAAATATGAGACTTGAGTTATCTAGATTGAAAAATATAGTGAATAAAGATTGTTACTTTTCAAGTGTTGGAAAAATACTATTCCACATTCAAAAGGCAACTGACAAATCAGATTGCGTTTTGTATTTTCTTTATTAAATTAATCAAATTATCGGGTGCAAAAGAAAAAAAAAAGGCACATTTAATTTTTGATTTAGCACATTTAAATTTTGATCAGCACATTTAATTTTTGATTGTTTTTTGTTCTATGGCCAGTTTCTACCCAATTTCCGCCCAGTTCCGCCCAGTTCCGCCCAGTTCCCGCTCGTTTTTTTTCTCAATAAAGCCGATGAAAAGTTGTTTTTTTTCCTTGTACATTAACCTCAGATGAATTTACTCTAGTAAAAAAAGATTAACATTTTTTTACCTTGCTTCAATTTCCTATAAGAGATGACATAAAAAGAAAAGTAATTAATGGTCAGTGTCGGTCTGCTCGATAGTGTCGGTATTTTTCTTTTTATTTTCTACATTTCTAACTCTGACTTATACTCTACCACCAGTAGTAGGTACCCCGCCAAAGTTCTTTTCCTCCTTTACTTTTCTCATTGCAACTACAACTTGATTACCTTGATAAAAATATTTCACTTATTTGTTCGTTGGAGAAAAAAATAAATAATGATAGAATAAGTTTTTTTGAAACCTTCTTTTTTTTTTTTTTTTTTTTCTTTTTCCCATCTCTTTCACTTACAAAGAAGTATTCATCTTCCTTTATTCATATATTCCCCACAGGTAACTAACTTACTTACACCATGCTTAGAACTATTGCTAAACAAACAGTATGTTTATCACTCTTTTCTAGAGAGCAATTCTTGACATTGTAGTCCAATCCTCCAACTCCGAAAAAGAAGTATTTTTGAGAAAAGAAAAAAAATCGAGAGAATAATTTCGGAGTAACTCAATTAAAAAAAAAAAGAAGAAGAAGAACTCGCGATTTCGGACACCTTATTGGTTGAAAACTTATCAATATCTTAACCGGTCTTTGCCAATATCTTAGCTGGTCTTTGCCCAATATCTTGACTGGTCTTTGCGTGTGTGTTTATAAATGATATGTCACTGACGTGTTGGTGATCTTGTCATTTGAATTTGCTCAAGGAAAAAAAAAACAAAAAAAAGGACAAAAAAAAGGTTACTAACACTAAGTCATTCTTTTTAGCCAGCTATTCGTTCGTTAGCAACATTTGCGTCTCCAGAATCCGTATTACCCAAGAAATATGGTGGAAGATTTACAGTGACTTTGATTCCCGGTGACGGTGCAGGTCAAGAAATCACAGATTCCGTAAAGGCGATTTTCAAAGCACAAAATGTTCCAATTGATTGGGAAGTTGTTGAAGTGAGTGGTGTGGCCAGCGAAAGTGGACACCACGGAGTTAATGAAGCTGTTGAATCTCTCAAGAGAAACAAGGTTGGTTTAAAGGGTATTCTTTACACACCAACTGATAAATCTGGAAAATCTTTAAATGTTGCTTTGAGAAAGGAATTGGACATTTATGCCTCATTGGTATTGATTAAGAACATTCCTGGTGTCAAGGGTATATACGATGGAGTTGATTTTGCCTTGATTAGAGAAAATACTGAAGGTGAATATTCAGGTTTAGAGCACCAATCGTACCCGGGAGTTGTTGAATCTTTGAAAATCATGACAAGATTCAAATCTGAAAGAATTGCTAAATTTGCATTTGATTTTGCTTTAAAGAATAACCGAAAACTAGTTACTGCGATCCATAAGGCTAATATTATGAAGTTAGGTGATGGGTTGTTTAGACAAACTGTTAAGGATGTTGCTCAAAATTATAACGGAATTGAGGTTAATGATTTGATTGTTGACAATGCCTCTATGCAAGCCGTTGCTAAACCTCAACAGTTTGATGTTTTGGTTACACCTAACTTGTACGGTTCTATTTTGTCCAATATTGGTGCTGCATTAATTGGTGGACCAGGTCTAGTTCCAGGTGCCAATTTTGGTAGAGAATACGCTGTTTTCGAACCAGGTTGTCGTCATGTTGGTTTGGATATCAAAGGTAAAAACACGGCAAACCCAACTGCAATGATTTTATCAGCAACCATGTTATTGAGACACTTGGGATTGAATGATCATGCCGATATAATTTCAAAAGCTACTTACAATGTAATTGAAGAAGGTCAAGTAAGAACTAGAGACATTGGTGGTAAATCGACAACTACCGAATTTACAGATGCAGTGATTGAAAAATTGGCATAAAATTACTTGAAAGAGTTGAGAAAAGGACATATCGACACTATCGAGTAGAACGACACTATCGAGCAGAGCGAGATAGTGTCGTTACAAGCTGAGTATTGCTGCCCACACATATCAATTCCACACACACACACTATCTCTCTCCCCATATTCTTTCAATTACAGAGTATAATAGATAAAAAAATAAAAAAGACATTTTATTAGTCAGTAAAATATGAACTTGATAAACTACTAAGTGTTAGAACACTATCTAGCAGAGCGAGATAGTGAGCAACACTTACTAGCAGTTACTAGCAGTTACTAGCAGTTACTAGCAGCAGTCATCAACACTATCTCGCTCTGCTCGATAGTGTTGTCTTGTTAGTTTGAACTTTTTTCTTGATTTCCGACTCTTGCAAATTTACATGCGCGCTTCTAAAAACATTGTCGTTTTTATATGGCGGGCTAAACTTCATTAACCTCATTGAGAAATCACTTAAACCAACTGTTTCATTTCAATTTCGACTTTATTACCAAATCAAAATTGAAATTCAACAGCAAATTGTGATAGGTAAAACTAGCAGTAATAATAGAGCTTTATATGTACTCTATCTGACGATTCCCGGTTTAAAGTCGAATAGTTTACACGATCAACGGAAGATCCTTTCCGAAATTAAGAAAACAATTCTCTCAAGAAACTGAAAAACAATTCTCTCAAGAAACTGAAAAACAATTCTTTAAAGAAGATCTCTAGTTCCTATTAACCTACAGTCCATGATTTATCTACAGACTCTCTCTCAACGTGCCAAACCATAAACTCATCCCTCTAAAGTAGCGTATCTCTCTCTCTCTCTCCCTACCCCATTTTCCTCCGCCAAGTCAGCTAATGGCACCACTTGTATATGATCTGACTCTTCTTTTCTTTTTATTTTTTTTTCTTTTTCAAATTTTCAATGTGCAAATTTTCCAAAGAAAATGAAAAAAAAAAACAAGAGAAGAGATGTTAAGAAGGAGGTTGAGTTCCGATTCTCTCTTTTTTTATAACGGTTTCGGTCGTTCAACTTGAACAGGGAAAGACAAAAGAAACAAGGTAATTTATAGGTAAGAATGTGTGACGTGGTGTTAGGCACTCAATGGGGAGATGAAGGAAAAGGAAAACTAGTTGATATTTTGTGTGATGATATTGATATTTGTGCAAGATGTCAAGGTGGGAATAATGCTGGTCACACGATTATCGTAGACGGGAAGAAATTTGATTTCCATATGTTACCCAGTGGGTTGGTTAATCCCAAGTGTAAAAACTTGTTAGGTTCAGGTGTTGTTATTCATGTACCTTCATTTTTTGAAGAATTGAACAATTTGGAGAAAAAAGGGTTAAACTGTGATGGTCGACTTTTTGTTAGTTCTAGAGCTCATTTGGTCTTTGATTTCCACCAGAGAACTGATAAGTTGAAAGAAGCCGAGTTATCGGAGAATAAAAAGGCAATTGGTACCACTGGTAAAGGTATTGGTCCTACTTATTCTACAAAGGCATCTAGATCAGGTATTAGGGTTCACCATTTGGTTAATCCTTCTGACAATGCATGGGAGGAGTTCAAATTGAGATATATGAGATTAATCAACTCGAGGAAAAAAAGGTATGGTGAGTTTGATTACGACTATGAAGAGGAATTGAAACGTTACGAAAAATTTCGTCAAGAATTGAGACCTTTTGTTGTTGATTCTGTTGAGTTTATGCACGATGCCATTTGTCAAAAGAAGAAAATTCTTGTTGAAGGTGCTAATGCCTTGATGTTGGATATTGATTTTGGTACTTTTCCCTATGTTACCTCCTCATCAACCGGTATCGGTGGTGTTTTAACTGGATTAGGTATTCCTCCACAAACTATTAGAAATATTTATGGTGTGGTTAAGGCATATACAACCAGAGTTGGTGAAGGTCCCTTTCCAACAGAGCAATTGAACAGTGTTGGTGAAACTTTGCAAGATGTTGGAGCCGAGTATGGTGTTACCACAGGTCGGAAAAGAAGATGTGGATGGTTAGATTTGGTAGTGTTGAGATATTCTACATTGATAAACGGTTATACATCATTAAATATTACTAAATTGGATGTTTTGGATAAATTCAAGGAAATCCAAGTTGGTGTTGCTTATAAATTGAATGGAAAAGAGTTGAAGTCTTTCCCTGAGGATCTAATTGACTTGGCTAATGTCGAAGTGGTTTACAAAACATTACCTGGATGGGAACAAGATATCACTCAGATCAAAAATTATAAAGACTTGCCTGAAAATGCAAAAAAATATCTCGATTTCATTGAAGATTACTTACAAGTCCCTATTCAATGGGTTGGCACTGGTCCTGCCAGGGACTCGATGTTGGTAAAGACTGTATGATAAAGTAGAAAAATGATGAACAAAAAAAAAAAAAGAAAAGAAAACAACAACAGAAAAGGATATAGATTTTGACACCTTATCGAAGGAAACGGCTATTTTAAATTGAGTTAGACTTGAATAGATTATTTTTACAAGATATATTGATGGTTATACCACACATTTGTAGGTAGTATTTACTCTTATAGCAGTACCAACTAGCTTGCTACAACACTGGAGACAACACTGGAGACAACACTGTGAGACAACACTGTGAGACAACACTGGAAACAACACTGGAAACAACACTGGAAACAACACTGGAAACAACACTGTGAGACACTGTATGTCGGTGTAGTCAGTGTTGCTCCACTATTTCGCTCTAGCTCCATAGTCGAGTTCATTTTTTTCAAAAATTTTCAACGCTACCAAATGGCCCTATGTGTTTTATGGGCAGCGAAGCAGAAGTGTTTTCGAAGCTGCAAAGGACCTATCAGTTAATCAGCAATAGAAATTAGATAGAGGGTATTGATATTATGGCGTATAAGCTTAGTTCCACGTTATCAGGACACGAACAGGATGTCAAAGGTCTAACGAGCACCGAGTTTGGCGATTTGCCAATACTTGTTTCCCTGCTGAGAGATTCCACGACAAGAGTATGGCACAATATCAATGCATCTACTACTTTCGAATGCCAAATTGTCTTTCTATCGCCAACAAAATCCTTTCTAAATTCCACTGCAATTGTGCCATTTGCCGGGGATTTGCAGGAGCAGCAATTTGTCGCAAGCGGAGGACAAGATGCTATGATTTATTTAAATGATTTACATGCCAGTGGCAAGGAAGCGGAATATCAATTGATTGGCCATAAAGGAAATGTATGTTCGTTAAGCTATGCACATGGACTATTAGTGTCTAGTTCTTGGGACTGTACTGCTATTGTATGGAATTTGAAGGAGTTTTCACCCTTGTATGTGTTGAAGGGACACGAATTGCCAGTATGGGATGTTAAGGCTGTTAATTCACAACAATTTTTAACTGCTTCTGCAGATAGGAGTATCAGGTTGTGGAACAAGCAACACGAAGTTTTAAAGTATCTGGGACACAAGGATGTTGTCAGGAAACTCTTAATTTTACCCAACGGAAAAGAGTTTGTATCTTGTTCAAATGATGCAACTATACGGATTTGGAATTTGCAAACAGGAGAAACTGTCAAAGTTTTATATGGTCATGAGTCATTTATTTATGACTTGGCACTCTTACCTAACGGAAACTTGGTCTCCACTGGTGAAGACCGAAGTGTTCGCGTTTGGGATATAGTCACTGGGGAAGTTTTACAAGTTATAACTTTGCCGTGTATATCAGTTTGGTGTATTGCTGCTTTGCCAAACGGGGACTTTGCAGTTGGTGGCTCAGATACTCAAATTAGAGTTTTCACTCAAGATACAAATAGAACAGCGTCTAGTGAAGAGCTACATGAGTTTGAAAAGTCTGTGCAAACATCGTCGATATCTGAACAATCGCTCGATGATTTGAAAAGAACAGATATCCCGGGAATTGAAGCCCTTTCGAAACCAGGTAAGAAAGAAGGCTCCACTATTATGGTTAAAACATTAGAAGGTACAATAGAAGCACACCAGTGGTCAGGCGGTCAGTGGCACAAGATAGGTGATGTTGTTGGCGGTGCATCGAATTCAAGCTCCAAGAAAATTCTCGACGGTAGGGAATACGATTATGTGTTTGACGTTGATATTAAGGATGGAGAGCCGCCTTTAAAGTTGCCATTTAACTTGAATGAAAATCCGTATAATGTTGCAACAAAGTTTTTAGCTGATAATGATTTACCAGCATCGTATACCGAGGAAGTCGTCAGATTTATAGAAACAAACACAGCTGGAGCGAACATTACTGAAGGAGCGTCACTGGCATCAGCGCAAAGTGGCACTTCTGATATTGGACAGCAATTTTTAAATGATGATCCTTACTCGGATGCGTATTCCAGGAAACAAAAACAGGCAGCAGGTGGCGAGTCTGCACGGACTACTTCAGTGTTGCCAGTTAAGGTATACATTACTTTCAATGATTATAAAAAGGAATTATTGATCAATGGGTTGAACAAGCTCAATCTGACTCAGGAGAATAATCAGTTATCCGCACTGGATATATCGCAAGTTGAAGAGTTTCTTAGCCATCCAACCTCAGGTGAGGCCGTGGAGATAATTACCAATTTTGCAAATACAATTATTCAGAAATGGACGCCCTCATCGTCAACTTTGATTGGGTTTGATTTGTTAAGAGTTTGTCTTCCAAATGTTAAAACTGTTGACCTTGTAAAATCTTTGACGATAACGACAACAACGACAACAACAACAACTCTGGCGACAAATGTAGCCGAAGTGTTTGCAAAACAGCTTGAAAGGGGTTTAGATCTTGCGAATTCCCTGAATGCAGCATTATTGATGATGATTTTAAAGGTCTTGTGTAATATAATAGGTAGCACGTTGTTTCTTCAACTATTCATTGACCCAATAGAGACTGGGCTTTTTGAATATAATTCAATATTGCAAAATCACTTGGATAAATTATCCGAAAGAATCAACCAAAGCGATCCCAAACACAAATTGTACGCTTCATTAATAACGGCGTTGGCATCATTTGCCTACGATTTATCAGTTTACCACCTAAGGACTGAGGGCTTGCAAAAGAACAAACAATCTGCAATCCCTGTACTTAAATTTTTGGACGCGATTGGAGATAAAGTAGTCGAGTCCTCGCCCGAAGCCACTTACAGGTTGGCAATAGCCTATGGAAATTTCAAATTTGCCAGGGCTTGCGATGATTCCAAGACGCCTACATGGATTACGAGAATGAAAGAACTATACGTTGAAAACGGAGAAACGAGATTTATTGAGTTGGCAACTGACCTTGGAAAGTTGCAATAGATTTAAAAAGTTTTAAAAACAATATACGCTCTGCTATATACTCAACACTATCGACACTTGCAAGCAAAGCGAGCTAGTGGAGCAGCACTGATGGGATTGATTGCTTCCGCTCTATTCTACTCGCTCTGCTCTCTTATACTCTCATACGCTCTCCCATACACTTGTCGTTCTTTCTTCTTCACTCGTGAAACAACTCGGGAACTTTTTGACAATATGACACCAACTTTTCAACCGCATTTATATTCAAATTATCACTCATTTCAATCACCGAGTACACGTGGATTTTCAAATCTGAAGGATTATTACTAATCTTACCTACTATTTCATAATATTTTCCCGCCGTAATGAGATCCTTTTGATCACTCAGAGATAAATCTAGCGTTACTGGTCCATTACACAATAACGTTGCCTTGTAAGTATTAGTGTCATAAGATTCACATTTACCTATTATTCGAACCAATTTATTTTGGTTCGATTTTAACAAAGTTGCGTCAACTCTTCTGTTCTGTGCTTCCATTGCTAATTCTTACTCTGGTATTGATATATGAATCAAGTAACATTTTTCAGTAAAAGAATTTAAATGAAAAATATTTTTTACGCGTCTCGACTGTATCGACACTATCGACACTATCAAGCTCGACACTATCGAACAGAGCGAGATAGTGTAGCACACTAGCTGCCACCGACTCTATCGACACTATCGAGCAGAGCGAGATAGTGGAGCACACTAGATACCACGGACACTATCGACACTAGTGGAGCCACTAGATGCCATCGACACTATCTCGCTCTGCTCGATAGTGTCGAGCACGATAGTGTCGAGCTTGATAGTGTCCAGAGAAAAGACTTTACACTTTCGATATGCCGTATATGCTCTTTAATAAAATCGAAGCGATTTCGCTATACCTGAACCAAGCCATCTATCTCCACTTTCCTCCTCCGATGAGCCATGATCGAAAAAGTCTTGTGGAGTAACTAGGATTGAAAAAGAAGTCAAAGTCAATAGTCGGTGACAGCTAGTGTCGGCAAACAAACTATATCTACTCATTCCTCTATCCAAGCATGCTTCTTTTCCTACCGCGAAGACGTACTTCCTCCAACCTCTTTATCGTCTCTAAATGTTTCTTTTTACCAAACTTTTCAAACTCTTGTAAATTATGAGCTTTTTCGTAGCCCTTTAAGAGCCACTCGTTATAGCGTTTAGCGAAATCAGAGTGAGTGCTATCCACCGCCCTCTCAAGCACGTACAAGTCAACGGCTTTGTCTTCGGGTAATCCCGAGAATGACGAGAGCCCAAAATCTATCAACGCAGGTTCCCATGAAACTTTATTGGCTTGTATTGTTTGGTTTTCGGTTTCTACAGGCTGCAAGAGAATATTGGAGCTTGTTAAATCTCCATGTACCATATCGTTCAAATGCAAACGTCCAATCAAGACCCCAACATCAAAACAAACTTTTTCCACTTCATCACTGGTGCACGCCTTGATATCTTTTACATGCTTCTCCAAATACCATAGCCAGTTCTTAAATGAGCTGATTTCACCATTGGGCAATGCTTGGCCCAAGTACTCCATCCATATTATCCCTTTAGGGAAATCGCACGAAATCAAAGAGGGACTCTGTATCCCCAATTTGCTCAATTTACACATAAATTTCGCCTCGCCAATAGTACGGCTCTTGGTAATTTGTGCATCGATTTTGGGATGCCTATATGGTTTCAGCGGCCTGTATTTAATAATGAATTTGGTTTGGTTTCGTAAAAAGGGATGCTCTATATAAGGATGTGTGCTGGTTTGGAAAACCAAAGCCTCGGCTCCTTGCGATACAATTTCAACTTCTATATTGGGCACATATTGCTGAAGCTGTCGTACCAACGGCTCCGTCATAACCCCCTTTGCTCTCTATTGATTGATTTCCCTCCCCCTTCAACGGCTTTTCTCAATGAGCTCTTTTATTTTTCCAATTGTTTCTTTTTTCGCCTGTAACAGAAAATTAATTAACTGCATTTGTTCATTTTGAATAGATTGACCAGCTACTACAAGAAGTTAGGATTAGTTCAAGAGTTGGTAAGCTGTAGGATTAGCTTGAAGTTGGTAAGCTAGGATCAGTTTGAAGTTGGTAAGCTAGGATCAGTTTAAAGTTGGTAAGCTAGGATCAGTTCAAGAGTTGGTAAGCTAGGATCAGTTCAAGAGTTGGTAAGCTAGGATTAGTTTAAAGTTGGTAAGCTGTGCAATGATATCAGATTCGCTTAGCTATATTGTTCCTCCATATCTACAAAATACTTTTGTTGGGTCAAAGTTACAACATAGTGTGGCAGATATTAATGAACGATTGAGTATAAAGAATATCGTAAACTCAGAATCGCCATATTTCCTAAAGGAAAAGACTCAGGATGCAAATGCAAAAAGCCCTGAAAATGCTTACAAGTTCTCGTCGGACCCTGTTCGTAATCAAATAATCAAAGAGAAGGTTCTATATAAGCTAGCTATCATTGGCGTACTCGGTACGAATCCTATGGAGTTTAGTCAATACGACGATAAATTTGTTTACGAGATGTTTGAAATTTTTGAATCTCGATTGAAGAGAACAGGTACGGGTACGGATACGGATACGGGTACGGGTACCCAGAATGGCGAGAACAAGGATAGGGAAAAGGATCCAATGGATGGGAAACCCATTGAGATGCCGCGTCTGGTTCTCACGTCTGACACAGTTGGCGAGGTTCTGTTTGGTGAACTCTATAACGATCCTCGTTTTATTGACGAGAATGACAAGCTTGCAATATTTAAACCTTTTGTTTTCATGAGCTCAGATATCTTATCTCGCTTGCTTAACATCAGAGACCGTGAGAAAAGGCCTAATCGCTTGAGACCAAGAGCCTTGGTTGCCTCTGATGGGTCAACAGTATCTCTGTACCTGCTACCAACGACTTGGTCGCCATTGGTCCCGAGCCCCCATTTGGACATTTTGCGAAACGATTTGAATTTGCAAATGGAAAACACAAATGGTTACTCAACCATAAGCTTAAAAGTCGGCGAACTTAGTGACAAAGAGAGACTTGAACAGCAATCGGTCGAGGATCGGCACTATAACTTTATAACAGATCAGCCAGTACCATCATCAACCGGTATATTCTATTACGAAATTGAAGTTGAGCAGACAGCTACGCAATCAACAAATTTCTTACCATTGCTATACACCGCCGATCCGTCAGTGAGCTCAAATTCGTCTTTGGATCTCCTAGCAGGGTTTACTAAAAGGTTTGTGGCCTATGATTCTCTTAAACTGTTGTCCTCTTCTACCAGCTCCCAGCAAGTTTTGACGATTGACTTGGAGAAGATTAAGCAAGCAGTATTGACCAATGAAACTACCAAGGGATTTTCAAGCGCAGATTTGAAACTTCTTTTAACAACAAAGCCTGGCGAGTTTAAAGGAAGCTTTGCAGTTAGTTATCAAGATTCTAGCTTTCACAATTCAATCAAAGGTTCTGAATCCATAGCAAGGACTCAAATTCTTAACATGAATAGAAGGTTGAGTACGGTTAGTAGACTAAATAATGCTGAATTAGATAGTGGAAAAATTGATGTTGGGGCTCCTTTAAAAACAAATGTGCAAATGGTTTCTGATGAGGAAAAGGTTTTCAAGACTGATGTGATTGGATGCGGGGTGAATTTTGTCAATAAATCAATCTTTATAACTTTGAATGGAGTACTTACCACGGTCATAACCGAAGCCGAAATGGTGTTGAGCCACTCGAACTTGAATGATTTATTTGAGGTACCAGAAAAGCAAAATAATAAAATTGTTGAGATTTACCCCATGATTGGGTTTAAGTTGAATAAATTGGATTTATCTGATGAAATGCACTCTTTTCCTTGGAGCTCGTGTCGGATAATTACAAATCTAGGCTTCAAGGAGTTCAAATTTGATATAAATAACTATATCAACAAGTTTAAACACGAGAATCAAAAATTCATTCATTTGTCTTTGTTGGATAAAATGAGACAAAACATTACAACTAGTGAGCAAGATGATATGGCTAATCAAGTTGAAAACGCCTTGTTGAACTCAGATGATGACTCCCGAACTTTGAATAAGTTGATTAAACAGCACTTGAATGCTCAAGGCTTCATGGACACAATAAAATCTTTTACCAAAGATTTGAAGGCCTTGTCGAAGAACGGGAAGACAAACGGTGATGATGATGGTGATAATGGTGATGGTGAAGAAGAAGAAGAAGAAGAAGAAGATGATGATGATGATAGGCTGGACCTATCCCATGAGGATGAAGAGCTACTAAAGAAAACGAATGCTTCGGATAGGCAGAAAATTAAAAACTTAATGCATGCTAATAAGTTTGATGAGGTACTTCAGTTTTTCGAAAAAGAGTATAAATTGTATTTTGGGTTGGGGTTTGGAAGTGAACTTCGCTTTAAAGTGAAGAAACTTGAATACATGTTTAGGTTAAAAAGGTACTTGGAGAGGAAGTTAAACCTTCAGAACTACGAATTTGAATTTGAATTTAATGAAAATGAAAGGGACTTGTACCACCAGGCGATTGAGTGTCGTAACAATATTCTAAAAGAGTATCCTTCCGGATACAGGAGAATTAAGATGGATGAGCTATCTTCGCTTCTTTTTGTGGAACTGAAAGAAGATTTGGAAAAATTCCCCAAGGCAAAGAGATTGATTGATGATTACGAAATGTATTTAAACAAAGTACTCACTATGGCCAACGACTACATTCTAGACGTTTCCAAATCGCAATCACGATCAAGACTCAAGGAAGTTCTTGTGAATGTTGGTCGCAATGTACAAGAATTGGTTGAAAAGCAGAATGACGCTAGATTCATGTTGGTGAACTTGGAGAAAGATTATTACAGTATATAAAAATTAAAGAATGAATATTCTTTTACTTTAATTTTTTAATTTCCTTTTAATACTTGAGGAAGTTATCTAATGTTCTAAATTTTGCATTCAACAAACTTCTTTTTAACAATTACAGAGATCGTGGAGAAATTCTCCAGCCCTATTTTCAGCTTCCGCTCTCATTAAGCTTTCCCCAATCAAGAAACCATCAACGTTATCTTCATATTTGTATTTCTTAACATCATCTACTGTCGTTATTCCGGACAAAGCCAAAATCAAGACATCGCCCTCTCTTCCGTTATCGGCACTTTTTGCATGATTCACCAACAGACTGGTAGTTTTCAAATCCACGTTGAAATTGGCCAAGTTACGGTTATTAACTCCAATGATTAATGGCTCCTTTGTGTATCCATTGTACGTCAATGTTAATGCTTTATCCAACTCGGGACCATCATTTACTTCAACTAGTGGTACCATACCCAAATCTAGTGAGTAAGTATACAACTCTTGCAATAAATTTTGATCATTCAACATTTTGACAATTAAAAGAACTGTATCGGCACCAGCTAATCTAGCCTCCAAGATTTGATATTTACTGAAAACAAACTCTTTTCTCAAAACCGCTGGCCGTCTATAATTTTCAAGTTCTTTTGTCTTTTTTCCATCTATAACTTGACGGATCAACAGCAAATCCTCAAGCGATCCCTTAAACCAAGTTGGTTCAGTCAAAACTGAAATGGCCGAGCAACCATGAATCGCATAGGTCAAAGCTTGAGTTCCAGCATGAGCATTCACATTTATATCACCTTTAGAAGGGCTGGCTCTTTTAAACTCTGACAAAATCACTGTCTGCTTCAAACTGTTCTGAGTATACTTTAACCGTTCATAAAAATTGATAACAGGTGGGGTAACTCCCAAGGACAAAGCGATTTCCAAATTCTCAAAAGAGCGACCGGGTAACTTTTCTATTTGCTCATAGTCCTTCTGCCTCTTTTTGTATATCACATTTAGTATACTTTCATTTTTACCAAATGTTGAAACACAAGATTTCGTTGGGCAAGAGTGATGCAGTTTGTATGCCTTATTCTCCTCCCAAGTGCCACCATATACTCCCAATAGATTGTCAATCATTATCTGACCAGACTCTGTTAATATAGACTCTGGATGAAACTGCACTGCTTCAATGGTGTACAGTTTATGCCTAACTCCCATAATAACATTGGGTTTTGTTTCTGTGACCGCTGTGATTTCTAAGCAATCAGGCAATGTCTTCTCACTTCCAGCAAGAGAGTGGTACCGGGTTACAGCAACAGATTGCGGTACGTCTTCGAAAATACCCTTGCCATCATGTTTAATGGTTGTAGTCTTTCCGTGCACGATTTCCCCTGCATACGAAACATCACCACCAAAAACATGAAATATACATTCTTGACCCATACAAACTCCAAAAATTGGCAATTGACCTTTGAAATGTCTAATGATATCGCTCGATATACCAGAATCCGTTATAGGATGCCCTGGGCCTGGAGAAATGAAAATTATATCGGGTTTGATCTCATTCTCAATAGTCTTAATGTCTATTTTGTCATTTCGGTAAACATCAACTCTACCACATTTATCCGACTGGTGAAGGTACTGATATAGATTCCAAGTAAAAGAATCGTAATTGTCTATCATTAACACGTGTCTCTTAAAAGATCCTTCGGCCACCATCGTGAGAAAGCTCCTATATCGTACCTCAACTATGAGATCTATCTACAAGAAAGATCTTGACTCATTTGTTCAATTTTTCAACCATAATAATTTTTTTTTTTTTTTTTTTCTTTTTTTTTTTTTTTTTTTTCCATCCACCAGAAGATGAACCAAGCTTGATGGGGATCCTAGAGCACAATTAGTGAGACAAATTAGAAAAGGTCAAGGTCAAAGGTCAAAGTGGAAAGTTATTGACAAATGTATTGTAATGTATTGTTGTTGTTTTTTCTATAAATTTTAGTTTTAGCGCACTTTACTCCTTCTTTTTTGCGTTTTTACTCTTGTTCCTGAGTCTTTTACTTATTGGTTCGTAATTGAAATTCTTTTCATTCAGGTCATATTCAACCCCTCTCAACAATATGGAACTCACCAATTCCAAAATTAACATGAATAACGACGACAATATTGCCAAGCAGTAATTTGATATCGATATACCAATATCTAGCCATGAGCCCTCTGTTTTGACCAAGAAGAAAAAATTCAAGGACAAAAAGTCGCTTGTTGATATGATTAGCGTTGAAATGGTGAACTTTTTTATTTCAAGTTGATGATTCATTATTCCTAAACAAGTGGACAACAAAACGTACGGAATAATGAGCTTGATCATCAACAAGGCGCCCATTGAAAAGGGGTCAAATATAGGAATCAATCTGTAAACCGAGTCTAGTGAGAATGACGAGATGGATGCAATATTTCCTGTTCCAAAAAAGGCAATCTGAAGAAAGAAAAACCCAATGATTGCAATTCGAATAACCTGAAGCCAGTACGCCTTGGGTAATCTTCCCGTTTCCTCTTGAGATGCAACAATTTCCTTGCGAGGTATTTTCAACAAGTTCTCAATTGCGAGCCATTGTAGCAATGTCATTGAAAACCCAAGGTAAAACAATAGCTCAAATGAAATTGTGAAAATAATGAATGTGGGTATAAATGTGAGGAAAATAATCAATAACCTTAATCTGTAATCTTTTGATGGATATAGCGAATGAAGCCCCGGGAGAATCAAAAGTGATACAAGGAAAGTTACCCAGCCTAAAATTTGAGAATGCAAGGGTAAACCAGCTCTTGCTTGTAAAGAAACAATAGACGCATCAGTTGCGTACAAAATTATTGGTATTGCAATTATTTGTCCAATTACCAAAATTTTCTGAATCAACTCGAGGTTGCCTCTTCTCAAAACATATTTGAATGCCACTACTGCAACGATAATAGACAATAATGCCCCCACATTGATCAAGAACAAATTTTCGGTTTTAATAGGGTTCAAATTTGTGAATGTGCACATAAAAATGTTTGTTGCAAACCAAATAGCCTTCATCAAACCGGAAATATTTCCTGAATTCAGCACAAATACGGGATACACTCCCACAAGGCAAAAGATGATTGAAAACATAAATCGATTGAAAAATCCATATGCAATACATTCATACATTCCAGCAAATGATGCAACAATTAAGAGAATAGTAACGGAGGAAACACCATGCAACATTTCACCAATACCATCAAACAAATACTGCCTCTCATTTAATATCGAGTACCAAAAATAAAGTGGGAATGCAGCATACATGTAATAGTTGAAAGGTGAATTTTGATAATATAGTAAAAATCCAAGGGAAGAACCAAATGTTGTGAAAAGCGCCGATAAAAAAATTGACATTGACATTGATGTTGATGTTGCTCTTTTCAACTGCAAAATTGTTTCTTTTCGTAAAATGAACAACTTCAAAAACAAAATGAACGAATACACAATCCAGCCCACAAATCCAAAGGTGACAATAGTTCGAAGAAGAGCCCAATTGTACGTGGTCAAGTAGTTAAGACCCGAAAGAGTCTTTTTCATCAATTCTTCAGTTATTTCAATGGCCAACTTTTCAACATTTTCGTCAGGGCCGTTTTTCAACAACTCAATCAAACTCTCGATTTCTCGTTGGTATTCGCTAATGGATTTTTCCTCAAAGGGCTCAAAGGCCCTAAAATTAAATTGATGGTCATAAACTTCTTGTTCTTTAACGAGATACTGCTCAACAATACCCATTGCGTTGGCATAGAGGCCATTAATTTTCTCTTCGGGTGTGGCATCAAGATATCCTAGCGGTAACTCACCAACAGAATTTGCGGGATAATTAGCACCAATGAGGTACGCCATTAAAGATGCAATGTCTGCTTGGTTGACATCGTTTCTTACCAAGTGATCGAGTCTCCACGTGTCAAAGTATGTAGGCTCGAATCCACTGGCAATAGGATCTTGTTTGAGTAGTTGCTTGTTGACATCATTCAAGTCCTTCAAGTGAACAGGTTTATTGATACCAGCGCCCCAAGCAATCAAAGGCGTTCTGGTATTGTCCGGGTGTCCATCTCCATGTGATCCGAAATCTGACATACCATGATCGGCGGTGAATACAAACGCAGTTTTGTCGTCTCCGAAATACTCATTAATCTGAGGCACCACTTTCTCCAACATTGTGTCAATGTACTCTATATTCTCGTAGTATTCGGCCGAATAGGGTCGATAAGCATGCCCAGCAGTGTCAGGGCCTAGTAAGTGTAAGAAAAAGACATTTCCATCTTGGTGCAATTCGTCGTATAAAGTAGCATTAGTTGTCAGATTCTGCAACAACTCATCAAAATGTCTAAATACAAATGAGTCTAGCTCAGTCGTCTTGGAAGTAAAATCTTCAAATTCGTGTGCGTACATACACACATCAATCCTTCCTGGAACAACCCCGTCTCCATATGCAAACATTGGTAAAATATCGGGACTACCAAAAGAGTAGGTATGCTTTGATTGGTTGAAAAAGGAATCAAAATTAACGGGATTTTCTTTCCACCCTTTGGTCACGGCCGAGACGTCTTCATAAAACCCAGCAATCATGGCCACATGTCCCGGTCTCGATTCTGTGGGCATTCTTGTATTTGATATGCCCCACGTTCCATTATTCAAAGCCAAACTCCGCAAATAAGGAGCCAAATATTGGGTCTCGCCAGTTCTCGGGTGTACCAACTCCTCAAACGTTTTATCTGCTCTAAGACCATCACCAACTATGAGAAACAACCTCTTTGCTGGAGGTTCGTGTGTCGAAACATAGTGTTTCATACCATGAACCAACGGCAGTACAAAATAAATATCGAAAATCGACCATAAATAAAAAAAATGGAATAGAACCCCAACAATGATTAACAACTGCCTATTTCGATCCATCTTAGTCTAGTCCAAATCTAGTCCAAATATTCCACAATACTTACTTACAAGTGTATCTGATAAACGATAAACGATAAACCAAGTAACAATTGACTGAAAAAATATCGCGTCTCTCTTTAAAGATTTTTAAATCTCATCTCAGCTTATTTAGTTCTCGCTTCCACCAAGGTGTTTTTTTTCCGTCTCGACACTATCGACACTATCGACACTATCGACACTATCGAGCGAAGCGAGATAGTGGAGCAGCACTGACTACACCGACACTATCGACACTATCGAGCGAAGCGAGATAGTGGAGCAGCACTGACTACACCGACACTATCGACACTATCGAGCGAAGCGAGATAGTGGAGCAGCACTGACTACACCGACACTATCGACACTATCGAGCGAAGCGAGATAGTGGAGCAGCACTGACTACACCGACACTATCAACACTATCGAGCGAAGCGAGATAGTGGAGCAACACTTTGTAGCTTGTTAAGTGGAGCAGCACTTTGTAGCTTGTTAAGTAGAGCAGCACGTTGTAGCTTGTTAAATAGAGCAGCACGTTATAGCTTGTTAAGTGGAGCAGCACGTTGTAGCTTGTTAAGTAGAGCAGCACGTTGTAGCTTGTTAAATAGAGCAGCACGTTATAGCTTGTTAAGTGGAGCAGCACGTTGTAGCTTGTTAAGTAGAGCAGCACGTTGTAGCTTGTTAAATAGAGCAGCACGTTGTAGCTTGTTAAATAGAGCAGCACGTTGTAGCTTGTTAAGTGGAGCAGCACTTTGTAGCTTGTTATAACACTAACTCGCTCTGGTCGATAGTGCTGCTCAATAGTGCTGCTCGATAGTGCTGCTCAATAGTGCTGCTCAATAGTGCTGCTCGATAGTGCTGCTCGATAGTGCTGCTCGATAGTGCTGCTCGATAGTGCTGCTCAATAGTGTTGCATCTCTCCTTCTCTCTCATTAGTGCCAATTTTTATCGTTTTTTTTGTGCATATTGACCCATTGGCAATTTTGCCAATAAAGATTCATTGTGAAACTAAACACTCTCAAAGCATTTTTCAATTGTGCAATTACTTCAAGGTCTCTCAAAATGCAATTGTTGTAAACTTCAAGATTCGACAATTCATTCAAGTTGTTGATGGCGTTGTAATATAGCAAATCTTTCTCGGTTCTTTCAAATTGATATTGCACAATTAGTTTCTTATAAGCAAGAAATTCCTCTTGATACTTCAAGATCAAATCCAGATACCGCTGCCATTTGGCTTTACTTACAGAGCTGGGGTCAAAGTTTGCCAACGGTGGTTTCGGCGCCTTGAAGTTGTGCACTTTTGGCGAAGCGTGCATATCCAAAACAGTAAGTTTATGAAAATCATTTGATACAGGAGGTGGTGGTGGATGACCTCGCACAGGGTTCCTATTCAATGGAGTAGACAATATCTCAACGTTCGAATCATTGCTGTAAACAAACTCTTTTGTTTTAGAACTTGCAAAAGTGTCAACTACCCCCTTGGCAGGTTTGTGTTTGTGTTCATCAGGAAGACTATTGTAAATTTCCCGAAAATCAACATCTTCAATACCACTTGCAAGATTTCTCTCCAATTTGTTTAAATCAAAAGCAGACGGAGTGTCCAATTGACTTATCTTGGGCCGTTTATGCAATTGCGCTGATGTATTTCTATCTTGATGCTGTGATTCGCGGAATGCTTTTGAACCACCGGCTATGCTATTAAAAGGTTGACGTGGATTTTCGTCACTAGTCTTAGTTGGAGTTTCTTGCTGCTCCCTTCTACTTGGTGAAGGTGCAGATGCAGATGCAGATGCAGATGCAGATGATATACCAATATCAATATGCCTCCGTTTTGTGTTAGGAGAACATTCTTCAGAGCTCAACGATACATTTGGTTCCGAGGTATTGGGCGCATGCATAAACGAGCTGCCATTTTTATCCTCTTCCAGGCTTTCTTGCAATGGGATATTTTCATGTTCGATATCATCTAAACAGTTTTTCCCGCTTGAAATTATAAAATCTTTCAATTTCCGTTTCAGCTGTAAATTACCCAGGAAAACTCCATCGCCACGTCGTCTGGGTACAAATTCAGTGCTATTGTTATTGACATTTTCTTTCAAGTGACTAGTACTCCTGTCTCGTTTTATTGAAGAATAATAGTGACGCGTTGCGCCATCAGCTAGCCCATTGGCTTTTTTTAAAAACTCGGATGCAAGTTCGGCTGCTTCAACCTGGCTCCTTCTAGTTTCCTTCGCAGCTTTGTAACTTTTCTCGTCTCTAGTTACCCCAGGATTATCCCAATCTTGCACGCTATTTGCAGGATTTTCACTCAAATCGTCTTTCTTGAAACCATACTTCTTTTCTCGTTTAGCCTGTTCTTTTTCTTTTTGCAAGCCTTCTTCTTCTTCTTCTTCTTCTTCCTCCTCTTCTTCCTCCCCCTTCTCCTCCTCCTTCTCTTCTTCTTTTTCTTCTTGTTTCTTTCTTCTTCGTTGTTCTTCCTCCTTTTGTTTCATTTCTGCTTCGGCTTTTACGCGTTCCAACATTTCCTCTCTCAAACGTTGAGCTTGTATAGCTGCAGCCTCGGCGGCTTGTTTTTGTTGCTCTTGTGATTTCTGATAAAAGTGATAATATGAATAATGGCTTGAATTTGCAGCATTCCCAGGTTTGTTGGATGATGGTGAGTGACGACTGTAATACTCAGCATTAGAAGTAGATTTGTAAAATTCGGTTTTGGTGGAGAATTGGTAAGTGGCTCCGCCTGTATTACCACCCCCGTTGTTCTTTCTTGTATTTACCTTGTCATGGTAATTCCTGATTATTTCATATGCGGTATTAATCTCCTTAAACTTTTCGTGATGTGCTGCATTGGATGTCTTATCTGGGTGATATTTTAAAGAAAGCTTTTTGTATGCCTTTTTGACTTCCTCAAATGAAGCAGACGGTGTAACTCCCAATAAGCTGTAATGAGCGAAACTCGGCAGTGACATCTTAGCCCAAAGGTCCTCAACTAGTTAACCTAAACACAGCAAAAAACCCAAACTAACTTGAAAGCAAGTTCACCTATAGATGAAAGCCGCACCTTGATCTATAAAGGAAGGTTTTGTTTTATTTGATTCTCGTTCTGGTGAAGTGCAAAAAATAAAACAAAGATAAAGTCCATAGAAACTGGTGAATACTTTGACTCTACTTTTAAAAGTGAGTTTGTTGTAACTTCACCTTTTGAAAGCGTGTCTGTTGTAGCGTGTATAATAGTAAAAACTTTTGCAAATCTGTATATACTGAAGAAGAAGAAGAAGAAGAAGAAGTAGAGAGAAATTGTGAAAGAAGAGTTGGCGTACAGCGCGCAATAAAAGTATTTACTCGTGTATAATAGTGGTTCATATTGTTTAGCGATTTCACTTCATTTCATGCCAATTCATAGTCATCAATCTTATTCCTATATTTGAGCAAGTTCCTCTTAATCTTTGAACTATCAACCCAGGTCAAGTAATCTTCCAAATTTCGAGTAACCAAATACGCAGGGTCAGTAATAACGTTGGGTCCTACTCGGACATGCCCTTGTTCAACAAACTTGACTGCGTCGCTTAGAGATTCGGCCATTTTGAGCCTACACATCACGGAACCAATTCGCCTTCGACAAAGGGCACTTACTGTCACCTTATTCTCTAAATCACTAATCTTTGATTTTGTCGCTAGCACTCCCATATTGTATAATTTTTCCAATAAGAGCTGTTCATGCTTAATCCTAAAGGGATCAGTGGGTTTCAATGTTGATAATTTATTTGCAAGCTTTCGTATATCACCACAGATTTTATTATATTTATGATAATCTTCTCTATTCTGTATATGGTACGTTCGCATTACCTGGGTATCACGATGTCCCTGGTCTTGTTTCCAATCAAGGAAATCGACTTTTTTCAAAAGCTTCTGTTCATGATGCTTTAATGCTCTAACCATCCTTTGTAACAAAGTCAACACACGGGTTTGTAGTTGAAAATGATGAGATGAGATGAGATGAGATGAGATGAGATGAGATGAGCATCGATTTTTTATCAGGAAAAAGAATGGTGAAATCGGACACGACCAGTTTAATGAGAGAAGGAGAAGAGGATAGAGAGCAAACTAGAGTCGGTGGCAGCTAGCACTATCGAGCAGAGCGAGATAGTGTCGATAGAGTCGGTGGCAGCTAGTGCTCCCCACTATCGAGTAGAGCGAGATAGTCTCGATAGAGAGAAGAGGATATTGTAGATGGAGATGAGTTGTTGTAATAAACTATATTCAAAGAAAATGGAGTTGGAAAAGAGACACTATCGAGCAACACTTTGTAGACACTATCGAGCAGAGCGAGATAGTGGAGCAACGCTTTGTAGCTTTTTATGACACTTAATAGCTTGTTACGACACTTAATAGCTTGTTACAACACTTAATAGCTTGTAACGACATTGACTAGTTTGTTGAAACACTATCTCGCTCTGCTCAATAGTGAACATTACAACGGAACCGCTAATTTTGCTCTTCTAAAATGAGCAACTCATTCTGATGAGTAGACCATCTCCATCTGTACAAGTACGATACACAAGACCCACTTTCTCCTAAGCTTACTAGCAAATTTAGGATTTGATAACACACTAGTAGAACCTGGAAAAATACATAGTATGCGGGCTTTACATAATAAAAAAACTTATTGCAAGCAAATGCTATATAGCGCGACAGTATCAACACTATCAACACTATCGAGCAGAGCGAGATAGTTGAGTACACTGACTAATGACACTATCAACACTATCGAGCAGAGCGAGATAGTGGAGTACACTGACTAATGACACTATCGACGCTATCGAGCAGAGTGAGATAGTGGAGCACACTAGATGTCACCGACACTATCGACACTATTGACTATCTCGCTCTGCTCAATAGTGGAGCACACTAGCTGCCACTACTAGCTATAGGAGGTATATGAAATGTAGCGCCAAAAACAAATCTCAATAGATTTTCCAGTACATCTTATCTTACAGTAACAAACACTCTTGCAAAGTGCCCCTATAGCGTCAGTCCAGTGTCGGTGGCAGCTAGTGCGCTCCACTATCGAGCAACACTAACTAGCCTGTTACAACACTATCAACACTAGCTAGTTATTGTGCTCCACTATCGAGCAACACTAACTAGCCTGTTACAACACTATCAACACTAGCTAGTTATTGTGCTCCACTATCGAGCAACACTAACTAGCCTGTTACAACACTATCAACACTAGCTAGTTATTGTGCTCCACTATCGAGCAACACTAACTAGCCTGTTACAACACTATCAACACTAGCTAGTTATTGTGCTCCACTATCTCGCTCTGCTCGATAGTGTCGATAGTGTCTGTAGCAGCTAGTGTGCTCCACTATCTCGCTCTGCTCGATAGTGGCCTAGATTTTTTGTCTTCTTTTTATTGAGCCTTAAAATTTTTCAAAAAAAAAGAAATACATTTCAAAGATACTTTTGATTAATTGACCAACAAGTCTGAGAAAACGAAAATGTTGGCGGGTATAGGACGTTTCCAGCGTTTCCAGATACGACAATTTTCAAGTTCTGGCAAATGTCTATCTAACATTGGAAGAAAACCTTTGAAAATTATCGATGGTGTTAAATATTCTGTTGAATCAATACCTGTTGAATTTTGCAAGTCGTTTACCAAGAGAAACACCAACTATATTTTAGACCGACAGGTTGTTGTCAAAGGTCCACTCGGGACCATAAAGACCGAAATTCCACAATTCTTTCAGGTTGAACCTTCTCAAGATGACCCTTCTTACCTACATGTGAGTGTTCATGATCCAGATAATAAAACACAGAGATCATTGTGGGGTACTTTGCGATCAGCAATTCAAAATGCTATTACAGGTACTTCCGAGGGCCATATGGCCATTTTGAAATTCGTGGGTACTGGTTATAGAGCTATTTTAGAGAAAAATGACAAAGGTGAGGATGTGATTGCGTTGAAACTAGGATTTCCATATACTCCCAAATTAGTGGTTCCCAAGGGACTCAAAGTGTCCAGTCCAAACCCAGCTAGATTAATAGTTGAAGGTTGCGATAAACAACAAGTGAAATTGTTTGCAGCTGTAATTAGAGAACATAAGAAGCCCGAGCCATATAAGGGTAAAGGAATATTTGTTGATGGTGAGACAATTGTATTAAAAGAAAAGAAAATCAAGTGAGATTTTGGTCTTTACATATCATGTACATATCTATCTTTCTATATATATATATATAAACCGAAGAGCATAAAGTTTGGTGTGTGGTGTATACATATATATATATAAAATACTTTCTTCTTCCAGTAATCCCCCTCCCTCCGATTAATCACTTTTTGGTGCATTTGTTAATTTTTTTTTTTTTTTCAAATTTTCCAATTTTTTTTTTTTCAACAAACTAATCTTGAAGAAGCGTAGGTTTGTTAAGAAGAAGCATCATCATCATGTTTAGCCTATCGCTAAATCGGCTACGTATAAGTGTTAGTCATGTTACTCAACAATTTGTTCGTACAGCGGCTCAAATTACGTCTATTCACGCGGTCACATCATTGAGAACCACACCACCAACTAAGCAGCATACAGTTGAAGAGGCCAACAAGAGGAAACAGCTTCTTGAAAGAACTGGTCTTTTTGGAATCAAAAGGGGCATGATAACTTGGTATACAGAGAAAGGAGAACAGATACCTGCCACTGTGCTCGAAATAAATTCGTGTGAGGTTATAGGCCACAAAACTCGTGAGGAATGGGGATATGATGCCAACATTATAGGTGCAATCGACAAACTAAAGAATTACCCAAGAATGCACGAGTTGAAAATATTTGAAAAAGCCGGTACTGCGCCAAAGGCCAAATTTGGAGAGTTTAGAGTTCGTGGAGAAACAAGTTTACTTCCATTGGGTACAGAACTTAGAGCTGATTTCTTTGCTGTGGGACAATTGGTAGATATTAAGGGTGTAACCAAAGGTAAAGGTTTTGCAGGTGTCATGAAACGTTGGAATTTCCTGGGTGGTCGAGCAACACACGGTGTTTCGAAAGCTCATAGAACACCTGGTGCAATGGGAGGTAATCAGAACCCTGGAAGAGTTTTCCCAGGTAAGAAAATGCCAGGAAGAATGGGATGTTCAAACATGACAGATTTTAATAAGCAAGTTTTGCATGCCGATGGAGATGCTGGTATTTTGATTGTTAAGGGATGCATACCAGGACCCAAGAAAGGCATTGTGAGAGTCTCTGATTCTTTAAAACTCTATGGAAAGTCGTTGAACCAACTTGCAAGAGAGTAAATATTGACCTATTGATCTATAATTGTACATATAAATATATATAACAAACCACGCCACTAACAACATGACACATGGGTTTAAAACGAAAAGAGAAGAGGTAACGATCCTAAAATTTCAGGTGCACCAATACCACATCTCTATATCTCTTTTTGAAATATCAAATCACCAGACTTGAGATATGTCAAAAAAAGGAATAGAATAGCGGATGTTTAAAAGTACGCTAAAATTACTCGAAAAGTTCCAAAAATTATTGATACACCATTTGACTAAACGGAAGACAGTTCCCGGATGGTTCTGGGAAAAGACAAGAACCATGTACGTTTGGAACTGATCTTCTGGCGATAGAGAAAGAAAAAAAAAAAGGAAAAAGAAAAGAAAAGAAGAGAGAAGAGAAGAATAGAAAGGAGAAAGTTTTGCTTTATATATTTTTTTCCCACAATAGTCTTGTTAAAGTAAGTACACGTGACTATAGGTCACGTGTCTCATATTGCGATGTAAATAAACTGACGCCAGGCCCCTCTCTCTTTCTCATTTCTTCTTTTTGTTAAACTTTATTACTCTTTCAAATATAGCAAAATAGACAATAGTTCTATAAACTGATACTTCCCTTGTCACCGGCAATATATGCCATACCATACCTGCCATACGTTCTACCTTTCACAACACTTCATCTCATCTCATCTCATCTCATCTCCACTCACCTTACCTTACCTCAATCATCATCCATTTCTGATGGTCTGATTAACCCGCCAACTTGTAAATCTTGTTCTCTTCGTTTCTTATCGCTCTCGAGTTTTTCCATTTCTTTGTCTTCGGCAAACAAATAGTCGGTTGGATCACCTCCAAATTGTTTTAATTGGACAAGGAAATCTCTCAATGTTGCTTTGAATTTGGTTAGATCATTATACACAGAAGTTAGTACCTTAAGGAAACTGACTAATTGTTCCGGCTGCAAATTGTCAAATGCAGATGATAACAACTGTGAAAGGTACTGTTTGAGGAAATCGGAGTTGGATGTGCCTTGAGGTGCTTGGTCGGGAGTGTAGAGTGGATATTTTATAACCTCATCTTGAACTAGATGGATCAACTGGGCCAATAGCCGTGCTTGGAATCCAAACCCAGCCTTGTGGTCCGGCTGAGTAAAGACGTAAAAAGTATCCGATAAAATTTGGAAATAAAAATTATCGTAAAAAGCTTTGGTAAATGGCGTATCGCCCAATTGCTCAACGTTTTCAATCAAGTCCAAAGTCAAAGATAATCCATTGTCCTCGACATCGCGATTGTTGTGCTTAAACGCCCATAGCGCAGCATTGATCAATGATTGGAAAGCATCTCCTGACAATTGTAGTAATCCTTGGAACGACCTCAGGTTGATCTCTTTCAAAAGCTTGTAAAATTCAACTCTATGCTCTGGATACTCAACAAAGTCATTTTTGATCATGTCCAAGGTGCATTCAAATACATTTTGCAATATCAAAACAACCCCATCTGGTATCAAATGGCCAACTTTCGCGGTTAGTGCAGTCAAACATCTTAATACCTCAGCATCCCTCGCGTCTGGAACGTTGGAACTATAATCTTCCAATACAGCACTAAATAACGGAGTAGTTAAATCTCGAACTATTTCTTCTAAATTATCAGCTTGGTTGATGTATGTTTCAATCATTTTTAATATCTCCTTTTTGATAGTACGCAAACCTCTCACTTTCGGCGTTTTTGTAGCAATGATGCCATCTTGCGCTACAGCATCGGATATCATCGATGAGACAGCTTTGTATAAAGACAACATATCCACGTACAATCTGCCCAACTGTGAATAGAATGCAGGACCTAAAGCTTCACAAACAGCAACATTGGTCTTGATTATATTGGCAATAATCTTGACTGTTTCTGTATTTGTTAATAATGTTGGATCTTGGCCGGCTTGTTGGGTGATTGCCGTCCACGCCATATTGGGCAAAGCCATCAAATCGCCAAGTAATTTCTCCCTAGCTGTTTTATCGTTTTGAGCGCTAACAATTATACCACATGCCTCATAGAACGTATGCACCTGTTGAGGTTGTAAATCTTCTGTTATAGATTGTATTTCTCTTATTATTTCATTAATAAATGGTTCCCTTTCATTTTGTTGTATCACTACAAAATGTCTTTTACACTTGTTTGTGATTTTGATAAATGTATCACAAGCCATATCTTGCACACCTTCATGAGTTTCATGCATAAACTCAAAAAGCTTGTTTACGACAGTTTTTAAAAACTTCCAATGAGCTTTCAAGAATCTTGGGTACTGGCCAACAATGTACATGATGTTAGAAGCAACAACAGCCTTGTTGTCCTTACCTCTTTTCATTTCGGTTAAGGATAATAAATCTTTGATTACATTGACCAAAAATCTCTTTTCCATATCCTCATTCATAGCACCTGAAATAGATCCAATAGCCCAACATAAGGTATTGATGTTTTGCCAGGACCATTCACTCTCATCTATTTGTCGAGCCAATTTTTCAATCATGATTTGTTCAGTGTCAATGACATTCAAGTGTGTCAAATACACCAAGACTTCTCTCATTGATTTATACAACTGGATAGTGTCACTCTCTTTAACAAACTCACGTACAATCTCACCTTCATCATTTTCAACGATTAAAACCTCTTCTGGTCTCGCCATATTCTCAATGATTACCAATCTAAGCTTGGACAAGATTACTGCATATTGATGTTGCCTCAATGGGAATTTAGCCAAAAGCGCTGGATCAGGAGCACCTCCCGAAGAGCCAGGTCTCAAACTGTTTCCATAGGTCAATTGCATCATTGGACTCAACTCGTTGCTTGGTAACTCTCTTGTCTCTATAAACAATTGGTAAACGAAAACTTGCCAAAAATCTAGACAAGTCTTGAACAATTCTCTTTCTTCAATTCTCGACAATTCTAACAAATAAAACAATGCATTTTGTAACAAGTCTTTGGCATTTTCATGTCTTTCCAAGATGCCCAAGTGCTTACTCAAATATGAACACAAGAACATAGCTAAATCTTGCAAAAAGGACTGGTCTGCCGAAGACGCGGTTTTATAGCTTTCTTTCAAGTTTGACGAAACAGGTACAATTGAATAAATTTGCTCCAAGGCATTTTTGAAATATAACAAGGTCTTTTCGTTTTCAGCGGGTAACGAGTTTGTCTCGGTTAAGCACTTTAACGCGATAGCTCTGGTATCCATTGGGGTAAGAAATTTAGTTGACAATATCTCCAACAAGTTTGTTTGGTATATATAATTTACGGGAATCCACTGAATGTACTTTAATAGAGCATTCAAAGTTGCAATGATCAAAGAAGACTTTGTAGTTTTATCCAACACTTCGTAACACAACTTGAAAATTTTTTCAAATTCATTTTTCATGCTAGTTCTCAACTGTTGAGCTTTTGCTTGAGTTAGTTGGTCCTGGCTATAGTCGAATACTTCCTCGCCCAATAATTTCAAGATGATCATATTATTTTCACAAACGTTGAAAGAAGATCTAGAACTTGCGACGATTTCCGGTACAAACTCTGACCAATTGTGAGGCCACTCCTGTTTCAAAATTGACACCAAGGTCAAATCGATTTTGTTTATCAAGGCTCTTTGAGTTTCAAATTCGGATTCATTGTTGCACAATGATATGATCATGTTGACGACGAAATTCCTTATTCCGACCCTTTCGTCTTCTGGGATTGTTTTCCATCTAAACTGGATTAGTTTGTTTAAGCAGGATAGTGATATATATTTGGATTGAGAATTAGTTGAATTTGAGAGGATATTATCGACAAATTTCCACGAGTCGGGATGCTCTTGAAACTGATTTAAAATTGATTGTGCCTTTTTCTGATTTTCGCCAGATCCTTTAAAGAAGGCATCTACGCATTGATCAAACAAATTGACGTCCAAATCTGTTGAAAAATCCAAGATCGACTCCATTTCTTTTTTTAAAATCAACCTTCTCTCTTGTCTTTTTCTCTTTGCTCTTCTTTTCTATAAGCGATGATCTAAAAAAAAAAAACAAAACCAAAAAACCAAAAAAAGGGAAACAAAGGGGTAGTTTCACGACAACGTGGAGGTTTCTTACTTGAATAAGGGATATACAGCTTTATACCACTTGCTCTAATTCTGCTCTAAACCTTATTGGTATTAGCGTAATTGACCTTTAATCTAGAAATCCTTATAAGGATATTGTAGTAAGAGAAGGAAAAAAAAGTCCATATACCTTGAGATTTTGTATTGGTTTACAAATTGAACTTTTTAGTGCGAAACTGTTTGTAAGAGATTATGTAATAATAGTCAACCAACCAACAGCGAAGAGCGACACTATCGAGCGTATCGACACTATCGAGCGAAGCGAGATAGTGGAGCAAAACATAGTGGAGCAAAACATAGTAGAGCAAAACATAGTAGAGCAAAACATAGTAGCAACACTATCGACACTATTGAGCAGTGCGACACTATTGAGCAGTACGACACTATCGACACTATCTCATACTGCTCGATAGTGGAGCAAAACATAGTAGCGACACTACCCAGAGATTAAGAGCTTTATAGAGATTAACAGAAATTGACTCGTGACACTATTCAATGTTTACTCTTTACTATCTCGTTCCTCGATAGTAGAAAGTGCCGAGATTAATAGAGATTAGAGATTTATAGAGATTTAATAGCAAAAGTATTGGTGGCAGCTAGTGTTGCACCTCAGCTCTAGGTCTGATTTATCTTACAAATTAGTGTTTTTGGAAATTGAGTTTGCTCTCCTCGATAGTGGAGAGCCATTGACTGACACTTTTGAGCAGAGCCAACTCTTTACTAATTACAAATTGACAATAAGCAGAAAAAATACATACTGTGACACTATCAACCAGAGCGAGATTGACACTATCAACCAGAGCGAGATTGACACTATCAACCAGAGCGAGATTGACACGAACTGTCACCGACACCATTGACTATCAGGGTGTGGACCATCTGAGTGTCTCCAAGTCTTTATTCTTTTACATTGGCTTTTAATTCTACTCATAATCTCCAAATCCCTGCTAATTATCTCAAAGACCCTACCAATTATCTCCAAAACCCTGCTAATCATCCCCAAGACCCTACCAATTACCTCTAATTCTCTGCTAATTAGTGTCTCACTGCTCGATAGTGTCGATAGTGTCGCTACTATGTTTTGCTCCACTATCTCGCTTCGCTCAATAGTGTCGATACGCTCAATAGTGTCGATACGCTCGATAGTGTCGCTCTGCTCAATAGTGTTTAAATTATCTTATCCTAAAAACTACATTATTCAGCTATAAAATATACAAACTCCCCCCTCTGTAAAGGTTTCATCTCATTTCGTTTCCTTTCATTTTCTTTCATTTCATCTCATCGACTCCACTCTATTTAGAGCCAAATGCAACTCCCTTCTCAATGTTCTTTGCCAATTGCTCAACAGCAACTTCCAATAGTTTCTTTTCATCAGCATTGATCTCGTTCAAAATATCATACTTGACTTCTTCAATACCATTCTTACCTAATAAAACAGGTAAAGAAAAGAAATCCAAGTCCTTAACCAATTTTCTTGCTTCAGAAGCACCCTTAATCTTTGGGTCCAAGTTTAAATAGGAACATTCAACAATTCCACCTTCTCCACTAACAGCTTTCAAAATAGACTCGGCTAATTTATAACCAGCATAGGCCATTGATAAAGTTGCTGATCCAGCACCATTCTTTGCTTGAACAACTTCATCACCTCCAAATTGAACTCTGTGAATCAAAGCCTTCTTTTGCTCTTCATTCAACTCATTGTAGTACTTACTGGTCTTACCAATGGAATACAATGGCACAATGGTTTCACCAGAATGGCCACCAACAACATTAACATTGAAATCAGATGGTTTGGTATCCTGAGGAAACAATTGCGAAATAAAAGTGTTTGCTCTAACAATGTCCAAAGTAGTAACACCAAATAATCTTGAAGGATCATAAACGCCCTTTTTCTTCAATGTTTCAGCAAAAATTGGAACAGTTGAATTGACTGGATTAGAAATAACCAAAACAAAAGCTTTTGGACTGTTTTCGGCAATACCTTCAGCTAATCCTTGGCAGATAGAAGCATTGATATTGAACAAATCGTCTCTTGTCATACCTGGTTTTCTTGGGACACCAGCTGGAATTATTACAATATCTGAACCTTTTAAAGCCTCAGCTAAAGCGGTCTTATCCTCCTTTGACGAGGGTAAATACGATTGAGTCTTGGAAGCCGAGTTAATGTGGCCCAAATCGGCACCTACACCTGGAACATTAACCACATCAAACAATGCCAATTCATCAACATTAGGGTTCAATTTGACCAACAAGGACAATGGTTGTCCAATACCACCCGCGGCACCTAAAACTGCTACTTTTACCATAATTTACCAAACTTTTTAAACTTTTTGTTTGTTAAAGCCCCAGAAGAAAAAAAAAATTACTGAAAAATAGGTTGAAAAAAAAAATGCTGGTATGGGGAGGGACAGGGATGGTATTTATATAGGGGTTTTTTTCACCATACAAAAACCACTATTGATTTATTAACATGTGGGAAATTTTCCCCATATTTTTCTTTATCCAATAAAATCAGAAAGGTTTATGCATATTTGTTATGTAAGCAACAATAGTAAGGCTTATGTAATTGGTTTATTAGTCAACTATTATAAACCAAAAAAAAAAAAAAACCCCTTGTTAATAGGAAATGGAATATGGGAATACTTTTGCTGTGTAATTGACCCGCGGTTTGCCGTAAAGCTACTAACGAAAATCGCAAATCGCAAATCGCAAATCGCAAATCCTAAAGCCGTATTGAGGTTTCTCCGGGATACATCAATTACTATGATTACAAAACTATTTTATTATAGCACTATCCACCATTGAGCGAAGCGAGATGGTGGAGCAACACTATCGACACTATCCACCATCGAGCGAAGCGAGATGGTGGAGCAACACTATCGACACTATCCACCATCGAGAGAAGCGAGATGGTGGAGCAACACTATCAACACTATCGACACTATCGAGAGAAGCGAGATGGTGGAGCAACACTATCAACACTATCGACACTATCGAGAGAAGCGAGATGGTGGAGCAACACTATCAACACTATCGACACTATCGAGAGAAGCGAGATGGTGGAGCAACACTATCAACACTATCGACACTATCGACACTATCTCGCTCTGCTCGATAGTGGAGCAACACTCCATAGCTTGTTACAACACTATCTCGCTATGCTCGACACTTAGTAGCTTGTTACAATACTATATCTTACTTCTCGACGCTCAGTAGCTTGTTACAACACTATCTCGCTCTGCTCGACACTCAGTAGCTTGTTACAATACTATCTCTTACTGCTCGATAGTGTCGATATGCATACAAATTCATGGCATGGAAAACTAAATTGGTCAAATTTTCGTAAATATTTATGACGAAATGAAAAAAAAAAAAAGACGAAAGAATATTTGCAGCAAAAGGAGTAAAACAATTTTAAAATTCGGCTCGGTATTGAAATACAAACACAAACACATATTTACATATAACGCTCATTTCAGAGGGCCAGAGGGCCAGAGGGCCTCTTGAGGCCCGATAATGTAGTTCCTTAGTAAGGATTCAATCAAACCCGTTTCAAAGAAACAGCATTTCTTTATAAAGCGGAAACGTAGTCAGAGATAAGTAACCAGTAAAGGGCATTGATAGCTTTCTTATTTTGTTAAAGTCTCTCTAGTCTTGCCATAATCTTGCTATTATAGTCTTGCTGTTATAACCTTGTTGTTATAGTCTCTCTCGTCTTGTTATATTCTCTCTCGTCTTACCATTACAGTCTTTTCCATTGCATTCTAAAATTAGGTCAATAAATTTTCCAACATGACCAATTTCTATGTGCAGCATTTAAAACGTCTTTTTTTTTTAGCAATAATGCACACATAAAATCTTTCTATTTAAATTGACATATTATTACTTTATCTTTGTTTGACATTAATTTTCAATGCTTGTTCAATCCTTTCATTATAGAGGAAACCTTTTGTTAGATTCGAAATATCTGTCATAACTAATCAACCTATTCAGTCATCTACAAACTCGTTAGGTTTGCAAAAGACTAGATTCCTATATTATCCACAATTTGGTTTTGTATCATCGTTTAAGCTTCCCGTTACTTAGTTGTTTTTAATCGCCTTTTTTCCGCACTAAAAGTGAAAAGTTTTGGTTAACCGCTGTTGACGTAATGGAGCCTTTACCAACGGACCAAGACCAACAAAAGACGAAAGCGGCAAGACCCTCGTCGTCGTTGGAGGAATCCCCTTCAGAATCACCAACATCTACACCAGTGAGCTACTTTCCTGAACCAAGCCCATTACCTGCAAATACCTTAGACGCAACAAATGCGGAAATTAATTCAAATTCAAATTCAAATTCAAATTCAAATTTAAGTTTCTCCGCTCAGGGACACCGAAGACAATCTTCGGTAAACTCTAGTGATGATGACCCATATGCTTTGGCAGAGAAATATTATGGTGACTACAAGAAAAAGATTTTGAACAAAAACTCGCCTTTGGCAAGGGTTCGTACTTTTAGTACTTTTGAATCAAAAATGTCCAGAATTGACTTTATGAAACAACTAAATGAGGAACATCCAATCGTAAGCTCGATAAATGAAGCTCCCGAACCTCACAGTGATCTCTCTTCCAGATCTCCATCACCTCCCAAGTCAACACAAGCACAAGCACAAGCACAAGAACCAGCAACGGCAACGGCAACAGCAACAGCAACAGCACCGGCATCTAAAATACCCCCGTTCAGACAAGGCGTTGGTCAAGTCAACTTCAACTTTCACGTTGGCAAGGACGACGATCATTCGCATTCGGATGGAGATGACGAGTCTGGAGAACCAGAAAAATTAAACAGGCCAAATTATATACCGCTTGTAAGAGAAGTTTCTCCCGATGCTGAATATTCTTCATCGGATTTAGACGATACGACGCCACTACAAAAAACTAATGATGATAGTTTTCAAAACAGAGTTACCAAAACGAAGTTGAAAAAGAGACCATCAATAGTGCCCATTTACGAGCACGCTGATGCATCGGCAGATTCCATGCCCATGAAAACGAAGGATCAGATGCTTTATAGAAGAGCTTCCATGGATGATACTATTATACGCCCAAAAAAATACTATATCAGCGACGTCCAAGACACTTTAAGAGAATTGTTGGCCAATGAAGACACTGACAACAACTGTCAAATAACAATCGAAGATACAGGACCAAAAGTGTTGAGATTAGGTACCGCTAATTCCAACGGATACAAACAAGCATCAGTCAGAGGTACATATATGTTGAGTAATCTTTTGCAAGAATTGACTATTGCAAGTAGATTTGGAAGGCATCAAATTGTTTTGGATGAAGCCAGAATAAACGAGAACCCAGTTGCTAGAATGAAGAGACTTATTACCACTTCATTTTGGAAAAACTTAACCAGACGTGTTACCTCGGAGAATATTGTTGATATGGCAAGAGACACTAAGATTAAGGAATATTGGTTTGATGAGAATGGCGTAAAACACGAGAGTCAGGAAAGCCACAGAATATATATACCATACAACAGAAAGGACCAGTATGACTATTTCAGCAGGATCAAAAACTTGAGAGACGATATTAAACTAGATGTTCAATACTTACCGAAGATCATTGATGCCGATTATATCGAGTCGATCAATAATAAACCAGGAATACTAGCACTTTCATCTAGGAGTAACCCTGATGATCCAGAGAACCCAATAAGTTGGCCATACGTTGTTCCAGGAGGAAGGTTCAATGAATTATATGGTTGGGATTCATATATGGAGACACTTGGTTTGTTAACTGACGTTAAGCCAAACCAAAATTTGGATCACTTGGAGTTGGCAAGAGGAATGTGTGAAAATTTCATATACGAAATAGAGTATTATGGGAAAATATTGAATGCCAATAGATCCTATTATTTAGGTAGATCTCAACCACCGTTTTTGACAGATATGGCATTAAGAACGTTCAATAAGACAATTGAAGTTGATCCTGGGTCCATGAATGATGCAATTGATTTTTTGAGAAGAGCGACGTTATCAGCTATAAAGGAGTACGAAACAGTTTGGTGCGCTCCGCCTAGATTGGATTCGAAAACAGGATTGTCGTGTTATCACCCATCAGGTAAAGGTGTTCCGCCAGAAACAGAGGCGTCTCATTTTGATGCCGTTTTGAAACCATATATTGACAAGTACAAATTAAGCCAAGCTGAATTTATTGCACAGTACAACGATGATGAAATTGTAGAGCCTGAATTGGATGAATACTTTATGCACGATAGAGCAGTTAGAGAGTCAGGACACGATACATCTTATCGATTAGAAGGTAAATGTGCATATTTGGCCACTGTTGATCTCAACTCGTTATTATACAAGTATGAGAATGACATTGCATTTTTATTGACTACTTTTTTTCAAGACAGATTAGAGGATAGTACTGGTAGACTACACTCATCAAATACCTGGATTGAGCGAGCCAAGAAGAGAAAACAAAATGTTGATAAATATTTATGGAATGAAAAAGATTGCATTTATTACGACTACAATGTGCATGAAGAGAAGCAAACAGATTACGAATCGGCTACGGCTTTTTGGCCGCTTTACTCCAAGCTAGCCTCAGATGAGCAAGCGGCTAAGTTGGTGGAAGTGTCTTTACCCAAATTTGAGGAGCATGGAGGATTAGTTGCTGGTACTTTGAAATCGAGAGGCGAAGTTGGCTTGACCAGACCATCTCGTCAATGGGATTATCCTTTTGGCTGGGCACCGCAACAAATATTGGCATGGATAGGATTAACCAATTATGGATATCATGGAATTGCAAGAAGATTAGCATATAGATGGTTATTCATGATGACAAAATCTTTTGTTGATTATAATGGGGTTGTTGTTGAAAAGTATAATGTTACTAAAGGAGCAGTGTCACATAGAGTTGACGCCGAGTATGGTAATCAAGGTTTGGACTTTAAGGGGGTTGCCACTGAAGGGTTTGGCTGGGTTAATGCCTCATACTTGCTTGGTTTGACATTTTTGGATCTTTACGCACATAGAGCATTGGGCACGGTGACACCACCAGATGTATTTTTGAAGAATCTACACCCTAACCAGAGAAAAGGTTATCAATAAGGCATGTAGGCAACTTTGTGGACATTGTCAAGTTTGTCACTTTGAGATTCTATTTCCATATATACCACAAGAACATCTACTTTAAAAGGGTTTACTCTTTAAACTTCTACTCTATATCGTATTGCACTCTACAACGTCTTACTCTACAACGTCTTACTCTACAATCTTTTACTCTACAACGTCTTACTCTTTGAACTTCTACTCTATACCGTCTTGCCCTTTTCATTCACTAAGGCAATCAAACTCGTCCGTGCTGCTTTACTAACCTCGCTTTGCTGTGCTAGTGTCAAACTCGTCAGTGCTGCTTTACTAACCTCGCTTTGCTGTGCTAGTGTCGAAAATCATATTCACTACGATTATAGAATATATACTATTACAATATTTAGAACTCAGCAAAGTCCCATCACGTGACTTTTCAATCAAGGTAATTTTATATTTAAAGTTTTGTGAGTCCTTTTTTATCAACAAGTGATAAAACCTTCAACTTTTGACCTATAACCTTCAATTTTCAACGTTGAACTTCTTTGTTATTCCTTACTTTAACAATATAATTGAAAATAAATAGCCGTCTAATTTCTTATACTCTTGTCAAAAATTGAGGGTGGATGTCGTAGTATAAATCTTTAGTATAACTTCGCGGCACGTTTCTAGCCCAGTTTTTTCTAAATCTCTTAGTTTACTCTCTTTGTTCAGTGTTTAACAAAGGCGAATGCTAAACTTTTTTTTTTTTTTTCCGAAAGCAAAAATAAAATAAACATGGTAAATAAGGTGAATAAATAATATTTAATAAATTAAGCCGTTTGAAAAAGAAAATCAAAAAGTTTTTACTTGGTACAGCAGATGGCTCGTGATTGTGACAAGGTAGAGACACATAGTGAGCATGGAAATAAAGGCTTTTTACTAGAAGGTCAAAAAAAGAGAGATATAGTTGACAATGAATCAAGTGGTGGGGAGAAATTAAAGAAAAAGGATGGTGGTTATGAAAAATCAAACTCGGAAAAAGAAGAGAAAGCGCGGCGCTACAACGAGATTGGTGATACTAAAAGCTCAAAAGACAAGAAAAATGGTAGTGTTCCAAGCTCCGAAGAAATAGGGAGTGTTGCTACTGTTAAGTTTGGCGAAACAAGCAGTTTCCCACTGGTTTTGGATTTTATTGATGACGGAAACATTGCAATGGAAAAAAGAGCGGCTAAATCTAGCAGTTCCAGCTGCAACTCAAGAGACAATGCTAGACTCAATGATGGAACAATTGAAATTAGTGCAGGTCATGACAGTAGCAACGTTTTGTCAAGTAAGTCAAGAGACGTCTCAGAAGAAGCAAAACTGAAAAGCAAATGTAGTAGTAGTAATATTAGTAATTCAATGATCTCCAAAAGGAAGGCTTCTGATGATGATGCTAAGCCAACTAATATCATTGAACAGAATAGTAGTAGTGGAAAAGTGGAAAGTCCCATCAGCTCAGAAGTGAATGGAGAACCCAATAAAAGATTCAAAGTAAACTACACAAGCGAATGTACCGAAACAAACGACACAAGGAGGGCTGGTACCGAAACAGAAAACGTTTGTTCGAATGAAGAAAGTGACGGGTTGAAGCAAAATGCTATACCTTCAAACACAACTGACTCTGGTGAAGAAGAAAATCCAACAATAAATGATGATAGTAACTCATCATCACTGCCGCCACCACCACCTGAGGAATTGATATCTCGAGGCAGCTCACCTGCACATGCATCTGAGTCAAACGACTTATCTGATCCACAAATTTGCTATAATTCTGACAGTGACGATGACATGCCACAGGACCAAATTAAGGAAACACGAGCTTTTTTAAAAAAACATGGGAGTGTGCGATTTCTTGAACAGTTTTTACCTCCAACAGCAACATCTCGAGATATAGTCCAGCTCATAGCCAAACTCGGGTTTTGCAGTCCTCAAATTTTGAGGGAAATTGATGATAATGCGAATGTTATGAATTATGTTAAAATTTTGCACCAAGCAATGTTGAAAGTATTGGCTATACGAGATAAATTACCCAATGTTACAACATTTGAGGATGCTTTGAGACTAATAGAAGAATGCAATAATGTACTCGTTGTTACTGGAGCTGGGATCTCGACAAGTTTAGGAATACCGGATTTCCGATCATCAAAAGGTTTTTACTCAATGGTGCAGCATTTGGGTTTAAGTGATCCTCAAGAAGTATTCGATTTGGATACTTTTCTTTCTGACCCTAGTCTATTCTATTCAATTGCTTACATGGTACTACCACCAGAAGAAACGTATAGTCCATTGCATTCTTTCATTCAATTATTGCAAAGTAAAGGAAAACTTTTGCGCAATTATACTCAGAATATTGATAATTTGGAGAGTTATGCCGGTATTTTGCCAGAGAATGTTGTACAGTGCCATGGATCATTTGCCACGGCAACTTGTGTCACATGTGGAGATCAGGTTGCAGGTGAAGAGATATTTGGTCGTATCAGAGATAAAGAAATTCCGTACTGTGCACGTTGTACGTTGAAAAAAAATAGTATATTGCAAAAGGATGACGACTATTACTTTGCCGAAAGTTATGGTGTTTACAAACCAGATATCACATTTTTTGGCGAGTCTTTACCCTCAAGATTTCACAATTTAATCAATGAGGATATAGCAAAGTGCGATTTGTTGATATGCATAGGAACGTCTTTAAAAGTTGCACCGGTTGCCGATATAATTGACAAGATACCTAAAGATGTTCCTCAAATACTAATAAACAAAGATCCCATAAATCATTGCCAGTTTGACGTTAGTCTTTTAGGTTACTGCGACGATGTTGCTAGTTTGATCTCACACAATTTGGGGAATGGCTGGAAATTACCCCATAAAGAATATGATAGAATTAGAGGAGGCGTAAATGGAGATAACTTACTGATAAGCTTGATAGATCCTGAATTGAGAGAATACTCTATTACCAATCGAGATCAAGAGCAGGTGCAGAAAGAAAAGGAAATAGCTATTGAGCATGACTCTGGATGAAAATGATAGAGATAGTGTTAAGAAAGACCACCACCACTTCGCCACCTCCCCCCTCCATTTCAGATTCTCCGAACATTGTGACACCTAATACCAAGGTTGTTGTTGTTGTCATTTTATTTTATTTTTCTTGTTTTACTTTTATATCTATATCTATATATATATATATTACATCGCGTTATTTGGTATATAGGATTTCTTCTCTTTTATTAAAAAAAAGAACAAGGAATTCTCATCTCAAAATTCAATTTTGCAAGCAAGAAGAATCTAATGAGTCTACTAAGAGACACTACGATATTGAGAAAACATGTTTCTTATAGCGGTTTCCTCAAACCTAGATGGTTTCATGGTACTTTGATAAAATCACAAGGTGTGTATAGTAGTATTAACAACGAATCTGTGGGTCGTGAGGAAACAACATCATCGCAGTCGACGACGACGACGACGACGCAGAGTTGGGGGAGGAGCGCAAAACTAACAAATGAGCAACTTACTTCTTTAGCCAACAGAGATGTTACAAATCACGGAAATAAAGAGGAGGTGCTGGTGCTTCAAAAAGAAAAAAAAGGAAGAAATCCATCTTTTTACAAAAAGATGGATTTTGAAGAGCTTGGCCAGTTCATTAAAGATTCCGCAACTATCGTGAAAGCCAGGGAGAAGGAAACAACACACGGGCTTAATGCCGACTTTCATGGGCTAAGTCAGTTTATCGAGGAAGCATATAGTAAGAAAGAAAACGAATACTATAAATACCCCGACGAATACAAAATAGACATGAACTCAATGATTACCAGTTATAAAGCTAACAAGTCGGCGAGTCTCAAAAGTAATGTATCTCCGACATTTCAAAGTCGGGTCACAATAGAATCGTTAGATCCGAGACTAAAAGCGAGATTATACAGCGAGTGTAAATCGGCGCTAACGCCCACCCTTGAACATATCGACAATCTAGCATCATCACAAGAAGTGTATAATTTTTATCTGAAGATATTGCAAGATGTGTTGGACAAGTTGGCAACAATCCAAAAAACACCGGGTTTAAACAGTGATTTTTACTTGAGACTGATATTGCACCAAAATCAAAGAAACCAGTGGTCTACATTACATGACGTATTAATAGAAAAGATTCGACAAGAAAGTGCCAACGACCCAGTGAAGCCATTATACAACATCATCACATTACCAATTATCACCAATCACGTTTTCAAACTCCTAGGAACGAAATTTTTCAAAGGTGAGTTGTTGATGACGATCTTCAATATGTTAAAGGAGGATTTCCATTTGCACACGTTATGCTGCAACCAACAAGCATTTAATGAGGTGTTGAAAACATGTTGGATATACTATGGCAACATTGATCTTTTTGAGTTTGAGAAAATATTTACAGAAATGACCTTTTTAGGCTACGGGGGAGACTACACTACGTATAATATACTAAAAATTGTTATCGAAGAGTATGATGCCTTACTGAATGGTAAGTCTGTGTTTAACGAGTCTGGCTCAAAAGTGTTGACAAAGGAGGACAATAAAAGAATGAAGTTTTTAGAAAAGGAGTTTCAAAGATTAAAAATTAATCTTGAAAATAGCTTCATGCGACACTAGCGAGCAATGCCACACTATTGAGCGAAGCGAGATAGTGGAGCAGCACTAAACAGCTTTAGTAACTATCGACACTAGCTCGCTCCGTTGCCTAGTGGAGCAGCACTAAATAGCTTGTTACAACACTATCGACACAATCTCGCTTTGCTCGTTTGTAGAGACGGGTTTGAGTGCTCGATGACACTATCTCGCTTTGCTCGCTAGTGGATCAGCACTAACGGGTTTGATTCCTTCGCCTAATTATACTTACTCCGGCTTACCCAGCTCCACCTCCCGTATTAGCCTATCAAAGAAGGAATGCTCCACTATCGAGCAGAGCGAGCTCGATAGTGTCGCGGTATCAAAGAAGACATGCTCCACTATCGAGCAGAGCGAGCTCGATAGTGTCGTATCAAAGAAGACATGCTCCGCTATCTCGCTCTGCTCGATAGTGTCGTATCAAAGAAGACATGCTCCACTATCTCGCTCTGCTCGATAGTGTCGCCGTACTAGTGTATCAAAGATAGTGTCGCTGTCACAGTATATAATAGAAATTGTAACCAAGTCAATTTTGATACTTGCGCACTACTTTTTTATCAAATCTTTGTATTTACTATGGGTAAAGTTTTAAACCAATCCCCCCGCCCCTCCCCTCTTCCCCCTAGAGAAAAGAAGATAACAATATTGAGAAGAACAAGAGTGACAACAAAATATGTCGCAGTTTGAGTCGTTTTTGGAGAATTATACTGGCGGGAATTATTTAGATGGGGCTCCTTTCAATGAAGAAACCGCGACAATTGCAAATACTAAACGGGAGAATTTTGATGAATTATTAAGTAATTCTGTTGACATTAAGAGACAGCTATCACAGTCATTCAGTGGCAGTATTGGCGGTGGCGGAGGAGGCGGAGGAGGAGGCGGAGGAGGAAGCATAGGCTGTGGTAGTGGTGGTGTTGGTGGTGGTAGTAGTAGCGGTGGTGGAATAACCAAACCGCACTCAAGGCGCAATTCGGGGTATATAAGGTCTCAAGAGGGAAGCGACGTAGAGGACAAGGACGACGATGATGCCGATGATAAGGAGCCAGGTCACGAAAGGAAACGAAGAGACAATATAAATGACAAAATCCAAGAACTTTTGACTTTGATACCTAGTGAATATTTTGCCACATCCAAGGGTGGTGGAGGAGAAACAGTAGGTGCCAACGAAAAGAGAGATCTAAGCCCTAGCGAGAAATCACCAAGTGAAGAAGATATAAACAACTCCGTTGGCAAAACTGGCACAAAGGATGGAAAACCAAACAAGGGTCAAATATTGACAAAGGCCGTAGAGTATTTGCAATCTCTACAAAACACAATCGATGAGTACAACCGGAAGGAAGTAGAACTCATTATGAAACTAGAGACTTTAAAGTTGAGGCAAAAAAATCGTGGTAAGATCCCGGAAGGAATTCCTATACGAATCGGATACACCAGTGCCGAACGAGCTTTGGGAGAAATTGGTGTAGGACCTTGCTCAGAAGAGTACTTCAAGAACATATTAGTGAAAAGCGCCAATTCTAGTAAGTCTGGAAGAAAAAACAGCAGTTTGTAATTACAATGTTAAAGTCTATAAACAGAAATGATCTCAAAAGGTTGGAAACAAAAGAAAAACAAAGCAGGAAAAAAAAAGGGATGTTCAAAGGGGGGGGGGGGGGGAAGAAACAAGAACAAGGGGGGAAGCGTTAATGTGTGGTTGTTGATTTTGAGGATGTATGAAACTCGCTTTGCTTCCATTCTTCTTTCTTAATCCTTCCTAGCCTTTCGAGAGTATCGGCATTGTCTCTCAATCTATAAGCTGGTAAATATTCCTCGCTCCTGGGGAGCTTTAACTTTGGATTTGGAATTGTATTCTCAACTCCACCAAGGCTCGTGTATCCTTTGTCATATAGTTTACAGTATTCAACATTGGTGCCAATGAGAAAGTCCCAAATCTCAACATATTTCCAATCAAGTATTGGGTGTATTCTTAGGAACTTTGGCCAGTTGTGATCAGTGTACTGCTCCTTTACCAAGTTCTCGCCGAATGGATCGGTGAATCTAATACCAATTATAACTGATTTGATATTTGTGTTGATATTAGATAAATAATGTTCAAAACCGTGTTTCATAGAATCTTTAATTATGATTGGATTTAAGTGGTAATATTCAGTAGACTCGTTAATGAACTCAGCTAATTCAGGGAACGGAGTTTCGGAATTGACATAGATTGAGTCTAGTTTATAGTCTGCTGGTATTTTATGTATATCATGAGATCCCATCTCATTTGTAGTAGATATATATTTCTTGTAAATTGTTGCCATGAGTAAAATCAACATGACTAAACAATCTTTGCCTCCATTGTATGAAATGGCTATCTCTTTCAACCTAAAAAAAAAAAGAAAAAAGATAAGGATTCGGTGTTAATATTATCAAAACTCTCTGTAATTTTCACAAATACTCTCATTTTTACACATACCCATGGTGACTAATAGACTCGTCTAACCTTTGCATACTGAGTTGTATCTTGGCCTTCACGGATTTTCGCAACTCCGGATCGTACTGGTATCCCTCGTGCCTTGACGGTACAAGGCCACTAGGTAAGGTATCGTTTTGAAATTGAACAATCAAGTTGTAGCATTCTTGACACCTCTTGAAAAACTGTTGTTGTTGTTGCTTTTGTCCTTCTTCTTCTTTCTGATATTGTTCAACGCTCATCCTAGTCCGAGTTTCTTGAAAGTATGAAAACCAAAAAGTTAATCTAGAAATTTCAATAAAAGGAATATTCCTTCACATATTTCCAACTTAAAGTATAATTTTGATTCGGTGAATTTCTTTTCTGGGGAACATTGAAAAATTCTCGCTTTCTTTTGGCACCGTTCAAATGCTACTAGTAAAAGGTTGACAAGTCAGCTAAAACAAGAGAATAATATGTGACAATTGCTTCTACCATGAGTAGATTCATTTTTTTTAAAAAAAAACTGTACATGTATATGTATATATTATCTATATCTATGAAATAAGTCCCTGTGGAATGGGGTATCTTAGCTGAAAAATTTTGCCATTGATTTCTTTTGCTTTTCTTTTCTTTCTTTTATACGCTGTTTGACATCTTGAAGTCCCTTTTTGATGGCTGGGTCATTAGGCTCTAAAGCCAAAGCCTCTTCAAAGTACTTTTGAGCCGACTCTTCATCCTTGGACAAGAGGTACGCCAGCCCCTTTCTATAGATAGCCTTCACTTTCGACTTTTCGTCAATACCATCGACATCCAAGGCCTCATTAGCTGCATTTATAGCTATTTTGGCCTTGTTTACCTTTAGTGCAACTAACGCCAAATTCAAATTACACGAAACCTTCAATTTATTCCTCTCTTGCAAATCGGCTTCGTTTAAATCATCAGGGAAATAATCATTCAAAAATCCACAAGCTTTACTGTATTTTTCTAATGATTTTTCCAATTTGCCCTCTTTCAAAAGCTTGGTTCCAATTTCTTTGACCTTACTCACGGCATCGAAAACCGATTTTGGGTTCTTCACATCTATATTGTCATTATCCATCAACACTTCCTCGTAAATATCCCCTGTTCCATCGTCACAACCTGAACCAAGGTTCAACTCATATTCATTTGGAAGCTGTCCACAATCAGTGATTTTCCATTCCTCTAAAGGTTTGTCACTTGAATCTGTCTCGGTTCTTTCCAATTGACGCACAATTGATTTCCCTTGAACAACTTCACCAAAAACAACATGTTTGCCATTCAAATGAGGGGTTGGAACTGTAGTTATGAAAAACTGAGAACCATTTGTATTTGGTCCGGAATTGGCCATGGACAAAAGAAATGGTTTATCATGCAATTTCTGAAAGTTCTCATCTTCAAACTTTTCTCCATATATCGATTCACCACCAATTCCAGAGCCATGGGTGAAGTCTCCACCTTGGCACATAAAATCTTTAATAACTCTATGAAAAATGGAACCTTTATATGTCAAGGGTTTACCTGACACCTCAGAGTTGCCCTTTTCACCAGTACATAATTGTCTAAAGTTCTCAGCTGTCTTGGGAACGACATCGTCGTACAATTTGAACACAACTCGTCCTTTGGGTTTGTCAGCACATGAAAGATCAAAGTAAACTAAGCTGTTGGTATTTGTCATGGCTATAGTAAAATAGTTACTAAGTGGTAAGGCAATTGATATCCGTCAATATGCTTGTGTATGTGTAGACAATATATATATATAGATAGATATCTTATTTTGCACCAAGTAGATTGCAAAATATTCGATGCTACCAAAGAAGATTCGAGAAAAGTTTAGAGAAACAGTTAATAAAAGCTGTATAGGGAAGCTCAGCACAAGAAGATGGAGCCGGGGAATGGTTAGCCTGTTGCAAAAGAAAACAATCAGAAGGGCAAATGGTTCTTTATCACAGATTGTACATTGTAAGTAATACTACAAACAAGGGGCATTAAAACAACTATGACGACAAGTAGATTTTTTTTTTTTTTTTTTGTATTTTCCATCATTCACATAACCCAATACTCATGTGGTAAATCGTCATTCGAATCATCACTGTCATTTACTTCCTCGTTTATACTTATTGCATCTTCTTCTACTTCTTCTTCATTCTCCTCTTCTTCGTCTTCGTCGTCTTCGCGTTCGGCCATTTCCTCGTCTTCATTCTCGTTCTCTTGTCCTCCATCATCACCATCATCCTCTGAATTGATCGCTTCTCTTCTCCGAGAGGTCGCATATACTAACTCGTCATCCAGATGAGGAGCATCATCAACAGTGTTCCCATTTACAATTTCAATCAAGTTGTCTGAATTTCGTTGCAATCTCAAAAACAGGTCACTAACACCTTGACTATATTCTTTATTGTTACCTTCGCGACTCCCGGTACACAAAAAGTTAATTTGGTGCAATGCACTCTTTAACTTCTCAAACACATCAACCTCTTGTGCAACGTCAGGTTTGTTCTCCTTCTTTATTCTGTAAACTGAGCGTCGCTTACTGTAGTTGGCCAATGCTTCGTAGATAACCTTGGAAAATCCAAATTTGTCCAAATACCGCGCTCTATCGTAAACTGACCAATGGTCTTTAACTGCATCGGTATCACTTTCCATCTCTGTCCTCTTGTCTTCTCTAAAGTTATTTTGTTGCTTAGAAAGAGCATCTCTCTGGCTTCTTCTAGACGTATCCACTGTTTGGTACACTTCGTAATCAGTATAATCATGCGCATCATAACAAAAGACTGAAGATTTCCAAGTCAAGTTAACAAGAACCCAAGCAATCGATAACTTGATCATGTTCAAGTTGTTTATCATATGCAATCTATCATCCGGTACCATTTCCTCAAGGGAATCGGGGATCTCAAATGCCAAAAACCTTAACCAAATATACAAAAGATCATCAGTGGGGAATAGATCCACGTGGATCTTGTCAATTACGGTATATGCATGGTCCTCCGTGAAGTTGATAGATCTCACTAATTTTACATAATCATCGTTTTTGAGCAAATTCAACAAGGTCTCATCATTGAAAAAACTGGCATTCTTATCATCAGAGTCAAGAAATATTCCAACATTCGTGATGTTTCGAATCAAGAATTCAGACCAGACTTCTGGAACTTCCGAATATGTTTCCATACTAGCATGCCAACATTCCTCAAAGTAATAATCTCTCAAGAATTCAGCAAACGATGGCGACCCCGCTGTAAAATTTCTTAGAATCTCAAAAGCTATAATTTTTTGTTGGATTCGTAGTTGCTTATTGTCTGGCCCCATTTTGTCCGGTGGATCATCACTCATCATTCCAAAACTAGCTTTCTGAAATACAAAGCTCATAGGAAAGTAGTTTAAAACTTCCTTTTTGTTCTCTGCTGCTTCGTTGAACATAAAGTTCTTTATCACTTGCATAACCTTGAGCTGAATTACGTTCCTTTTGTGAATTTCCTCCTCATTGAACTTGTTTCCATTGATGTTTTGACTGTACGATGAATTTTGATAAATAGCTGCCAAACTAGATAAAAAGCTTTCGTAACCAACAATCTTGTATCTAAAGGAGCTAAAGTCCAAAATGAAATTGGCCAATAAACCAACACAAAGTGCTTTGTTTTCTGTTAGGTTTTTTTGGAGATACTTAGCATCTATCGAACTGTTGTGATTCAATTTAAAAAAGAAATTGAATTTCAGGTCAAGGTTCTCATAGATCCGTATAATCTCCAATAAATCCGTGACAAATCCGCCAGTTGGAGAATGTGCAGAGTGATCTGGAAGCTGAAGTCCATTGTTGTCTGGTGCGCTGCTTTGCATTGGGTTCAGTAATTGAGAAGCTGAAATAGGGTTATCTATATCGAACCCTTCTGTCGCTCTTCCCCGAGTAATAAAGCTCTTAAATGCATTGCACTCAACAAAAAATGTCCTCAATGTTGCAACGGACCTGGAAACCGATCTGATAAAATAAAAGCAGTTGGTATAAATAGGCGAACTCTCAAGTGCGCATATAGCACCTAAATTCTTGCCGATCCACAGTAAATGCTCTCTTGTGAGTTTGGTTTGGGTGGAAGATCTGCCGCTGCCACCACTACCACCACCACCACCACTTGTCGTCCTTTTTGGGCGTACTAAGCGATAAATCAATTGCAACTGATTACAAAGGAAATGATAGTTGTCTAGAATTTCAAAGATTGCTTCTGGCAATTCTATCTTGTATGCTTGATAATATGCAACTATTTTATGTCTGTAATCCTCGCGTTCACTTGCAAAGACACTTAGTAGAAGAAGCAAGTCTGAAATCTCAGAATAGGGGCCACATTGAATCCAGGTGAAGTCTACCAAAACAGTTCCATGGTTTGACCGGCTTTTCAAGGTCTTCAATTGTTTGATCATTTGACTCGACTTGAAACACGAGTTCAAGCTATCAATCAATCTACAATAAGTGTTTGTATCGGCTATTTTGTCCAATATTCCTTGATGTTGAGCACATAAATCTGCAAGAATGCGAGTTGCAGATTTCAAATACAAAGGCGGAGGATGTATCTTTCTAGGACGCCAAGTTGTCGTCGTATCCTTGGCAGAATTCTTTTCGTGCTTTTTCTTGCCACTGTGCTTTCTGCGACCAACGCCATAGTCCAAAGTTGAGATTATACGAGGAAACATTCTTTCGTAATTGAGAAAAATTTGGTCCACCAGTAGCTTTTTCAGAGTGCCGAAGTTATCTAAAACAATTACCAACAAGTTGAGAACAGGCAATACCACTTCCTCGGAATTTATCTTGAAAAACAACAATAATGTAAAGTATATTCGTGGGTCAAAGAAAATTATTGATGATGATGATGATGATGATGATGATGATGATGATGACATGGATGAAAAATTGAATCTGTCTTCTTTTTTTCTTTCAGACATTATCAATGATATAGGGTACTCCTTTGACTTAAGGTATGTCATTATCTGTGCAGTGGAACTTACAATTTCCAAAAAAACTCTTGTGTTTATAAGGTCATCTACAATAGATGACTTCAAATCAACATTGGGAAGGGTGTTGATTCCAAATACTAGCTCCTCAAATGCACTGGACTCGTCTCCCGCTCCCACAGGGTAGTCTTCTTGGTCCACATGTGCCTCGACTATGATTCTGCTTTCAGTGGTGAGCCTATCAAACAAAGTTACCAAGCCAGTAAAGATAGCTTCCAAACTGATAGAGTTTTGTGAACTCAACACCAACGGCACTAACTTTAGCAGCTTCTGTAGTATTCCAAAGGGTTTGATTTGGAAGATATTTTCGTGATTACTATCGGTTACAACAAGTAACAATGTGATATATCGCCACAATAAAGTTGCATCGATATCATAATTTCGAAGATTGGATAATCCCAATATGATGTCTAGAGCATGCTCAACCAACACTTCATATTTGGTTATAAAAGTCTTTTTCTTCTGTCCTGGTGCAATGCTGTTGCATTGTGGTACAATATTTTCGATAAAGTGGTTGAGCAATTTTAATAGAGGAGCAAGTACACCTTCCATGTTCCAAATTGTTTGCATCACATCTTGCTTATTCAACACTTCCAGCTCAGTAACAAACGAGATAAACACTTTGATAATCACCGCTAGCTCTTCCAACGATTGTAACAAATCCTCCTGGATCCTATTGGTGCTGATTAAAGAACTCGTGCATTTATTGAATTGCGAAACAAGACATTCCGTAAATGCATATTCGCTGGCTAATTTGAACTTGAGGTCCTTATTACCTATTATAGCCTGTCGTATCCTCTTGAAATCATACTCGCTTTCCATATAGCCATTGGTGACCAGTTCTAGCTCTAGTGGCATCTCTAGTAATAATCTCTCTCTCTCTGTAATACTAACCCGGTAACTTTTCAACTTATTAAGGTTTCCTTTCCTGCTATAAATAAACTATTTTGATCTGTGGATTCTCGTTTAACGCACACTATGAAAATCTCACTCTTTGAACAAGGGATGCTCTACAAGGGAGACGAGCGAAGCGAGTCTAGTCGATAGAAGAGAGTAGATAAAGAGTACGGACGAGCGAAGCGAGTCTAGTCGATAGAAGAGAGTAGATAAAGAGTACGGACGAGCGAAGCGAGTCTAGTCGATAGGAGAGAGTAGAGAAAGAGTACGGACGAGCGAAGCGAGTCTAGTCGATTGAAGAGAGTAGAGATAGAGTCTAGTTGATTGAAGAGAGTAGAGAAGGAGTAGAGAATAGAGAAGGAGTAGAGAATAGAGAGAGAACAGTTTAGTTTCTAGACTATCGAGCATGTAAACACAAACCAACTTGTAAACACGCGGGTTTGTAAACTAACAAGCTAGTCTGTGTGCTCCACTATCTCGCTCTACTCGATAGTGTCCAGTAGATACAATTATCGTTTATCAAAAATAGGTCCTTTCCATCTGTGAATACCTTTTTTTTCAGGGAGATGGTGCCCCACTATCTCGCTCTGCTCGATAGTGTTGCTAGTCAAATCTAAATCTTTCCTCTCCAGTGCTTTTGCGACTCTGCAGCGGGCTTACCCTTTTTGATATCCTCGCTAACTTTAGTATCAGCATCTACTCTCTTTGGGATGTAGTCGAGTATTTTACTCAACTGGTTATCGTCTTTCAATTTCACAACACCATTCTTATCTGCAATTAAATAATCACCAGGAAAAATTGTCAAAATCTCTTCGGTCATTGAGGGGTCGGAATTGGTTACTTTCACCTCTAACGGGACATTGATTCCTACAACTTTGACTAAGGGTCCGGGGGCACTGGTGCCTACTCCGTATGACCAAACGGGGTATTTCAAATCATTGTGCTCATCCAAGTCTCTAATCCTTCCCAAGATAACGGAACCATTGGCTTTTCTGTATTTGGCTCTAGTGGACATCAACCCACCGTATAGTGCGTTATTGACCTTGACATAGGGTGCATTAATGGTTTGTAACGCCAATGGTAGGCCAATTACAACAATTGCATCCTCTGGGACATTATCTATGTACGACTGTTTCACCGCAGGCCTAGGATCCGACTTTGGTGCATAAAGCACAGTATATGCTTTGCCAACAACGGATGTCGATTTGGTCACTGGTGAATAATTAACCAAATTAGGAATAAATCCGCCATTTGCGATCCCGCATTCGTTCAAGGAATCAGAAACATCACAAGGTGTAAATTGGGAAAGAAACAGAATAACCTCTTTGGGTGCTAACTTCTTGGTAACTGGGGACGCAAAGTTTGTCAATGACGACATCTGAAACGACGATTCAAGTTGAGCAATAATGTGAATAACGATAACTGCTACGCCATATAAAACTATACCACAATATATTACAATCAATTTTGTGTCAATTTTCTTTTTGACCCCGGATTTTTTCACAAATTTTACTTTTACAAGTTTCTTACCAGTAAGCGGTAAGCTCGTTTTGCTCATTGTAGTTTAAGAGACTTCATAAATATACTCTTGTTTCAATTGACGTCTAAGCTACATACTTTACATATAAATAGAACTGAAAAAGGAGAGGCGGTGTAATTTAATTCAGTCGTCTATGCTCAATCTTTTTTTCAACTCGGAATAGGTTGTTTTGTCAACCAATTCTGGACAATCCTCGAGACTTGCACCCTCATTTTCACCAGCCAGATTTTTTGGTTCTGGTACCTGATGCCCTATTTCGCCCTCTTTTGTACCTTCATCAAAGGGAACCAGATTTGTTGGAACGCGAAAAGTGTCTCCCAATTCATTTAGAAACTGAGGATCCAACTGATAATGTTTAGTAATCGATTCTTTACTGAATCTGGCATCTTTCAAGTCTCTTAGGATGGCAGTAAGAGTTTGTGGATGAACCATTGTTTTTTTAGTCTCATTTTGTGTCTCTTTAGTAGCTTTTTCATCCTTGATTTCTTTTTCACCAATTTCGTAAAGTTTCTTACGTTTTCGTAGTTGTTTCAAAGAAAGAGCATTGTAGTCAAGGGGACTCTTAGATTCCAGCGTTTTTATTTGTTTTCCCAATTTGTTTATGGACTCTATGAACCCCGCTGATTCGTAAGTCGAGGTGCCCATTTCATGAGGATCACCACCATCTTTACCTCCGACAACTCTGTGAGACTGAGCTTGGATTTTCTTGTGTAAAAAAGTTGGGTCAAAGGATGTAGATGTATTGGCTCTGAAAATTGATTTGGTCTGGTTTAAACTATCATCTGAAAAAGTTGTTGCTTCAGAAATGACTCCATTTATAGGTGCTTGTGGAATTTTGTGGTGTAATTGATCAATCGTGCTCTGATGTTGTTGCACACTAGGAGGCAGAGACAGGGGCAGAGACAGAGGCAGAGACAGAGATTGGGGTAGTGGGTTAACATTAGTCCTTTGAATTGGTTTATTTAAATTTGTAGATGCAGTTTTCGCTAATATTCGCCCAGACTGTTTCGAAGCAAATGATCCCATATCTGCCTTACTAGTGGTATCAAAAAGAAGAGATGGTACATTACAAGTCAAAAGAAATCTTTACAAGATCATTTTTGCATTAAATTTTTTTTTTTTCCTTCTTTCTTTTACTTTATACATTTTCTTTTACTTTTCCTTTTTCAACTCTTTTCCTTCTTGCTCTTACTCTTGCTTTTATCTTTCTTTTCCTTTTTATGCTTCTTTTCTTTCCTTTCCTTTCGGTCGCTCTTTTCGGTCGTTATCTTATGCTTGTTTTGCTTTGATGACTCAGTAGATGCAATTTTGGCCTTTTTCAACACTTTCCCCTCTAAAATATCACCTTCTTCACCTTCTTCATCCTTCTTCTCCTCCCCCTCCCCCTCCTCCTCCTCCTCCTCCTCCTCCCCCTCCTCTTCACCAAAGGCTATGCCACTAGTTAGATCATAATCATTTTGTCCATACCCGGTAGGGAAATGCCTCATTCTCAATTTCTTAATTTTCGGCACATTGTTTCTGGACACTGTAGCTTTCTCAAAATCTATGTGTGGTACATCAACAACTTCTCTGATATTATAGAATCGATTAAACTTATGATCCGTAGGTATGAATCTACCCTTTTCAGCAGTGAAAACAGCATGCTTATTGTTACCATTTACTTCCTTGGTGGAAGTTGCTAAATGTTTGCTATCTACAAAACTCAACTCCTCATTTATTTCAAACGATGATCCGTTGATTTCAAATGAATCTGCTTTCTTATTCTTTGCCAATTCAATCGGTAAGCATTTCAACTTATCTATAGGAAAGCCTTTGGGTGTTCTAATTAACCATAGCTCTTTGTCCTTAATCTTTGGAAGACCCGTCAGTTTAGTGACTCTATGATAGTGTTTAGGTGGTTCAAAAGATGGTTCAGGGGAGCTTGGCTCCTCAAGATCAGAGTCATCAACATACTCTTTAGATTTGTAAGAAGTTCGTACCATTTTTTGCTTCAGTTTTTACCTCAAAGTACGTTAAAAGTGCCCCCCCTCTATGATAAGTGTCTGCGATGAGCTTAACTCTGAAATTTTTGAGATGACGTACTGATATTTCGCAGCTACCTGAAAAAAAAAATTATCTACAGAGACCGATTCTTTTATCAACTTGAGCTTGAACAAACGGGTTGACACTTTCGAGCAGAGCGAGATAGTGTCAATCAAACCAACTTCAGCTTGAACAAACGGGTTGACACTTTCGAGCAGAGCGAGATAGTGTCAATCAGTGAGTGCTACTCCACTATTTCTATCTCGCTCTACTCGATAGTGTCAATCAAACCAACTTCAGCTTTAACAAACGAGTAGTTTTTCTTCTTTAAATACTTCAATGTATATTCAGAATTGAAATGGTATAAAAATTAAAATTACATACTGTAAACTACGTAACATTCGAAAAATCAATAATAGCTTCAACGTCTTTCAAGAATACAAAAAAAATCATCTTTTTATCAAGTTATTGGTAACCAGACATCTATTTCAGGTGAGAAAACCTTTTTTTATTATTATTTTTCAATTGATTAACGGAAAAATTTGTTAACCAAGTTTCCTCTCTTGAAAAATCCTCCAGCATTGGTTTCTGGGGAGAATGAAATTGGGACACTCAATTGGACCAGTAATTTGACATCGTAACTAACACCACTTGGACATTTGGTGGTGTTTTTTGGGTTGAAGTATAAATCATAGTTGCCAGTGATATTGCTGTAACCGGTACTGTTTCTGCTAGCGGTAACATTGCTTGTATCCAATTCTGCACAAGCCAAGAAGCTGGTTGAGTTTAAGAATGATAACCAACCGTTGGTGATTCCGAAATGTTGACTAGCAGATCCGTTTTTGGTGGTAGTTTCAAGTAATTGGGTTTTGTTTGATACAACAACGTTGCTCACAGAAGTGATGTTTGAGCCATTGGTAGTTGGCAAGTTCAAGATGTATCCATTATCAGCTTCAATAGTACCGAAAAGAGCCTTATCGTCTGAACCTAACTTGATGGAGCTTCCATTGAACTTAACCAAGTGTGCATGGAATGGCTCTCCCTTGTGGATGGCAATCAATGAGAAAACTGGGGATGATGGTGCAAACAATCTCTTGTTCAATGGTGCAGCTTCAACTTGCAAGAACAAGCAGTAAATGGCAACTAATAAAGTAGTTAAAAAGTTCATTGTGAGATCCAATAGTTCTTTTTTTTTTGGTTGCGAAAAAGGTAATACAGTTGGGTTTTTTGATGATTATAGTAATAATTCTGAATTTGCAATCATATTTATATATCGTGATGTTCGGAAAAATCGAATAGGAGAAGAAGAGGGTCTGGACATATTGAAAGCAATATTAAAAAAATAAAATAAAAACAACCCCAAGAGCTAACGCAATTTGCTAGTCCCACTTCCCCGATGCAAGGTTTATAGCACTATTGCTTCTGTTTGCTCCTTCTTTGATAAAGATTTGCACGGTTTTAAAATACAAAGAAAAAGAAACAAAAGATAGAAAACACAGAGTGGATATGCAAAAGAAAAGAATATTAGAGGAGAAAAAAGGATACAATAGTGAATAACATGTCATGAATCATAATAGCTTTTCCCGAAGATGGCGAAAGAGGTGTAAAAGATTTTTTTAAATGGATCACCGAGTCAGTAGAAAAGACAAAAAAAAAAAAAAAGAAGGGCAATGTAGCAGAAGACAGCAGGATAACAAAAATAGTAGACCACTGAGGCTGTGCTTGGATCTCTTGCTTTTTCTTCTTTTGATACCAAGAGAGAAGGAAAGGCTCAACAAGTCTTTGCCTTTAAGGACTTTTCCTTCTTTTTTTTTCTCTTCTTTGAACAATAATGTTCTAGCCATAGGGATCATCTAAGAGGGTCTTTTTTTCCCTCTCAAATTACGTGCATTTTACATCTAAACTTTTTTTTTAGACCCACTAAAGACCTATTTTGGGACAGATAATTGCTAAATTCATCAATATGAAAACACTTGATACCGTTAATGTCTATAAATGTGTATATATTATTGCTGCCACTGCGTCCCAAAAATCCTTACCTTCTATGCCGCTTTTCCCAATTATTCCAACTTGAAAACAACAATCATGCAACAATATGAGTGAAACGTAGAAGCTGCTATAGCACAGATATGGGAAAAAAAAAAATTAAAATTGGTAATGAGAAAAAAAAAGTTTTGTAAAAGAGAAGTTTGAATTTTATAACCGATCTATTCAAAGTCACCAGAGCAAACTAAGATTGTTCAACTGCAAAAGCGAAGGAGAGGAGAAGGTTTGAAGAATTACTAAAATCTTTTTTTTTTTTTCTTTTTTAATTTTTGTTTTGTTTTGGATTCACTTTTGTTGGTGAACTTGAATGTGGCTAAAAGTTGAATGAGAAGGTATGTGGAGTCGGAAATGATATCACTGTAGAATATAGTGATTATTTAGTTCTAATGCTCGGCTCAAACGGTTTTTCCGATATATATACACACACTGTCTCTCTCTGTCACACACCTTCTCTCTTTTTGTCACACAACTTCTCTTTTTTTGTCACATACCTTCTCTGTTGTAACAAGCTACTGAGTGTTGCTCCACAATCGAGCAGAGTGAGATAGTGGAGCAACACTGGCAAGAAAAGAAATAGTTCAAGTAAATCCCAATTTTAACCAATTGGAAACAAAAATGTATAAATGTTAACAATTAACCGCCAACTTTTACCATCCCAGAAGAATTGCTTGAAAATAATAATTTTTTTTTTTTTTTTTTTTGCTTTTGATTTGACAGCTAGAGTCATGCGGGAAGGGTGTTTGATTTAGATAACATAAAGCAAATTATTGTGAAGGGGACAGAAAAAGATTTACGGGAGATACCAATAACCCTATGGCAGCTATCGACACTATCGAGCAGAGCGAGATAGTGGAGGAGCACACTAGCTGTCATTGACACTATCTCGCTCTGCTCGATAGTGTTGCAATCTCACTCTGGTCGATAGTGTTGCAATCTCTTCACAAGATAGGAAATTCTTAACGTTCATCACGTGAGAAACATTGTAAACAAAAATGCAGTCACAGATGCTACAAGCACTTTTCATATAAAGTTCAAATCCGTCCAACGTTCATCTAGCCTTTTGCTTATGTCGTTGAGCTTTCATATATATAATCATTGACCTCAAAGCATTGCTAAGAATCAATCTATTCTAATACAAGTTTTCATTCCTGCTTGTTTTGATTTTAAAGTATTTGCAAAATTCGGTCTGTACGCAGTTGATGCGGGATTTCTTTTCGTTTTGGCAGCAAATGCAAAACACATATTTAGAAGATTATTTGTTTTCTTGATGACGTAACCAAAATGGTTTTAGTCACGTGATAACTATGGAGAGTTCTTCTTCTAAGAAGTTGCAAAAAAAAAAAAAAGAAAGGAAAGTTAGCCTCATCACCCATTAATAAGAAGGTATATTTTATTTTTATTTAAAATGAAGCTTGGGTTAAGGTTTAGATGCATATATGTACTTTCTTGGTAGATTGTAAAAAGCGACAAAAAAAAAAGGTTCTAAAAGTGCATACCCATATAGAGGATGGCCAGAAAAATTCAGGCCCTTGGTTAACTACAAAAAAGTTTTCAAACTATACAGCAGTAGTGTGTATATTAATAAAATGTCTATGAGGATCACAACAAAAAGAAGCTTTTTTTTTATTTTTGGAAAAATCGATGAAAAACAATGTACATGACTAAACAGTGCAGAACCACTCAGCTTATAATTCAACTCCTGGAGGACATTGTAAAGTCTTTTTCAATGAACCGTAAATGGTGAATTGTAAAGAAGTCAATGTACCAACCATAACCAATCTGGTTGGTAAACCAGTAAACGAACCTCTGAAACCCAATTGTTTAGCCAATTGAACTAACAAACCTACAGTTGATTGACCTGGAGCTTTCTTGGTCTTGTTGACCTTAGACAATAATGTATCGGCTGGCTGAGAAACAATAGCGGCAGCACAACCGGCAATGATACCGGCACTCAAGTTAACAGCAGTTTGAGCTCCGTTGGACAATTGGTTTCTTGGAGTTGGAATGGTATTGTAGATTGCTTCTGCAGCTCTTTCGAAAACCAAGAATTTAGCAATATTGTATGGAATTTGCTTGAACAAAATTGGAGTGAAACCATTGTAGAATGATCCAATACCTTCTTCTTTAGCGATTCTAGAGAAACCACCAATCAAACCATTAGCAAAAGTTGGTTGAGAAACCAATCTGATTCTAGTGGCTTCTAACGGACACAAAGCAATATCAGCGAAAAATTCAGCTAAAGCAGATGAACCAATGTAAATGGAATTTTTGTAGTTTTTGGCGGTATCGTATCCCAAATAAGTAATAAATTGCTTTTTGAATAACTCGTATCCACCAAATTTGAAAGCACCTTGTAAAGAATAACCCAAAACAGTTGGACCCAACCCAGTCAATAAAGCACCAACACCTTCAGATTTGATGATCTGTTTGAAAGAACCAACCATACCTTTGTTGTAAACCTGAGGGTCTAATTGGATTCTTGTTTTAACGACATCAATAGGTGTCATAGCACCATGTGTAACACCACATCCCATAGCACCAGCTACAGCAAATTTCGCATAATCCGAAATAGTATAATCAGGAATCTTTGGTTGTAATGGCTTAACAGACATAATGATTGAATATATAAAAACCTTACCTTTAGCAAAAACAACTAATGGATACCAAGAAGTAAAAGAAAGTACTGGTGATATTAAATGAAAGAAGAAAAAAAAAAATTTCAAATGTATACGAATATGAAATTTGAGAAACGTTGTTAGAGGAAGAAAAAAAAAAAAAAAAAAAAAAAAAAAAAAAGAAAATTTAGAAAAGTAATTAAAGGTAGAATCGAGCTGAGCTGGTTGGTGCATGAAGGGAAGAAGATACGTACCCAAAAAAAAAAGAGTATCGGTTCATGGACATTTAGGGAGAGGCCGTAGATGAAAATAGTCTCTATCTCTAGAAGATGGTACTAGCCTTTTGGTGCTAAAAATCCAGAACCACCTTCCCCCAGGTTTTCTTTTTTGTTTGATTTATAGCATTCTAAGACATTTGATTGGCCATCCCGGCTTTACAGCATCGGAAAAAAAGATTATTTCACGAAAATAACTCCGGGACGGCAGGTGATATAAAAAAAAAAAATTCTTGCAACCAAATGGTAAAATGAACAATCAATAAAAGTTCTCCTTTCATTTGTATGTGATAGAGGTTGTGGGCCAGGAATATCATACAAAATTTACAAATCGTTCATTTCAACATCAATCATAGAAACCTTAATGTAACGTGCCTCTCTCTCTCTGTAGCTAGTGTCGGTATACTCAGTGCTGCTCCACCATCTCACTTCGCTCGATAGTGTCGTGCCTCTCTCTCTGTAGCTAGTGTCGGTATACTCAGTGCTGCTCCACCATCTCACTTCGCTCGATAGTGTCGTGCCTCTCTCTCTGTAGCTAGTGTCGGTATACTCAGTGCTGCTCCACCATCTCACTTCGCTCGATAGTGTCGTGCCTCTCTCTCTGTAGCTAGTGTCGGTATACTCAGTGCTGCTCCACCATCTCACTTCGCTCGATAGTGTCGTGCCTCTCTCTCTGTAGCTAGTGTCGGTATACTCAGTGCTGCTCCACCATCTCACTTCGCTCGATAGTGTCGTGCCTCTCTCTCTGTAGCTAGTGTCGGTATACTCAGTGCTGCTCCACCATCTCGCTTCGCTCGATAGTGTCGTGCCTCTCTATTTTCTAAAAGTTAATTCCAAAGCCAATCAATGCATTTCTATTCATTAAAGCAGCCATTGCTGCTTTTTGAGAACTTCTCTGTTTCGTAGTATCAATTCCATATCCTAATTTAACACCTTCTACGCTACAACAAGTATGAAACTCCAGCCCAATGCGGAATTGTTCATAATCAGCTTTTAATTGCATTGGCCCTAATTTTGCATAAAGGTTATTCTTAGCCTTCATATCTACATCTCTATGAGATAATGGAATTACAGGAATACTAGGATCGAGATTTAATGACGAATACTCGTTCAGCTGCGGCTCGGAAACTGTGTTAGGGTATTTTCGGTACAAAAGGGACGTTGTGTGTGCCGGGGAGGAGTTAATGGTCGAGTTAGAGGAAGTGCTCTTAGTGGTGGTGCTGATAGGTATTGTTGCCGTTGTTGTTGACAAGCGCGTATTTGATATAGGATTGTATTTTTGTGGTTGATATCGATCATATCGGCCTGATGACGAATGCATATATTGATCATAACGACCAGGTTGAGAAGTTGTTGTTGTTGTTGTTGAGAATTGATCATAAGATCGATTTAATGGAAACAGTTGCTGAGAAAACTGATTGCGAGTTGAAGTTACTGTTGCGGGCGGCGGCGGTGCTGTTGATGATTCCTGTGTTGGCTGTAGGAGTGGAGATGGTGGCGGTGATGGGGACGGCGATGGTGAGGATGGTTGATGACGCAAACTAGATGCTGGTGGTGCTGGTAGTGCTGGTGCTGATCCGGGTGGTGAGTATTCTTCTAAATCCAACCTCATTGCAATTGGAGAGGCTCTCGATGATGATGATGATGATCGGAGACCATTTGGTGCCATTAATGGCGATGGAATAGAACTCGACAAATTTGCACCTTCAATTTTGGTACATGGTACCAGGCCAGTATCTGATACTGTAATGTTCTTTGGTTTCTGATTAGCAAGATAATTCTCTTTCATTATAGTAAACACTTTAACAATCTTCGTTTTATCATTGATAATATCCATTGCTGCTCTATCTTGAGCCTCTTCAAAACTCGTCACTGATGATCCAAGTCCCAATACCTGATCATTCACCAAAATTTCAGCAACAAAAGGATCGGTTTTCAGTTGGATGATTTTGAAGTTTATATCCTTATATGGGAGCTTATTGATATTAGTAACCAGTTGAAATAGCGCTTTTAATTCAACCATACCAATTTTTGTCTCTGGGTTACTATTACCGTAGTAACCATTTGAACTTGATAAACGGTTAATCATTGGCTCATATAATCTACCTAACCACCTTTTGATTAAATTAATATCCTTTTCTTCCATTTCCAAACCAGCAATGTATGAAAGAAAGATTTTCCCAATCACATCCATTTTCTCTTCAGTATCCGCTTCGTTTGATAAGTTATACTTTATTGCATCTACTAACCCATACCCAAAGGAAAATTTCGCGAGCATTTCCCTAGACATTAGTCTACTTCTAATAACAGTAAGATCTTCTTCATACACATGGGGTAGTTTTTCATCCAAGATTTCGAAAAGTAGCCATTCTAATATAGCTCTACCTCGAATTGATAATTTCCCATTATGACTATTGCTAAGTTTCAGGATACTCAGTTCAACAAAATCTGAAAGCTGTCGATATGATTTATCCGTTGTGATTCTAATGAGAAGTTTCTGGTTGTTAATCTTGGGTAATGCTGGAGGATATGAATAAATATCCGCATCAACAAAACCACTGTTACTCCCCTCTTCTTCCTTCATTTTTTTTCGACTATTGCCAACACTATTTTCTGGAACAAACTCCAAGAAATCAGCCAAACCTCCATCCAGTAATCCCGTGGCAGTTTTGAAGTTAATCTCACAAAATTTGTGAATAAGAGGTAGTCTTCTGCGATCATACAATTGTTTCATACGAACAGCGACTTTGATCTGAGGTGAATCATTTACAAGCTCTTTTAATTTATCAATAGTCATTTTCATTTCATTTTGATAGAGAGGAGAACCGCTCTGTGTTTCATTGCTCATTACAAAGTGTGATAAACTCTTATATCGTTCCATTGTAGGTGCTGTAGATAGCACTAATTTTAAAGTAGCTTGACATTGAGAGACATGTGCACGTAATTGACTTAGTTCGTCCACTGTTTGTAGTAGCGATTTATCCGGTATCGACATCTTTGTCTCTAATAATGGCTTCACTTGGTGGTCATTCACTTGGAATTATGTGCACAGATTTCGTGGGTCCCCTCCCCCTCGTTTCTGTTCTTTTCTTCTCCAGCTTACAGAAAAAAAAAAGAGAAAAAATAACGAGGTTTAACTCTTAATCAGTCCTAGACCTGTTGATGGGGTTGGCAATGGGCACAATACCTATTTAGCAACTAAAGAGATGTGGTATTGTCAAGCTCACTCGGAAAGAATACAGTACAGCGAATATTTAATTTTTTTTTTTTTTTTTTTCTTCTCACTGAGCATGCGTGCGGCGGCAACGGCGGCGGCTGCGACACTTGTGGCGGTGGTGATATAGTGCAGAGCTACAATCACTGTAGATATACTACATCCAGACATACCAGCTCATTGTCAATTCAATAAAATCAAAGTAAGTTAACACAAGAAGAATAAAAGCCTATATAATATAAGAAAACAATGATATCCATATCCATCAAGAAAAGAATGCCATTCATATACTGTTGAGACGTTTGTCTTGTACCTAAACAGCACTGGAAAAAAATGTCGCAGTGGAATTACTATTACCAGTACCCTCTGTGCCGCCAGCGCTACCGCCAGCACCACCGCCAGCACCACCACTAAGACTCTCACTCGGATCGTCATTTCCGTGTGCAGCAGATATCGTACTTGCAGAGCCAGCATTTGAACCCGCACCGCTAGCTGAGCTAGCATTAATGGCGCTGGTACCTCCTAAATGTCCTGAAGTCTGTAAATAGTGTGGGGCAGAAGCAATGCCTGTTGTAGATGTAGAAGTAGCGGTCGCCATGGGTGCAACGTGTGCAATGTTTGTTGAAGATGATGAGGTGGTCCATTTATTCTGGTGGGGGATAGTGGAGGGGGGATACATTTGATGTTTGACGGGTTGATGATTGTACTGATGTTGTCGATTATATGTATTGCTGTTGTTGTTGTTGTTGTTGTTGTTGTTGTTGTTGTTGTTGTTGTTGTTGTTGTTACTAGTGTTGTTATTGCTGTTAGTGTTGTTATTGTTATTGTTATTGTTGCTGTTGCTGTTGCTGTTATTTGCAGTCGTTGTTGATGAGGAACTAGTATGAGTATAATGGGAGTCAGGAGCTAATAATGTTGATGTTGAAGTATTCAGTTGCAGATTAATAGTAGGAACGATTGAAGTAGTTGAAGAAGAATTCAGATTTGCAAGACCTCCAATACTGCTCCCAGAATTGAGACTACTTGTGGTTGTATTTGAGTTCACATTTGCATTTGTTATAGTAGATGAAATTGTATTGGTGGTTGAAGAGTATCCATCATTACTACTACTGCTTGCAATGGGCACCGAATTAGTAGATGAGCTATTATTACCATACCAATTTATCCCACCAATAACGCTGCTGCTATTACTATTTCCATTATTACCTCCAGTGAAATTGGATGTAGTAGGAACTTTTCCTGAACTGCCTGAACTGCTGTGAGTTTGATTGCTAAGTTTCCGAGTTTTACCAGCTATACTATTGGAAATTGGTATACTACCCAAACTGCTGCTTGATGAAACTGGAGGGTGATATAATCCACTACTCATCGAACTAACGGACCCATTACCTAAAGAGTACTGATCAGAGGAAACTGAACTAAAATGGTATTGTGGGTATGCCGATGCAGTAGTTATACTTGTTCCTGGAGTTGATCCTGATGTTGCAGTTGCCGATGATGGAAATACGGTTCCCGACAGTGCCACCACTGTAAACGATGGTTGTTGTTGTTGTTGTTGCTGCTGCTGCTGCTGCTGAGACGTGGATGCGTTGGAGGAGCTAGTTGCAGAGATTGCATTTGTAGATGCTTGTTGAGGATAAGGTTGCAGTTGCAGTTGTTGCAGAGGCATTCCCGGGTAATGATTATGGTACATTTCTTGAAGATTGGTATTGCCCAAAGATAGTTGAGCTATATTGTTAGGCTGAATGAATTGGCTATACTGGGGTTGCAGCAGCAGCTGTTGCAGCTGTGATGGTTGCAGTACTTGCATTTGCATTTGTTGCAGTGAGTATTGATTTGAAGTTGAAAATTGTTGCAGCAGTGATTGTTGTTGAGGTGCTTGTATTTGCATTTGCAGTTGTGAGTATTGACTTGAAGATGGAAACTGCTGTTGCAGCAGTTGTAGTTGTTGCAGTTGTTGCGGCAGCAGTTGTTGCATCAACATATAATTATTAAAATTAGGTGCAATAGCCATTGGATACCCAGCAACTTGCACTGGTTGATGAGTTCCACCAAATGGGTTAATAAAATTAAGATCACTATTACTACCAGAATCATCTTCTCTTTTAATGAATGTTGCGCTTTCTACAGTTGGGTAATACTGTTGAGGTACTTGCTGCTGCTGCTGCTGCTGCTGCTGTTGTTGTTGTTGTTGTTGCTGCTGTTGCTGTTGCTGTTGATGTTGCTGTTGTTGTTGCAGCATACTTCCATTATTATACTTGCCGTAGCTCAATTTCAAATCATTGGCTGCGGTATGAGTGCCAGCTGATAGTTGAAGTTGGATCTGTTGTTGTTGCTGCTGTTGCTGATGACGTAGATGGTGCTGTTGCTGTAGTGATGATGGAAGAGGTTGCTGTTGTTGTTGTTGCAACATGGACATATTTTGCAATTGATAATTCCCATCTAAGAAATAAAACGCCTCATCCTCAATAGATACTTTCCCACCTAGTGAACTATCCTTGACTGCGGTCCATAATGAAGGTGAAATCTGGACATGTTTATAATCTGTTTCAGAAGGTCTTTGTAGTTTCCCATTCATTACTTCTTGAGCATTATAGTAGCTTATTAAATGTATTGTTTGTTTTTCTTCTCTTCTATCTAAATGAAGGTCTTTTGTCTTTGTGGTTAATGACAATGTCTTTTTGATTAGTCCTTGATCTTTGAAAACATATGAAGTTACAAGAGGTCCACTTAGCAAGTTCTTGGTATAGTCCGAATTCTCATTGATGCCACTACTATTGCTATATGAGTTTGATGCAGGTATTGTGTTTGGAGGTATCAAACGGTGGTGAGTAGTTGAAGTTTGACCGTCACGAGATAGCAACAGTTGTTGCGAGGAAGGGATAGGCGAATTTGATATTCTTCTATGATGGCCTAGAGGATCAATAGTGTGATCTTGATGTGATTGGCGGTGATTATAGTGTTGTAGTTGGTGTTGCTGCAGTTGTTGGCTATGATGATGAGAGAGCGTGTGTTGTGCATGAGGTAAGGAGTCTTGATGAAGCATTTGGTGCAGGGAATGATGCAACTGATGCAGATGATGCTGGCTGGTTGTGCTAGTTGGAGTTATATTAGTTGGATTACTAGTACTCGTTTTCCTCTTTTTCTTCTTGCCATCCTTATCATCTATAGTATTTTTATCTAGTTCTCGATATACTAAAAATCGACCCAATATTCGTGAAGGTGACCAAGCAGTGCCATCAGTCCAGCGTTTAATCCCTGAATGCTCCTCAATAAATACAAACACATTTCCTGACTTGATTAATTGGAGTCTTTCCTTTTCATGTGGCCTTCGTGGCACCAATTCTAATTGTTTATCTAAAGTTTCCTGAATGACTAACAAGGCATCTTTAGTTGATCCTATATAGCCATAAAAAGTAGGTGATAGTTTTGATGTCGCCATTTCTTTAAGCAAAAAAATGAAAATGGAAAATGGCAGAAATATTGAGATATGTTTTTTATTTTTGGTTTGGTTCCTATATGTACTTTTTTCAAAGAAATTTGGCTTTCGCTTCAAGTCTCTTGCGAATGGCTTTAAGCTTTGTTGTCTATGTTTAAAACTCTTGTTTCTTTGAAAAAGTGCCACAAGGTTGGTTTTTTGCAATCGAAAAAAAAAAAAAAAGAAACAAATGGATTGAGCTTGAAGGGTTCGATTGTTGAATAGTTTTGTTAAAAATTGAAGAATCAAACTTTTAGTGGAGGGGATAACTGAACATATATATATATATATATATGTGAATAAACAAGTTATGTGCTTGTGCCTGTGCTTGTGCTTGTGCTTGTGCTTTTGATATTGTACTTGTGTGCGTTTAATTGTTGCTGATAGTGCTTAGGTGGTAGTGATTCCAAAAGAAAAAAAAATTTTGCAACTATTTTTCTTCCCCTGTTGCTGGTGTTGAACTTTATTATATTCCAGCAGGGTTCTCTTACCCGGCGGAATATGAACAAATGGGAAAAAAGGAGGGGAAGTCCTACTGTTAAAATAAGGTAATGGAATGTATGATATGGTATGATAATGTGATGGACCGTGGGTATTTACAATAGTGACCAAAAAAAAAGGGACCCCAAAGATTGAATAAAATAATATGTTTCAAATTGAGGTCAATTTTAATAGAATATTTTTTTGGTTCCCTTAGAAGCAATAAATTTTGGACACTGCAAGTGGTTATTATATTATTGGCAATAGTGATAATAATATAATTGGGAATAATAATCTATTTGGTTAGGTATGAGTAATGTGAATAAATATAAAATAGTGAATAATTCAACGCTATAGTAGGAAAAGGGTGTGGGTAATGTGACACACTTAGTTGTTGCATATAATATTTATTCTTGTTCTATTTTTTTCTGAATTTTTGATTGAGTGTTATGAAAAGTACCAGGTCGTAGCTGGGGCGGACAGGCAGGCGGTGGTAGTTAGTTATGGAATGATGACTTTACAATTGGTCACAATTTGGTGTTTTATCTGACACTCTAATAATAAAATTATTCTAATACTCTTTGAGTTTAGCTAAACAGGGAGAAAAACTATTCAAACAAAAGCTTTGTAAAAGCTTTGTATTTTCCTTGTAGAATTTTGACTGTACGCGGTCAATGGTTATATCTTACCAGATCGTATACTCTATTATGTCGAAGCCGATCAAAGTAGTTAGGGTTATTTGTATTGTTTAATCCTCTTTTTCTTATTGTACTTCCCTTCTCTTCAATCAGCAAGAAACGAAGTAAATCTAGTTGGGAATAACAGCTATTGCGGCGGCAAAAAAAAGCCCCAAAAGAAGATCTAACAAGTGGATATTATATTGTAGTTTGCCGCTGCTGCTTTCAGCTTCAGCTACTTCTAACCAATGGTAAAAATGGCGAAGATGAGATGCACTCAGTTATTAAAAAACTGTATCTGGCTTAAAAGAAAAAAAAAAAAAAACCGTGGATAAGGATTTAAAAAAGTCAAAAGTCAAAGCTTGTTAAAAACGAAATTTAGCCCTGATTAAATATCTCCAATGTCAGTTGAATGTTTTGTCAATTATAAGTCTAGTCAACGTGTTTGTGAAGGAGTAAAAATTTGCTCTCCCTGTAATATTTGTGGAGGAAAATACTCAGTGAAAGGAAAAAGTATTAAAAAAAAAAAAAAAGTTAAACTCCTGTAGTTTTTTTGGTAAGAAGTTGATATATATCTTGATGCCTTTTTCTTGTAGTTAAAAGGAGGAACAATGCTCGAAAATAAAGTGCAAAAAGGAAGGGAGGGGAAGGAAAGATGCAAGAAAATGACCCAATTTGATAGTTAATATTTTTCTCTGACGAGAGTAAATGAAGACGATGAGGTAAAACAAACAATGAAAAGGAAAAAGGAGGATGAAGAAGGAACGGGAAAAGAAGGATAAGGAGGATAACAACAACAATAACAAAACACTGGTGCGTGTGTAGCTTTTTCAAAGTTTTTTTAAGCTTTAAACTTTGAGTGCTTTTGTCTTATATATTTTCTTGGGTCCCTTTTTTTGAGCTTGTATTTTCAACTTACAAGCTTTGCAATTTGGCAATTTTTATTGAAAAAAAAATGATTTTTTTAAGGTTTTGAGGTTTGAAAATTCAGTTGAGCTTTTTGTTCACTTTGTGGAAGAAATGAAAAATAAATAAAAAAGCATAAATAACAAGGGAAAAAAATAATTGATAAGCAGGAAGGCAATGTCGAGTTTTTTTCAACTGGTACTTCCCTTCCCCCCCTCTCTCTTTCAATTGATGATGTGACTTTTTTTTTTATTTATTTATTCCAAAATTGGATAGTAGAACTTCTGTGAACTCTGAAAATTTGCAAATTGCAACTGCAATTGTAGTCGCGGGTTGGTTATGGTTATTGTTTTAGTGGACGTTTATTGTGGTTGTGGTTGTGGTGGTAAGCCGTTAGCAGAAAAAAATCTCCTTATTTTTTGGGCAATGGCCTCAAATTCTCTAGCAAAGCGCTGGCTTTACAAATTGAATGCCTCCTTGAGTACACACGGGTTTGAATAGCAAAGGGGGAAGAGGCCAAAGTTACCTGGTTATTTAGACTTGTTTCTATTAGGTTTTTCTGTCAACCGATACCATAATATCAATAGCCAAATAAAAAACTTTAAAATAAAAAACACCCTGTTTTGTGATAAGTCTGATTTCCAGTTAACCTACTAGTACTGTTCCTTATGTGACCCAGAGTTACTGAGTGTAATTTATTGGATTCGCGCCAAGGTGTAAGGAGTGGGCTTGAATTCGAACAAGTCTTTTTTAGGTATTACAATTCGGCGTTACAAGGTCCCTGAAGATGAACATACTTCTAGAACTCATTAATTTTTAATAGCCCTTCCTTTTTTTTTTTTTTTTTTTTTTTTTTTTTTTTTTTTTTTTTTTTTTTTTTTNAACCCATTAATTTTTAATAGCCCCTCCTTTTTTTTTTTTTTTTTTTTTTGTTTCTCTTTTAGTTGTGTTATAGTTAATAAGTTTTTGCTTGGTAAGTTAAAAAGGCAAAATATAACCTGAGAAAAGGGTTTGCTGTTGCGCGCATGCCTTCATTACTTTATCTAGTTTATGCTCCAAATCGGAAACAGTTCCCCTCTTCTTTTTAAAGGACACTGTCGTGTATCTTATCCACGACAGTTTGCGACAAATCACTTAGAATCCGACTATGATAGTGTAGCTTTTCTTTTTTCCATCAATTAGTTGAGTGTATTGAGCAACTCATTTCAAGTTTGAAGCAAATAGCTATCAACTTTGGACACACACCGATCTAGTTGTGTGCATTATAGAGGAGCTGTTTTGTAAAAAAAAAAAGTACAACAATGGTGAATAGAGAAGTGTCGAGATCTGAAGATGGAGCCACTAATTGAGAGGAGTAACTTTTTCCTAGAGTCGTTCATATATGAAAATTGCCCGCGATGAGATAGGTGATTATTTCTCAAGATTTAGTTAAGAGTAGCTTCTAGTAATGGACAAGTTAAGTAGACTAATTCATTAGACAAAACAGATATTAGATATCTTTGAAGAAATAACAATTCTTATCTCCATTACTTCGTTATCAGTTATTCTTTTTCTAAAGTTATGAAAACTAAATGTTTAGTTATTTCTTCTATATTTCATCTCTTAATTTGCACCCTTGAATGTCGCATTTTATGTCGTACATAAAAATATAGCTTACATTGAGGTAACTCACGTGCAATAACGTGAATACTGGCTTCTTCGGGTAGCGTGTGCAAGGCCCTTACTCTTCAGGCTCACCTAATTAACAGGTTCATTTCTTTTACATTGCAATTATTTTACTTTGTAGTAATAAGGTTTGTAATTTTTATGTTTATTTTTTTGTTTCAATAATGAGCAAAAAAAAAATGCAAGTAACAAAAAGCTTTCCTTCTCCTCACCAAAAACCTTACTTTTGAAAATTTAAATTGAATAATCTTATTGTTGTAGTTATTAATGCTTAGTTCACTTTTTAATTTGCTTGGTTTTATGAAAGTAAGAACTTTAAATCCACATGTAGGAAAAGTACTCAGAGGGTAGGATTTCCAAACTCTATCACTACCCGATTACTAAAAAATAAAAACACATATCAGTAGACTAATTATCGGTAACCAATAGCACCTGTACTCTATCTAAATAGTGAAAAGAGAGCTCACTTACTAACCTTTCAATTTAAAAAAGCCAATTTTAAAGTTCCTCGATAATATAAATTATAATTCCAATTTAACTAAATAATAGAAATAATAATAAAGCTTAATTAGAAACATTTTTAATTTAGTCACATAATACTAAATGACGCCTATCACATACACGCATATATATATATATATATATTTGTATATATATTTGTATAGGCATATGTACCGTTGCACCGACAACAGTCATGCCAACCGAGAGTCTGAGGGAAACCCAAGACTGGTATAAGCTACAATTTTTTGAAACTGACTTTAACTCTGATTCTGAGCTGATTCTGAACTCATCTCACGGTCTTGGAGCCCTGGTTTAGATTTACTTTTCTTGTTTTGGGTCACACATTATTTAAAATCACTCATTACACAAACCTTGACTCACACCATTCCATATTTTTCTTTACTACTACACAATTTAACCTTTAGCTTTTTAATGTTGGAATAAACGCCTATTGGTTTACCATGTCCAAGATCTTGTCATACAGTAGCTATGACAATTATTGTATTGTCAAAAACTGTTGATTACAACATAAATGGAAAAACTAACCCCCTTCTTGCCCCCCCCCCCCTCGTCTCCCCAATATTTTGTTTATGCTAAATCTTAATGACAAAATCTAACTGGTCACTTTCAATGCTCTTGTTTACATACAATGAAGCTCAAAAGTCGATGAGATCTCTTAATAAAAGCATAATCTATCTAAACGCACGTTGCCCTGCATTTCCTTTAGTCCAACGCTGTCAAAAAAAAATAGAAGAAAATAGACTAAAAGAAGGGACTATTACAACTAAACTAAGTTAGACTTACATATATGTATAATTTGCGCTACCATGTGCGTATCTTCTGGTTTATGGTTTTTTTTTTATTATTGCATTGTTGGGGTAGGGGTTCATTCCTTTTGTATTGAAATCGATGAAATCAAAATTTTAACAATCATACTCAATGCTGTTAACTGTATAGAGTTTTTTTTCCAGTTTAGACTTGGCAGGGGGTGTGTGTGTGTGAGGGGGTGAAGAAATCAAATGGGCTTATTTCCCCCCGCCTCTCATGTATGTGAAACTAGTAACAATGAAAAAAGATCATTTACAGCTAGTAAATACATTACAATTAAGGAATATCCCTTGGTCAATGTAACTTGGGTTACCAAGAGTGTGATTTAAAACCTATAGTTAAAAAAGATTGCGATACACAATGGGATGCACTTATCTAAGGGGATGAGGGGAGAAGGAGTGTCTTTAACACTAGATCCCGATGTTTCTATTTGGTAGTATTCCAAATTGTAATCAAATAAGAACATACTTGGGTATTCATCCAAAAGAACGTTCTTTTATTGAAGAAGGGGTGGATAATACGCCAACGGTTAATGCAACAAAAACGATCTATGTATAGGAATGCATGCAAAATGTATACAATAAAACTTGGTCTATGGACATATCTGGATTACTTTAATAATTGCACTAATCTACCATTAAAATCAATCTTTGATAAATTAAATCAAACCCAGTTTTTTTTCTTTTTCTTTTTCTTTTTCTTCTTTTTTATTTTTTTATTTTCAGTATTAGAGCCTAAGTAATAATACTCTTTGGCCCTTCCTGAACTGAATTTAAAATACTATATCTTTAGTTTTCAAATCTATCTGGTATAATAAGGAAAGGTTGCTTGCAAATTTAGTATTTACAGTTTGGATAATATGTATTGTCCCGATTGTTATGTAATTAAACTCTGTGAAAGATCTTCACTCCTCCAACTATTGTGAATTTTAACTATCTTCCCGAAAAAACTTTAACTTCGAGGTTTACGGATAGTGTGTAACCAGGAATTTAATACATTGCCGTGGTTTCAAATAAACAAAGAAAAGAAAAATTATCCATAAAAAGAAAAATTATTCATAAAAAGAAAAATTATCCATATTGTCGCAAAGACAATTTTACTTTGCAATCTCATCTTCTTTGCAAAGCCGCGATTAATTTTGTCGGAAAAATTATTGAAAACTTTGTTTTTTGTTCTCAACTTTACTTAGCGAGTGTTGGACTAGTCCTTGATTCTTGTTTTGTGTGTCTCCCAACAATGGGCACAACTTGCCCGATGTTGACGTTTTCCTATGCAATGAAGCTCCTTTTCTCTAATGTTTTTCTGCTTACGATACAAACTCGCGTACTGTACTTTGTGGTATTGAAATTATACGTTATATTAATTGTAAGCGAAATTTGGTTTTGGTTGTAGAAGCATTAAAATAACCTAGTTTTTTTTTTTCAAAACTATGCTAGGTTAGTATTTTTTATTTAGTATGTAATTATATAAAAAAGAAGGTATTAGATATGATTGAGCCTTACTCTTAAGTGAGAACAAAGCTTACTAATAGGAGTAGCGAAAGCGTGGTTGTTTAATGCAAACAAATGCAAAGAAAATGTCTTTAAAGAAATTTTCAATTTGTTCTCAATCCTACAATGGACAATGAATAGTTGGGCAATACTACAACTATCAAACCCGTGTGTCATTCAGATTCAAGAATCAGTATATAGTATTATTTCCTCTTTCAACTAAAAGGAAAAAAGAAAACTTAATAATTCATCTCATATTTCTTTTTTGCAGCCAAAAAAAAAAAATAATAAAATAAAAAATAAAAAAATATAAAGTATTGATAATCTACAATTAATGCCTTAATCAGTGCTACCAACTTCGACAAAATAGTTGCTGATATTTGCACTTGCACACATTTTTTTAGCATTCTTTTCAACATCGTTTTATGGTTATGAGCTCACTGCCCAGCAGAGCGAGATAGTGTTGTAAGAAGCTACTGAGTGTTGCTCGATAGTGTCATGAGTCAATATGCTCCACTATCTCGCTTCGCTCGATAGTGTTGTAAGAAGCTACTGAGTGTTGCTCGATAGTGTCATTAGTCAGTAGGTTCCACTATCTCGCTTCGCTCGATAGTGTCATTAGTCAATATGCTCCACTATCTCGCTTCCCTCGATAGTGTCGCTCGATAGTGTCGTACATTTTTTAGATTTAGTTGAAGTAAATGACGTGAATTATTAATTAAGTTATTTCAGGAAAAAAATAATAATTTATATAAAGAAAAAATATTAAATCAATCCTCAATTGATTTCGTAAACTTCCATGTTATTCTTAGAAAGGAATAATCATGAAACATCCTCATAAAACCTCGACAATGAATTATTCGACCCATTGTTCCCAAGCGCTCCCATATGATTGAAAGGTGATGGTCTTGTATACCTTCTCTCTTCTGCATCCTCTGTGTATTGTTGAACAGGTTGGTACTCACTACTACCATGATTAATGTAATGCTGGTGATGAGTATATTCACCCGCACTATTGTTACCTCTACTTTCGTCTCCAGGTAATATAAACGATTCATCATCATAATCACTTGGATGGAACTCCTCGTCGGATGAGGATGAGCTTTCCTCAGTATCGTAGTTTGAACTTGGCACAGTTTCTTCTCGAACTACTTCAGATTCTTTCAACGGTTGTGGATTCGTCACGGAACTCCCGTATCCCTTCTGATAAAATGGTTGTTGTTGTTGTTGTTGTTGTTGTTCTACTTCTTGATGATGATTATGGTAACCATGTTGTACTTCACCTGACTGATCTTCTTTGAAATTAAAGTCACGCGGTGAGGCTAAGGGATGGCCATATGAAGTAAATCGGTTATTTGCTGATAATGGTGACAGATCGGCAAATGTACTATTACTATTATCACCAAAAGCATTGGGTTCTGCCAGGTAAGATATGGAAGAACCACGGGTATTAGCTGATTTTCCAAAATATGATGAATTTCTAGCTGAATTTCTCCCTGAAGTATTCATAGTAGTTGCATTATTCGATGGTCTAAACACGGAATCTAAATTATTAGCATTGGTGACTCCACGATATGCAAAATCTCCATCACCTCCATCGTCATCGTCTTCCACTACTACTCTGCGCGCTTGTGGTGTGGATCCATATGTTTGGTTCTCTAAATCATCGGTACTTCTTAACCTTCGGAATGTGCCTACTCCTGCAGCTGCGGCACCAGCACCGGCACCAGCACCAGCACCAGCACCCATACCAACATCAGCTATTGATCTGGAGTTTTTACCTAAAAGCTGCGAATTCAGTGCTCTGCTGCCATCCCTAGTTATCCTATTCCCGAATCCTCCAAACATGGTTTTAAACCAACTCATCCTGGACTGTTTCATATTACCATTTGGTGAGTCGTGGAAAATATGATCATGCTTATCATCTAGTGAAGTATCTTCTTCATCATCGTCATTATTGTCTCCTCCACCACGGCCACCACCAACTCCTCCTCCTCCTCCAATAGCTCGTGCATGTGCACCGCCGGTAATTGCACTATTGAAATCTGGCGATTGGTTCGTGATATTTCTTCTTCTGCGTTTTTTGAAAAATAAAAATATGACTACTAAACAAGCAATGACAATTGTGCCACCTATTGAACCCACGAGACCGCCAATCAATTTAGAATTACGCTCGGCAGTAGAAGTTGGATGGTCTGCAATTACTGCTGAAGTGGGAATAGCAATCACAGTGGTAATTGTGGTGTCACCATGAGTAATGGTTGATGTATAGGAAGAAGTGAATGACGTTGTTTTGCTATGTTGATTCTTGGACGATTCTGTTGAGGATGTGAGAACTCCGTCCGTAGAAGAAGTGGAGGAAACGGATGATGATGATGATGATGATGTGGTAGTGGTGGATGAGACTGAAGAAGGTGAAGATGAAGAAGAAGAAGAAGTGGTGGTGGTGGATGAAGAGGAGGATGAAGTAGTGGTAACGAGGGAAGATGAAAATGTGGAGGAAGTTGTTGAGGATATGGAGGATGATGTGCTTGAGTCTGAGCTTGAGGAGGTCAGAGTACTTGTACTTGGAACAACACTTGATTCTGAGCTAAAACTTGTGGATGAAAGGTCTGTAGAAGACGAGGATGAAGATGCAGCAAGTGACGACGACGACGACGATACGATGGCACTTTCTGACGAAGATGCCGATGCAATTATAGTTGAAGAGCTAGGGGACTCTGTAGAAGAAACATTGTCACTTGATGGTGTGGTATATACACTTGATGACGTATCACTTGACAATAGCTGTGAAACAGCGGAAGGGGATGAAACTTGAGAAAAAGTGGTAGCGGCGGGAGATGACAGATCACTTGGAGTAGTAGGTGTTTGCTGACTAGTAGACAATTGTGATGTATCAGAAGATGTGGTAGGTGATGATGCTATGGGTGAGAGCGACGACAATGGTGATACTGAGTTCAAGCTGGAAGTAGTTGGTGTTACTAGTGATGTTGTGTTTGAATCAGACATTGTCAGCTGAGATGAAGTAGAAGGAGATGCAGTAATCGGGGAGTAGGAGCTGGTTGTGATTGGTGTAGGTGTAGATGCTGAAGAAAAAGTAGGTGTAGTTGTAAAAGCAGATGTGAATGGGTCCCCAGTTGTAAGAGCAAGGGAAGTTTCACCAATAGACGACTCTACACGATTTTCTGTAAAAGACGAAATCGTGGACGGAGGTGTGTTACTGGTCAGCAAGAAAGACAAATCTAATGTTTTTTCTCGCCTATTTGCACTAGCAGTTGATGAACTTGTTTCTAGCAAAGATGACGGTAAGGTTGGTGAGGAGGTAACAACGGCAGCAACGGCTGTAGCAATGGCAGTGGTGGCAGCAGAGGTGGTGGCGGTGATGGTCACACTACTAAGAGTGATTGCTGGTATTGAAGTATCAGCCACGAATGAAATCTTACACTGAAGTTGAAATGGGTGAAATATAGAAAAGAAAAATTTAAAATCCAAATGCTATTTGCGTTTTGTACCTACAAAGTGAGGAAACTTGTTGTTGACACTTGGTAGCAATATATATATATATATCTTGTTGGTATTATTTAGTTGAGATGAAAGCTTTGTGTCTGCAGCTGGAAAGCTATAATTAGATACGGAAAAATAATAAGTATTGAACAACAATAGAGAAGAAAAATAAAAAGTGGATGACTTTTGGCTGAGTGTTAGTACATCCTTTCCAGAGTAAAGGAAGTTTAGAAAGAGTGACTGGTTTGTATGAAAAGGGTAGTAAAGGATGTAAAGGCTGAGTTTGTAGTGAGATATGGTTGGTTGTAGTGAGATGAGTGAGATTAAAGTATATGTGGTGAGGCTCAAACGAGGTTGTAAAGATATGGCTATTTGATGAAAGAGAATAGGCGGATCTTGTTCTTTCTTTATAATCCTTTAGCAAACTTGTGATTTTCCTCTTGATTTGCTTATGTGTAAGGTCTAAGATTACTTTTGTTTTTGTAAAGAGAAAATCTCATTGCTAAATAGAGAAAATAGGGAAAGGGGGAGGAGGGGGGGGGAAGGAAAAATAGAAGGAGAGGTAGCTTAGGGACACGGGGGAAGCACGGGGGAGAGGCAGAGTTTATTACAACATACAACCATAAAAAAAAAGGGAAAAAGGCTGTACTCTGGTTTATGCTCTGCGTTGTAGCTGATCTTGACAGGTTATATAATCTGTCAAGATCAATAATGGTGGTGCTGATGGCTACCACTGATGTATTTTCATGCAAAATCAAGGGGTGGGTGGGGAGGGAGGGCTCTCTCGTGTTTCCCACCTCGGAGATATTAAATGGAAAAAAATTAGTTCTATTTAAAGTATGTATGTATCGATGCGCAAAGATAAAATAACGAGGGTAGTGTACTATACCCAAAAACGGCAGCTCATCTCTCATTGAAGACCTGAAATTTGCAAACAATATGAAGACAGCACAACAGTATAAACCATTGTTTGGAGAATCAACTGGTGAGGGATGAGAAGTAGTTGTTGAAAATGTTGAAAATGGTGGATAATATCATTGCTTTTTCATTTGCTCATAGACAAAATGTCATTTCAATTTGAGATCTTTTGCTTTTGTGTCTTCTTTTTATAGAGTCTGAAAAGAAATCAGACACTTTTCTTTATTTATTTTTTTTTGCTTCGCTTTTCTGCAGGCTCTATTTACGAGCCAAAAATAGCCTATCCTTGATAAAGACGATTTAGGTAATGCATGCGGTGGCTACTATAGTCGCACCCAAATGATCTATTTTCTTCTTGATTTCTTATTAGAGACAAAATTTCAGATTTAGATTGGTGATGAGGTTACTAAGTCTTGGGTATATTGATAAATTGCACTTTTAGTAAAAACTGTGTGTCGTACAGTGATACGCAACACTATCGAGCACATTGACTACACCGACGACACTAGTAATATAAGCATTATGTAGCCATATAAAAGCGACTCTTTTTATCACTTTTTCTCTCAACTACAACCCAACCTCTCTATTTACCAAACTACTAAATTAAAAGTTTCTAAATTTGAAGTTGCTTAATTTTAATCGAGTTGGGGGTTACTGCTACTCTAAACAAATTATAATTGGATTGTGATTTACCACTTTGTTGGCAAATTGTCGCCACGAAAACATTAAACAATAATGTCACGCAAGAAAGAAAAGTACAACTCCTCATTAAAAAAAGTGCAACTCTCCTTGATTTAGAAAAGAACAACTTTAAAACTCTCCTTGATTTAGAAAAAGAACAACTTTACAACTTTACAACTCTGCTCAATTACAACTTTACAACTCTGCTCAATTACAACTTTACAACTCTGCTCAATTACAACTTTACAACTCTGCTCAATTACAACTTTACAACTCTGCTCAATTACAACTTTACAACTCTGCTCAATTACAACTTTACAACTCTGCTCAATAAAGAGTGGAGACAAACTTATTATTTTTCAAATTCAATTTTGATCCCCAAACATTAGCATCACGTGACTTCATACATCTGCTCATAACTGTATATCATTTTCCTTTTTCCTTTTTTTTTTTTTTTAACAAGAATCTGGCAGTATGTATTAGTTATTCCAAAAGTAATCAATCTTCTATTGATGACGTATAATCCCGATTTTGCATCCAAAAGTGATTATGTGTAAATATTATGTAGCCACTAGCTACAGACTTCCTATTCCCACAGAATAGACTTACCTTGTTAAAACTCTAATTAACTTTTAGAATCGCAGCAGGGGAGGAGGAGGGGGGGCAGGGCTCTATCTTACAACCAAAAGAGCTCACAAATGGCGGGGCTTGATCCCTTTTTGCTTTTTGCTGAGAGCTTCCCCGATTTGGTAGCACGAGTGTCTCATTTTTAATTCACGACACTGAAATTTTGACACTGCTTTCAAAAAGGAGCCGCCCACTAAAAAAAAAAAAGGTTGAATGTGGAGTTTATCAGTTACTTATCAAAGAGATCCCTCGGTACAACCTTCCACTTTATACAGTCTTATAGATACTTTACTAGATATTTTGATCAACTATGACTATTACAGAGCCTAAACGTATGGACAATACTATGGCGTTGTCCTTACTCAAGCTATACAGGGCAAATCGATCTTTACTATTAAATACATCATATATTGTTCTAATAACGGCAGCGTTCACGGGAGCAGCAAGCACTGGGCTATCCAAAACTTCAACTGCAAAACCAGAAAAGCAGCTAGAACAGTCACTGCAGAATAGTAATACTACTGCTACTGCTACTGCTACTAAGAAAAAATACCCGAAATTGTCGCGCCAGGCTTTTGAGCGATTGGCCAAGGCTATTATTCCTACTTATCACGATAAAGTTATTGGCTACTTGGTTTCTCACTTGGTGTTATTGGTAGTGCGTGCATTGCTAACTATAAAAGTAGCAACTTTAGATGGTCAACTTGTAGGTGCCTTAGTCTCGAGAAGATTGAAAGTTTTCAGTAAATACCTATTGATTTGGTTGTTGATTGGTATACCTGCTTCATTAACAAATGCGTCACTATCGTGGACAAAAGAGAATTTAAGCAAAAAAATTCGAGAAAACTTGAATCAATCAATTATGCAAGAATATTTGCCTGACAATCTTGATGCTAATTATTATTCCTTGATCCATTTGAGTGATAACAAGATTAAAGACCCTAATCAGAGAATTACAACCGATGTGTCTAGACTAGCTTCTGCTTTGAGTAGTTTACCCGGTCAATTACTCAAACCTACTTTAGATTTATTGCTCTGTGCAAGACAATTAAGTCAGAGTGGAGTTGGAAATGGTGAAGGAACTTTGGCCTTGGGGATTCTTGCTCATTTTTCAACAATGATCATCAGATTCTTTTCACCGCCATTTGCTAAACTAGCTAGTGAACGTGCGAATCTTGAAGGGCAATTAAGATCAGCGCATTCTAAAATCGTTACCAATAGCGAGGAAATTGCCTTTTTGAAAGGCCATTTCAGAGAATTGGATTATATTGACTACTGCTATTATACTTTGGAAAGATTCAGTAAAATGGAGTATTGGAAAAAGGCTATCCATGAAATTGCCCAAACTTTTATTGTTAAATATTTCTGGGGTGCCGCCGGTTTAGTCTTGTGTTCCGCTCCGATATTCATTTCGAAATATGTAGGTGAAAATCCAGACAAAAATGCTGCTGGAAATTTCATCACCAATAGAAGATTATTAATGAGTGCTTCCGATTCCTTAGATCGATTGATTTTTGCCAGAAAGTATCTTTTACAAATTGTCGGTCATGCTACTAGAGTTTCCGATTTCCAAGACACGTTAGCTGATGTGGAAAAACGGAAAAAGACAATTACATCAAATGTCAAGTTCAATAATGATGAAATAGTCTTTGATAAAGTAAAGCTATTAACCCCAGCTAATGTCACTTTGATTCCATCCTTGAGTTTTGAAATTAAATCGGGTGATCATTTGTTAATTGCAGGTCCCAATGGATCAGGCAAATCATCTTTGTTCAGAATGCTTGGTGGATTATGGCCAGTAAAAGAAGGGACAATAACAATTCCAACTACGAAAAATATGTTTTATCTTCCACAAAGGGCATACTTGGTTCAAGGATCATTAAGAGAACAAATCATCTATCCTCATTCCGTACAAGAGCAGAAAAAGGATGATTCGAAATTAAAGGAGATTTTAAGAGTATTGAACTTGAGCGAGTTTGCAGATCAGCTAGATGAAGTAAAATGTTGGGATGAAGAATTGTCAACTGGCGCACAACAAAGATTGGCAATGGCGAGATTATATTATCATGAACCCAAATTCGCAGTGTTGGACGAATGCACTTCAGCAGTGAATCCCGATATGGAACAGTTTATGTATCAATATGCTCAAAAACTTGGTATTACACTACTTTCAGTAGCTCACCGACCTGCTTTGTGGCACTTCCATAAATACCTTTTGAAATTCGATGGCAAAGGTGGATATTTTTTTGGAAAATTAGATGCAGAAAAGAGATTGAAATTGGAACAAGAGAGGATTGAATTGGAGAAATTATTAAGAGATATGCCTGTACTTAAAGAGAGATTAGCTGAATTGAAGAAAGTGTCTCAATTACAACACGACAAGTATCGTCATTGAAAAATAAATTGGAAGAAGAAAAAAAAAGAAGAAAAAAAAGAGATGCTAATTTTATACTACTATTATACATATACATATAGCTGTATATATATATATATATGTGTGTGTGTGTGTGTATCTATGTGTGTATGTGTATTTAGTTCTACCTTCTATTTGGTCAATGCACTTTCGGTAAACTTACCATTTAATAATAACCCAGTCATGATTTTGGGCAAGACTTCAACTTGAAACTTTTCAAAAGGGAAGCTTTCACCATCAATGCTTATATAGTGGTTCTTGGCTGACATTCGAGGCACTAATCTATATGCATTTACTTTGGCATGCACTACCTTATCATCATTTATATGAGTTCCCAGTTCGACATTGAGCAAGATTGAACTTAAATTCACCATTGAAGTACGATGAGAATCGGTTATGATCATATCCATATATCCATCATTCGGCAATGCAGCAGGAAAAAATTGGGCATTTTTGGAAACGTAGGGCATTTTACCTACATAAAGAATATTTAAATTCTCGGTAATTTTGGAAGGTAACATTTCCCATGTTGAAGGTACAGGTTGATCTAAATTTGGCAGATTAATTTTCAAGTCTTTTAAAGTCACTTGATATAATAAATCATCATTATTATTACCACCACCATTACTATTACTACTATCACTACCGCTTGTAATTCCTCTTCTTTCCAATGATGATACATATTGGCTCACATGTTGTTTTATTTCATACTTATCATAAGTATAATAATTAACATATAAGTCACATGGGTACGTTGCGCCCAGAATTACTTTTTGAAGCACGCCTATTTCAAACCGAACTGGACCCAACCATCTCAAATGTTCGGTGCCTATATCTGAATCTGCTATTATTCCGTAACATTGACTTAGAAATGATAATTTTGTACTCATATTCTCGCCTGTGCCTTGAGTTACTGCCATTAAATCCATTTTGCAGGGCTCAGACTTGAGCATTAACCAAGTGGCAACTTCAGGATGGTTTGATCCTCCTAACGTGCTCAAAGTTAAAGCATTTCCCGACCCACAGGGTAATTGAGTTATAATCACATTATTGAACGCCTCAACACCAGAATCTGGTCGTTGGTAAAATCCATTTATGACTTCGTGAGGTATACCATCACCTGAACAGCACACTATTATATCATATTGGTCAATATCCAAATCTCGAGCTATTTCATAAGCGTGACCGGAATATTCGGTATTTTGGTATGTTATTTTGCAATGAGCAGCCTGCAATATTGGCTTTATGTGTTCATTGTAGATTTTCACTGCTTTCCCCTGTCCACCGTGAGGATTTATAAGCACAAGTATAGATGGCTGTTGCATGACTCTATGACGGTAGGATTTGTTTAGAATGTAGCGAATTATCGAAGTTACCCTCTCTTTGGCGCTTTGTTGTTGTTGTTGTAAATCAGGATTGCAATTTTGCACTTGGATATTCAACGTGTTTATAGACACTTTAGTAGCCAGAAGCTGGTAGTTTTGGTGATTGGGCACAACATAGGTTAATTTGAGTTCATTCGAGTCCCATTCCAAAGTCCTTGGTTCCACATAAAGTATATTTTTGTAAGATATGAATCTTGGCACTTTTGGACCCTCTTCTTTTGTTTCCAAGCAAGCAAAACACGCAGCTAAGTTGTCACTAAACAATGAGTTGTTACAGTTGTTGCTATCATGTTCGTAATAAGTTGCAGTATCTCGTGATCTATGTGTAAACAGCAGCAGTATGGAGGAATCAGGGTCCTGAAGTTGGCTTCTGATAACAATACCCTGTGAAGTTAAAGTTATTGGGACCACATCTGTAAGCTGATAAAGTAATTGCTCCGAAGACATAAAGAAGTTCCAGCTTTAGTGACTCTATTCTACCTACAGTGATACCACTCTATTCTAATACCAACAATTTATAACATAAAAAGAGTGAATAAAGTTTTACAAAAGCAATTGATATTGAAAAATAAAATAAAAAGATCGAATCTAGACAATCAACAGAAATGTCGATATTGAAGTGTAAAAACCAAACAAACAATTTCAAAGGGCATTGAGTAAAAGCTGCAGAGAGAACAATTGCGTAGAAGAATTTGGGGGAAAAACAGCAATTGTTTGTGTCTCGGCACTATCGACACTATCGACACTATCGACACTATCGAGCGAAGCGAGATAGTGGTGCAGCATGTAATGCAGCACGTAATGCAGCACGTAATGCAGCACGTAATGCAGCACGTAATAGCAGCACTATCGAGAGCGAGATGTCCACTCTCGACAACATCTTGCTCTGATAGTTGGGGCCCTTTGCTACCAAGAAAAAATCCATTTGCCAGGAGAACTGATACTAGTAACTTTTCAAGTTGCTAGAAGTAAACTGATTACTATTATGTCACAAAACAAACCCGCGTTGCTGGTTTGTTTGATCATTGCACAGAGAAGGGCATGGTATCCTTACCCGTGTGCTACATTATCAGGCTCTTTTGGCATTTGCATATATAAAGTTTGATGATGGACGTTTGGGCTCTTCTTTTGGTGTTGGCATTGGTGTTGTGCCGTTTCGANACACTCAATGGACTTGTATCACGTGATCGAGTAAAATAGCGACGAGTCACGTGCTTTGGGACCTTTCCCTCTTTTTTTTTTTCTTTTTTTTTTTTTGTATATCATTTCTCGATTCACTTTTCAAGGTTCATGGTTTGGGCCCAAGCTACTTGACAAGAGTTACGGTTGGACAAGCTACTTGACAAGAGTTACGGTTGATCAAGCTACTTGACAAGAGTTACGGTTGGACAAGCTACTTGTATAGTTGGACAATCTAGCTGCATCGCAAACTCACAAGTGGTATTCCTTTCGCTAGTGTCGCGCTCGATATTGTTGACGAGAGCTAGTATGCTCCACTATCTCGCTCTGCTCGATAGTATCGCGCTCAATAGTGTCGCGCTCCATAATGTCTAACTCTTTTTTTTCTTGTTATTTTGCAACCAATAACCAATATTGAGACTGTTCCATGAAGCAGATATTCATTGCATTCTTAAACATTGTATCGGCGCTTAAGATTCTCCAGCAATTCAACGAGAAAACGCATCTCTATCCAATCGATAAACTCTCTTCATTAAACCTTATCCATGAGTATTATCAACTGATTAAAGAGATAGAATCGTACCATCTTTCTAACTTGTCAGTTCTTCATATACCAAGTACAAAATCAGTGATATTCAATGAATGCATCCTTTCTCCCGAAAAACCGCCGAAATTTATTGAGCTCAGCTATGAGAATATGACAATAACAAACTCTTCGCATGATATACAACTGCAACTGTCTTGGTCGTCATCATGGATTCCAATTAGTGATTGTGTAACCAATCACGCTGGTGACAAAGCTACGTACAAACAAACATGGTATATCGAGTTAGATTTCGGATTCGATTTTCGTCTCACATATGGCGGGTTTTTCGTCAATTTGGGTCCTTCGTTGAAAAATGAGTTTATTATAGGAAAAGGAATAGGTGGAAGTTATACATGTGATGTGAATCCTCAAAACACTTTACAATTTGTAATTATGTTTCAAAGATTTCTAATTGACGGTGTTCAATATAGAAGTGTTCTCAAAAGGAAAAACAAAAAAAGAGTAAAGTTTGGTAAATGGATCCCATTCACTACTTTCGAACAAATTGAGAGAAATAGTATACAGATTGCTTGCTTTACTGATCCCCGATACTTGCAATGTAAAAATTGAAAACAATAACAAAAAGGAAAAAAAAATAAGCTCAATGGGTATATTCACATCTATATATATATATATATATATATATATATTTACTCTTCTAAATCATCTCCACTCAACGTAAATGGCTCAGGCAATGAAGCTTCGGTTATATTCAACTGTCTTACTGTTTTGATAAACTCGAATTCTTCCTCAGGTTTAGTATCCTGCAAGACTATTATGCTTCCGGCACCTTTGTATTTCCTAACTGGAATGAACCTATCATCTTTGATAAATGAAACATAAGGCGCTTGCTGAGGTAATACCCTTGATAAGTTTTCAATTTTATATGGGGTCTTAGTATAACGTACAGTGACAGGTTGTTGCAGCTGCTGGTGTAAAGATTCCTTCTTATCATCTTTACTTTCATCCTTATCAATCTTTTTATCTCCAGTTTTCTTTTCTTCATTGGGCTTATTCTCCTCCTTCTTCTTTTCCTTATCAATATCCATTTTATCCTCATCTTTCTTTGATTGTTTCTTCTTGGCTCTATTTTTTGCTTTTACTGTTGTCGACAACACAGCAGTAGCTAGCTTGTCTGGCTGTTTCTCTTTAGACTCTTCAACTTTAGGAGGATACTGGAAATACTCAGGGTTTGTATGACAATTTAACTCAAACTTGGGTATTTTCAAATCTTCGCCTCGGACTCCAATAATCGAAGTGGGTGTAAACGACAACGACAAGAAATGCGCTAATGGGAACCAATACCACGATTGCACAAATATCGCTAATCCAACAATGGCCCTCGTGTTCAAAGTACTTGTCAGTGCATTTTCAACGTTAATTGTTACATTTCTTCCACCAGCATCTATTATACCTTGCGCCAATGTAGCACCAAATTTGGCCAATGCATCTTCATGCTTATTCTTAATAGTATCAGCATATTGTGTAGTAAACTCTTTGACTTTTGGATAAATAAACTCATTTTGTTCAATCAAAATCATGGCTGTGGCCATCATTGCACCTTGCCTAACAAAGTCCACTGGATCTTTTGTTAACAGTTCTATCACTTCAATTGCTGGTGCATATGCTCTTCCGACACACGAAATTCCCAAGGCAAGAGCTGTTCCATACCTTACATGTGGATTATGTGATTGCGATAGCAAACTTACCAACTGTGGTGCTGCAGTATAATCACGAATTAAAACAAATCCTAAATTCAAAACCGATGCTCTTCTCACATCATCACTTGGATCAGATACAGCATAATGCAAAAGCTTTTTGATGGCCGTTTCACTTGCAGTACCTGCAAACGCCAAACCAATAGTAAACGCACCCCCGTATCTCAAAATAGATGACTCTTGACTCATCAAATCGTCAATGATATAACTTGCTTTACTTTCACGACCATATTGCAACAAGGCTATTCCTATAGACAAGGCCCTAATGATATTCTCATGTTGGGTTTCCAATGCATATGTGAGCATATCATGAGTAGCTGCTTCATCGCCTGACCCAAGCTTCACCAAACCCATACCATAAGCAGCCGCTTGTGATGAGATTGCTGAGTCGGAATAAAGTACAACTTTCAAAGATTCATACAATTCTTCCGATTTGGAGCCCATTCCTGCAACACCAGCACCTAATGAGGCACCATGAAGTTGAACATCAACATCATTCGATCCTGAGGCATTGCCATTGTCATCGATAAAACTTTTCAAAAATCCAGTAACTTCTCGTCCGTGGCCGGCAAATATTAAACCTAGAGCAAATAATGAACCGCCTTTAGTATGTGCGGCACTTGTTGATCCAGGCAAATATGGTTTTAAAATAGTACGACCTTGCGATAAATTCCCCATGTGGATAACACCAAGTGCTGCTGTTGCCGAGAATTTCGACCAGTTCGTAGCTCTTCCTAGCCATTCCAAGTTTTTCCTGAAAAAGGAGTCGTCAGTGGTACCAGCGTGCATATATGCATTGGCAAATGTCACTGCTGAATGGAAAACTGAGCTTCGGCCATCTAATAAATTCTTGGTCTTGTTCAATATGGAAATATCGGTATTATTGTTTTTATAAAGAAACGTATTGTCAAAATCGCAAGTTGGAACTCCCGACAAGATGTTTAAAACCTTTTTGGTGCTGGTGCTGGTGCTGGTGCTTAAATTATCGTCAGAGTTTGATGATAATGACTCTATAACATCATCCAAAAGCTCCTGAGTTGCGGTATGCACCAAATCAAAAGCAACTTGGTATGCAATCAACTGTTGTCCCTCTTTAGCCATCAATTTTTCAAACAACATGATTGCCAATTGTGAGTCGTTCAACTGTACTATGATCTTGGTGATGGTGAAAAAATCTTGGTGTTTTTTCAATGACAACAATAACGTTATTAATGAGTTCAAAACTTGGATTCTAAAGATGGCATTAGTTGTTGTAGAGTTTGTGCATACCAAAATGTAATTTATCAAATTCAATCCATTCTCTTCATTTTGAGCAATTTGGTCTTTCAAGATAGATTCAACCAAGTCCAACCTATATGACTCCAAAGCGATTCCCAAAGTCAATTTGACTTCGTTTGCTTTTAGACATTTTTCCAACATTTTCTCATAAATCACTTGTAATCTGGGGTCTATATTCACCAGTTTGTTTTCAAACTTCTTCTGGGACAAGGAGTTATACAAATTGATACATTTACTAACAATTGTCTCCATATATTGCGATTGCTCCTCTATATCAAACTCGTCGCCGGCGGCTAATGAATATTTCACCGAGGCATCGAAATCTCCCAAATTGTAGTAAACCTTGGAAATCACCAATGCCGCCAAGGCTCGCTTTTCAAACAGCTCGTCTTGATACAACTGTTTAAGGTCAGCTATCTTATTTGCAATTTCGGCCCATAACCTATCCACGACATCGTTCAATGACAATAATGCATACGACTTTAAAGTATTGTCTGCTTCACCAAGAAGCGCCAAATAGGGAGCCGCTGAAACCAAAGCCATTTCAAGCAACTAAACAAGAGACAAATCAAAAAAAAGATTGAGCAACAATAACCTATTTCAACTGGGGTTCCTTCCTTCCAACTTATTCCCAAGCCGGAAAATGCCTTGTCAACTTGATTATGGTTTATTGCAAGGTTTTTTCCTTGCACTTATATTGCCACCAGTGGTTTCTTTAAGTGGCATTTTTCACTACTGATGGATTTGTCGTGTGTGCACTACCCTCATCTGGATTCTACACTACTATTCCTCTACTGTGTTCCTCTACTACTCTACTGTGTTCCTCTACTACTCTACTGTGTTCCTCTACTACTCTACTGTGTTCCTCTACTACTCTACTGTGTTCCTCTACTACTCTACTGTGTTCCTCTACTACTCTACTGTGTTCCTCTACTGTGTTCCTCCACTACTCTACTGTGTTCCTCTACTGTGTTCCTCCACTACTCTATTGTGTTCCTCTACTGTAGCCCTCTACTGTATTCCTCTACTGTATTCCTCTACTGTATTCCTCTACTATATTACTACTACTATACTACTACCTTACTCTACTAATTAGTGTCTTCACTCATTATTGATAGTCAGTGTTGCTCCACTATCTCGCTCTGCTCGATAGTGTCGATTACTCTACTAATTAGTGTCTTCACTCATTGTTGATATCCAGTGTTGCTCCACTATCTCGCTCTGCTCGATAGTGTCGATTACTTTACTGTATTACTGCATTATACTATATTACTGTACTATTTACTCTATTATATTACACTCCTCCTTATCTACCACTAGTATATTAACACTACTGTTATATGTTGACTATAGTATTACAATTATATGTCGATTATAGCGTTTTTTTATCATCGTAATCACTTCTACTACTTGTTACGATACTATCAAGCAACATTATCGAGCAACATTTAGTAGTGGAGCACACTGACTAGCTGCCACGGATAATTTGCAGCTTGTTACAACAATATCTAGCTTTGCTCGATAATGTCGATAGTGTCGATATTGTCGATAGGGTCGCTTAATACAACAACCGGGTAGCAATCTTATACGGAGTTTGCTCCAATTGCTCGTAAAGAGATTTGATATCGCTGATATCGACATCAGAAATATCAGCCATTAAATAAGCAATATCACCCTGAGAATCACTAAATTGTTTTTCAATATTATGGTTGGACAAAATATTGTTCACCGTTTTCAAAACACCAGGAACATTGTGGTGGATGTATAGTACTCTAACAACATTCTGCTGATCCAAATCTAATGGTCTCAACGATACTTCTGGGAAATTGACTGCTCCTTGTGAATTACCCTCGTTAACGTATTTCGATAATGCATTAGCAACTTCTACACCAATGGCAGATTGCGCTTCCTCTGTAGACCCGCCAATATGTGGCGTCAAAATAACATTTCTCAATGATGTCAACTCACTTGCCCACTCATTCAAATCATCACTGAATAATCCTTCGCCATTCTTAGCAGGCTCATGAGGATAAACGTCCAATGCAGCTCCACCAATCTTACCGGCCTTCATAGCTTGGACCAATGCTGGTATATCAACAACAGTACCTCTAGAGGCATTAATCACATAGGCACCATCCTTCATAGCAGCAAATTGAGGTGCACTCAACAAATTCTTGGTGTCTGCAGTAGCCGGTACGTGCAAAGTAACAAAATCAGCCCTGTTCAATAACTCATCCAAGGTTGAAACTTGTTTCGAATTACCCAAGGACATAATGGTCATTATATCGTAGTAAATCACATTCATACCCATTGCCTCTGCAAGAACAGATAACTGTGATCCAATATGTCCATATCCGACAATCCCCAAAGTTTTGCCTCTTATTTCCCAGCATTTGGCACTAACTTTATTCCATGTACCAGTATGCATTTCAAGCGACCTATCACCCAATTGTCTTGCCAATGTAATAATCTCGGCAATGATCAACTCAGCAACTGATCTCGAGTTGGAAAAGGGGGAGTTGAAAACAGCAACACCAGCTTTTGCTGCAAAGTCCAAATCAACTTGGTTGGTACCAATACAGAAACATCCAATAACAACTAAATTTTTGGCAAATTTCAACACTTTTTCAGTTAATCTGGTTTTGGATCTAATACCAATAGCATGTACATCTTTAATTTTCTCAATCAACTCTTCTTCTGGTAACGACGATTTGTAAAATTCAACTTGGTATCCTTGACCCTTGAAAATGTTGATAGCTGTTTGATTAACATTCTCTAATAATAGTATCTTGATATCTCCAGTAGAAAATGGTTTTAATGCTTTTGTTGCTTTGGAAGGAACATACTGACTCAAATACGATTGTGTTGGAGAAGTGGAAACAGCATTGGGAGAACCTGAAAGATTCAATGCTTGCTGAAAGCTATTGACTATTTGTTGTGGCATAGACATATTTCAATCTGGATAGTTAAACCTAACAAGTATAGACACACAGATTTGATTATCTATCTATCTATCTATCTATCTATCTATATACTGTAGTGAAATTTTTTTTTTTTCAGTGAGTAATCAAGGTAACATTTCACTCCAAGTCACCTGATATGACATCTACAAGAAAAATTTCAAGTTTCATTGTGGAAAACCACTATCGAGCAGAGCGAGATAGTGTCAATGACAGCTAGTGTGCTCCTCCACTATCTCGCTCTGCTCGATAGTGAATAAAAAAAGTTTAGATTCTAACTACCAAGTAGTTTGAATCTATCTCGCCTGATCCTTACTTTTGTATTTCAATTACGCTTTGCAGTTACTGTTTCTGGTCTAGTATTGTGTGCAAAAAGTGTCAGTGGTGTCTATTTAACTTCTGTATTCTTTTTAGTATCGGTAGCGCAATAATCTTGTCACTATCGAGCAGAGCGAGATAGTGGAGCACACTAGCTGCCACCGACACTATCGAGCAGAGCGAGATAGTGGAGCACACTAGTTGCCACCGACACTTTTAATTATATATATGGCACCCTTTCATCATGAAAAATGGCACCCTTCAATTATGATAAATATTCTACGTAAATGAATAATTATACAATTTGCTTTATTTGACAGTGCCCAATAGCCGCGTATTCGGTGAGTATTTATCACATCTTCTCTACATCTACTTCCAATTCAAATTGAAACAAATTTGAACGTATATATATTCGGTAGTATTGACTCTAATTGATCAGTATCTGTGTAGTCAATGTATTGATATATTTTTTTAATCTAAATTGATACAAAAAAATCTCAATCAAGGGATATTAATTAATACTAATAAATAAATCATAAATCGAATAATCTCGTAAAGATAAGTATATGTCATTAATTATTAATAACCTCATACTGTATCCAATTAATCGGCTTTTATTGACACACGGGTTTAGTTGAACTTTGTTTACTTTCCAACCAAAAATTGATCCCTGTTCCTGCAAGTAGTAAGTGATTTGCGCCGCCCCCCCTGAAAAGTAAAAAGAATACCCCTGTTTTCTCAAACCCTGTTTTCTTAAAGCAAAAACTCGCGCGCAAAGGAAAGCATCACATGTAGAGAGAGCAACAAAGAGAGTTCTAGTGGGGGTAGGGGGAAGGAGGGGCTATAAAGTTCAGGGGGTTCAGGGGGTTCGAGTTGGGGTTGGGGGAAGGGGGGGGCGGGGGGAAAGGTCAAAATAAATTCAGCTGAGTTTTCCATAATAATGCAACTTTGAAACAATTTCAATAAAAGAAAGAAAAAAAAAAATTAGACCAGAGAAAAAGCGTGTTTTGAAATGTTTGATACAAACCAATTTTCTTTTGACGAGCTATGTCTATAGCGCCCCCCCTTAACTAAACTAATCTTTTTGATTCTCTGACCATCACCCCATCCTTTTAACCGCCTTCTTTTTACATTTTCTTTTTTTTGTAATTAGGCTTGGGCTTGTTTAAGTGGAAAAAAGTGTCCCTTATACTTTTTTTATCATTATCACTGTTGTTGTTGTTGTTCATATAGATCTGTCTTTATCAAGTTACTTGCATCAACACTTTTCCAACGCTTCTTGCTTGAAAGTTTTTTTTTTCTTTCTTTTTTGTTCTAGAGGGGTGTGGGTGTAATCAGTGTGTGCGTCTCCCTGGAATAAATTGAGATGTCGCGCGTAGTCTCTTTATTGGGAGACGACGAGGTATTATCTAATCATGAATTTTCAGTAAGTTCAACTAGAAGTAATACGCCAACGCCATATAATTTTCTAACGCCCACGAATACGGGAATTTCCAGCAATAGTCCCTTTGATTCCAGTAGTGCCAATTTCCACAACATCAAAGTGATTTGTCGTTTTAGACCTGAGAATGAGTCTGAATTGAAGAGAGGTCACCAAATTGTTAGTTTCCCCAATGCGCAAACTGTATGTGTAACTGGTGCTAATTTCACAAACCATTTCACATTTGACCGAGTATTTCAACCAAATGCATCTCAAGCTGATGTGTACCTGTTTTCCGTTGGCGAAACTGTGGATTGTTTGTTAAACGGGTATAATGGCACTGTATTGGCTTATGGCCAGACTGGTTCTGGTAAGACTTATACAATGTTGGGAAATCCCATGGACGAGGAAATGATGGGGATAATACCCAGAATATGGCATGAGTTGTTTGAAAGGATTCTCACTATTGATGAATATACTATACATGTATCATTTTTAGAAATTTACATGGAACAGATTAAAGATTTGATGACCGAGGATAAGGAAGTTTGCGACCAGAGCAGATATACAATACACGAGGATAAACATCTAGGACTAGTAGTCAAAGGTATCAATCGCAAACAAGTTAACAACGTAATGGAAGCAATGGATATTCTCAATAAAGGGTTAAAATTGCGAGCTACATCTCCAACGGATATGAATTTGGAAAGTTCGAGGTCTCACACTATCTTGCAAATCCAATTATCTCAAAAAGATATAAACACTCAAGTGACAAAGAGGTCCAATTTATTCCTAGTAGATTTGGCGGGCTCGGAAAAAGTGAATAAAACTGGTGCTCAGGGACAAACCTTGAAAGAAGCTCAAAAGATAAATCTGTCACTTTCTTCATTAAGTAATGTAATCAATGCTTTGACTGACGGCAAATCAACTCATGTTCCATATCGAGATTCAAAATTAACAAGAATTTTACAGGACTCGCTTGGTGGTAATTCAAAAACTTCATTGATCATAAACTGTTCACCTTCATCAATAAACGAGTTGGAAATACTATCAACGTTAAGATTTGGAACAAGAGCTAAAACAATTAAAAATCACGCACGTGTAAATGTAGAATTGAGTCCTGAAGCAATGAGGCTGAAGTTCCAACAATTGGAAAAGACCAACGAGTCTAACCAGATTTACATCAAGCAATTGGAAGATGAATTAACCCACTACAAATATGGCCCAGAAGTTAACGGGGAAATAATAAACTCTCCACTGTTGTATTCTTTACGAAGAACTAGTACAGCCGGTAGCCCTTCTCCTTCTTCAATAAATGCTACCTCAAGATCAATAAGACAATCAAAAAGTTTTGCTTTTGATACTCGAATACCCTTATTACTACAGAACCTGCTATTGCTATCATCATCACCCTCACGCCCCTCACGACCTCCAACACGACCTCCACACAGTATGGATTTGCCCGCCATCCCTGGCACCACGACTACGATGACCACCTCCACTACTACCGTTCTCAACATAGACAATGAGTTGTTGCGTCGAGACGAAAAGATTAAAGAATTGGAAAATACTGTTTTGAACCTTAAAATGCAAAAGCTAAGGAATGCACATTATGAAGAAAGCAAGTTATTTTCTTTGGAGAATTCTCTACATAACATAAGCGCTAAATTGAATGAGGTTGAAATGATCAATGCCAATTTACGCAAACATTTGTTAATTAGTGAGAAAATAATTGAGAGTAGAGATGACAAGATTATTAAATTGAAATTTGCATTGAAGGAGCAACAGATGTTGATAAACAGAGAAACACTAGGATTTAAAAATCGATTGGGAGAAATTCATTTGAAATTAGCCGATTTAAGCAAGTTTAAAGAAGAGGAAATGATGATTAAACGACAAACTTTGCTATTACAACAAGAGCAACAAAAACAACTTACACTAGCACGACTGAGGAGTACACAAGGCGATGGTGGTGATAGTGGTGATAGTGGTGTTGGTAGTGTTGATGTTGATGTTGGTGGTGATGGTGATAGTGGTGATAGTGGTGGTGGTGGTGGTGGTGGTGGTTACAGTGATGATGGTGGTGATGGTGATGGTGGTGATAGTTATGATGGTAGTGATAGTGGTGGTGATGATGGCGGCGGCGACGTCTCATCTGTGCAATTGATTAGGAACGGCAATGCGGTACATATGATTGACACAGAGTCTGTGGTTGATTTTGGTGATCAGGAAACAATTTCAAATATTAGTCCTGATCCCGACCTTCTTGATTCATCAACTGATAATTTACCTCAAAAGAACTTTGGTTTAGCGGTAAATGGTACCCACCAAGTTGGAACTACTTGTTCCAACGCAAATTATAAGGGAGAGGGCTTTTTCATTTATGCATCGGAAAAACTTGATTCTCCATCTTCCAATGAGGAAGATGAGGAGGACGAGGACGAGGAGGACGAGGACGAGGACGAGGACGAAGAGGAAGAAGAGGAAGACAAAGACAAAATGGAAAAGAAGGAAAAGAAGGAAAAGAAGGAAAAGAAGGAAATAAAGGAAAAGAAGGAAAAAAAGGAAAAGAAAGAAAAGGATGGTTCAAACTATATTACAGTAAATGGTTTTCAAATTGAAAATAAACGAAGATCTACGTTATCAGCAAAGAGTATGAAATCAAATACTACTACAATCACGTCATCATCCATGGCAACAATAATACCCGATAAAGTGGAACAGACTTACGAGTGTAACACATCAATTATGTTTAAAGACAATCTAAAAGAAAAGAAACATAGTAGCAAAAATGGTAAAGTTTCTTTGAAATTGCTCAATTTGAAAAGCAATAAACCGTTGAAAACGGGATCAAAGAGGACGATGTAAGGAGTCAGTCAGTCAGTTGTTCTCTCACTCAATATAGTTGCATAGGTACAAAACAGAATAACAACAGGGACTTTATTGAACTCCAGTCATATCTCTCATGAATCGTAGTAATCTCTATTAGATTGCAAAAAAATCTTGGTGTTTTTTTTTCCCTTCTTTATTTACTACTCCTTCTTGTAAAAATCAAAAAGGGTATAAAGTCGCAAGCCGCATGAAGTTATCGCCATATATATATTTCCTTGGGTACTTAATTTCAATAGTCCTAACTGAAGAGAACCAATTTACAAGACGTGCTGTTGGTTCAGATGAGCTAATAGAGTCCTATACCTTTCATAACGAAAGTCATTTTCAAGAATCTCAATTATGGCGTAATTTAACTACTAAAGTTGATATGGATATGGAATTGGAATTGAATACTACTACAGATGCTACCATAACCATTCATTTCAACAATACAAACACAACATATGTCCTTGTCTCATTGCATCCACTCAAGTTTCAGGAGATTGATCCCGGTATTTTTGCCAAGACTTTTTTTTCAACAACAGTACCGCTATCAGGATGTCTTCGGATGATTAATGATACTTCGAGCATAACACATATCGAAGCAAGAGATATAACATTAACGGACCCACCACATATCCTGTTTGGGATTAATGTTCTTTTATCTACATTGAGCTATGATTTTGGTTTAGATGGAACAGGGGCAAAGTTTGGCTTGAGCAATACAATGATATGTCGGGGTACAAATGACCAAACTATACAAATATTGAAAAAAATGAGGTACATTTCTTTGCCCGAGGCTCGAGTTAGAAATCTACTGTGGGACAAGAATGGAAAATGGACAAAAGAAAAGTGGCAGGGATTATATACTTGGTATAAATTTAAAAAGTTGGGACTATTGTTTTTCAATATGAATGAATTGAAGTATGAAAAGCCGTATTGTGAAAGTCGACCAGAGTATCTACAATGTCAACTGCGCTTGAAGGAGTGAAAAGACAAAAAAACAAAGGAGAAAAAAGAAAGAGGTTATGGGTAAAAATGGTAGGACTAACAAAATTGCATTTCATTAATATTCTTTTATTGTTTCGAAATATATCAATTAAGCATTACAAACGGCGGTGTACAAGACAACCAATTCCAAAACGGCGGTTGAACCATCAGATAAAATGGTATCGGTAGTAACTGTTTTAGTTGCATAATCTCCATCGGGAATGTCTGTTGAGATAGTGGTACGATTTGGTGCAACAGCAGATACATCTGACGATGATGATGATGATGGTGGTGTAGCAAAAGTAGTTGATAAGGGAGCAGTAGAAGTAGCAGTTGTTGCTGGAACTGCACTAGTAACTTGAGGGACTTGTTGCGACGATCCTGATGATGCATTAGCACTAGCGCTTGGCTCTTCAGTGGGTTCAGATGCTGAACTATCGTTAGTTGATGGTTCAGCAGGTGTAGCAGTAGCATCAATTTCTCTTGTGACTGTGACGTATAATGTAGTTGAAGTCAAAGCTCCGGCTTCGTTGGTCCAGATATATACATCACCGTATACATCTACTACTGCAGGAATAGTTGTAGTTGCAACAACAGACGGTGTTGTGGTAATAACAGTAGTTCCGTCGTACGAAGTTGTATCTTCAGTTTCACCACGAACAAACGAATTAGCTGCCACCAAAAGCAACGAGACCAATTTAAGCGAAAGCATTATTCCTCTATATATCCTTGTTGATTTACCAAACCAAAATTGAAACCAAGAAAGAAGAGACTACAAGTTTCTAGAAAAAGCTGATAAGCAAATTATCAAGAAACTGTTATAAATATATACTTTCATGCAAGTAAACTTTCTACCATTGTTGTCCAAGAAGGAAATGCATAGCCAGTAACTTTTACAGATTTATTGGAGTCCTATAAAATAAACCAACTAAACAAAATAGAATAAAAAAAAGAAAAACTTGTTAGCGAGAGAGAGAGAGAGAGAGAGNAGAAAAAAAAAAAAAAAAAAAAAAAAAAAAAAAAAAAAAAAAAAAAAAAAAAAAAAAAAGCATCACCAACATATTTCCTCTTAAAAATAAACGCCGAGTACCTAAACCACTAGATTTTTCTTCTCTTAGTGCTTTTAACTCAAACTTGTTTCTTTAGAAATCAAAAAAGAATCGTGTTTGGTAGATTTGGTGTTTTCTTGGTGAGATTTTTCCATTTATTTTCTATCTGTAAAGAAAGCAAAACATAATACTTACACAAAAAGGAGATCTAAAAACTGTATCGGATCGCTACCGAATAGAGCCAGCACTAAAATAATATGTAACAGTAATAGAAGCAAATAACAAGTTAAATGAGAAGCAAATAACAAGTTTAATGAGAAGCAGGCAGTAGCAGGTTGATGAGGCCCCTCTTTTTTTTTAATTTTCTGGGTAAGCTAAAGCCATTTTCGATTAAAGCTTACTCTTTGGTTAAAAGTCGTTGTTGATACTTTTGTCTATGATAAACTCATATTCTCAAGAATAACAGATTCAATTCCTCCAAAATCCTCCTTTTAGTTGTCCAAAAGAAACAACTAAAAAAAACCCATATATATAAAGAGTAAACTATTAGTACCACGCTATTTTGTTTTCTTCTCTTTGTTACTTCTATATGACTTTATTAAGAATTAGATGAAAGACATCTCTTTTGAATGAAGCAATGGTGAAAAGCGCCGATACTTGAAAATACCTTTGAACTGGAGAGCACTCATAATACCAAACTTGTCCAACAGCAACCTCATCTCCCCTTTTTTCGTATCGTACCCACGGGTGCAAATTAGCATATGTCAACCCCCCCCACCCCCAAATATGCTAATTTGGCACCTATCAACCAGCTCATGCATGTGGATGTCCCACCACCAAACGCCGCATTTTTATATACCTACAAGACGTTTTCATGCAACAATAAGATGTGAAATTACTAAAAAAGTAAAAGCTAAAATCCATTTCCGCATTGAAAACCATCTAGTGTAATTTCGCGAAAGAAAAGTAATACATATTTTTTTTTTGTTTCTTTTCTTGACCACGGAAAAATCAAAATCACCTTTAATTGGTCTGGAATTTTTGGGGGGTAGTGGAAAGATGAAAAGACTGTTCTTGGTGGTATTGTAAAGAAGTAGAGACTGTTCTTGGCTTGTGTATATAAGAGAGAGGTTTCTAATAAAATGTTGCACTGTGAACTTACCAGCCATCTTGGGAAAAAAAAATTTTTACTGTATTATGTATATACTCGGTAGTAATTTTGGGCATCAATGAAAAATAACAAACAGTATGCACAAAGTTGGGATGTTAGTAACAAAGCTCTTTTGATATTTGACAGAGTACTTATTCACGATAAATACGAAATATTCTAGATGCAAGATGCAACAGATGCAATAAATACATGAGACTAATTTGGCTTTCAACTTGAAGCTAGTATATTGAGTATTTAGAGTGCCACATTATAGGCTATCGAGCAGAGCGAAATAGTCTATATCTACTCTTTCTATAAACTATCAACAACGCGACATTATAGGCTATCGAGAAGAGCGAGATAGTCTATATCTACTCTCTCTACAGACAATCAAGAGTGCGCCATGAACCACGGAGCCTATAACGCCATGAACCACGGAGCCTATGGCGCCATGAACCATCAAGGTATCAGCGAGCCATGAACCATACATATCAACAGTGCGCCAATACTGGTCAAATGATATCTTTCTCAACCAATTTTCTCCAATAGAGCAACAACTTCTACTTTAATTCGCATCTTTTCCCAACATCTTCAACTGCGCTTTCCAAAGTAGGAAACTCCTTAATCAACTTCTCACTCAATACGTTTCGCAACTGTCCAAACCCTCTCATTTTCCCCTTTAGTCTGGCATTCAATTTTGCACTCACCTCTACAAATTCCCTCGTATAAATATCAGGATTTCTTCCATCTTCGATATAAGTAATCACATCTACCGGTATGAGGTAATCCTTCAATAACTGCTCATCAGTGTTGGAGATTTGCTTCAATTGTTTTGCTAAAGTTTGCATCTTGTTGGTAAGTGCAAAGTTGGATTGCTGGGTGCCTTGATTATCATGTACTAGTATTCCCAATTCAATAAATGATTCAATCAAGTTCGATACTTGGTCTAAAAGTTGAATTAAAGGGGCATTACTGCCATTTGGTACAATCTGAGTCGTCGTCATGAGTCCCAATACTATCCCTACAAACCTTTTACAATTTCTCTCACTGGCAAACTGTAGCTGTCATAACCTCCATTTGTAGAAGTTGAAGTTTTTTCCTTGTTTCAATTCTCTCTCATTTTTTTTTTCTTTTTTCTTTTTTGGCAACTTGCCTCGTAAGGTATTCATATAACTAGAACTTGATCCCTCCTTCTGGATATTCAAGGGTTACAATGATAGTGACTATAAGGTATAACAAGGCCAAATACGAGTCATTTGAAAATAGGTATAAGAAGGACAATTCTTTTGTCCCCCCCACCTCTCTATCCAATAATCAACTGATTGAACTGAAGAGAAGAAAAACTCGTGCTAATATTGATCAAACATTTACAAGTATAGGTCAAATTGGCAAAAACGAAAACCACGGCTATGATAAAAAGCCTTTTAGTGATCCTACACAAGAAGTTACGGGAAATATAACGGGACTGCAGCTGCAGGTGCTTGAAGCCCCACCTCCATCACCACCTCGACCTATCACACCATCGAAAATTGTTAAATTCTACTATAATGGTGGTACCACCAGCACCAGCAAGATCAGCCCACATCGACTTAATAACGACAAAACTCTAGAAAACAACATTTTCAATCTGGATATAAGCAATGACAATTCAATCGCGGTACTTTTCCCCAAGACTCAACGCAAAATTGCGCGGATAGTATACCCCCATACACCAGGAGGAAGAGGAGGAGGAGGAGGAGGAGGAGGTACGACACCAGATACATACAACGTTCCGAGTTCGGTAAACACACCCGGGAGCAATGTCAGCACAAACAATTTTACTGTGACCACGGAAGAAACAACAGCGATGGTATCTGTGCTGTCGCCTGGCCTTTTAAATTTATCTGATTCTTCGTTATCTTCAGGATCATCATCGTCGGCCCACTCACAATCATCATCGTCGGCCCACTCATCATCACCATCAGGTCACTCGTCGCCTATCAAATACCAACCACAATCGCTGACGCCTACTTGTGAAAAAGCGATAGACAAGATGGATAAGTATAGTGATGTTGTGAATTACATTGCTGATAATGAAGGAAAGGATACAATTCAGGCATTACGAGAAGCTGAAACAGAGTGGTTAAAGAACTTGGTTGTTGTTGCTAATCGGTTGAATTATTTAAAGGACTTGTATAAGGTTGTTGAGGTTGTTAAAAAGAAGAAATTAGGCGAAGAAACGTTGCTGGATTAGACTTGAAAAAAGCAGCTAGCTACAGAAGACAATGAGAGAGTATAGAAGGAAACATGACAGCACTCACATACACTCATATCCACATGCACATACACTCATATCCACATGCACATACACTCATATCCACATGCACATACACCCATATCCACATGCACATATACACATGCACATACACGAGCAAGTACCTCTTTTCAAGAAACAAGGTCTATTCATCTATTCATATATTCATCTATCATCTATCATCTATTCATTTATTCATCTATTCTAATCGATTGCGGCAAATCACACTGTTACTTGAGATATATTGGGTATAGACACGACCTCAATTTGCAACCATTAAAAAGTTTGTTAATTTTTTTTTTTTTTTTTTGGCTTTGGCTTTGGACAAAAACGGTTAAATTGGTACAAATGGTGCTGACACATTACAAGCAGGAGGTGGTGCTACAAGCGGGAGATACTACAAGCAGGAGGACATTGCAAGTATAAAAGACGATGTAACTCTTTCTAAAATATTTGACGGTATAATGAGATAGAACGTCCCTCCGTGTGTTGCATCAACCTGTCAAAAGTTTCCTTTGCTTATTCTCATCTAGGATATTAAAATTGTTTTTCAACATTCACACTTGGGGAAGGGGAGGGCCGGGGCCTTACTTACTTACTTGCATTCAGCTCAAATCAACCTCACACACACACACACACTAAAGTTGAAGAAACATTTACTTTTTCTAGTGGTGGTTTATCCTGCATATAAATCCAGACAAAAGTGAGAGCCGCGCTACCAAAAGAGCTAAGCGGTTAAAGCTTTTCTTTTTTTTTTTTTCCCTTCACACACTCACTACTAAGCAAACAGTTTATTTCAACACAAGTCAAGCCAATTTGTTTTATAACACAAGGCAATTTCTTTTACAAGTCAAGCCAATTTGTTTTACAAGTCAAGCCAACTTGTTTTAGGCTAAATATAATACTTTTGTGATATATGAAGCCGGTGGTATCCACATTTCAAGCATATTGTTGTTTCGTAACTTCTGCTTTTGGTATAGCTATATTATCGGTAATAGGATATTTGTTCCAGACCAATAGCGAGTCGTTTATGGGCTCAATTAACGATCCAACTGACGGACCGGCTGTGGCAAGAACTGTGTTTGGGGCTGTTTTTGTGTATCTAGCATTCTTTGCGTTTTGTGGACTACAAATTTTCTTGATCAAGAGACAATCGAGGATTAAATTGTGATGGCTCTTAGAGGATCAAATTGTGATGATTCTTAGAGGATCAAATTGTGATGATTCTTAGAGGCTCAAATTGTGATGGCTCTTAGAGGATCAAATTGTGATGATTCTTAGAGGCTCAAATTGTGATGATTCTTAGAGGCTCAAATTGTGATGATTCTTAGAGGCTCAAATTGTGATGATTCTTAGAGGATTAAATATATGATAAATTTAGAATCAGATAAAATAGGTGTTATTCTATTTGGTTTTGACTTTGGTTCCTTTTTTTTCCTTTTTTTTTCAACTTGGTACGATTTATAAGTTGGGTTTACTTACTATACCGGTTTTCCATTTACATATTTCCAATGCCAAACTTTTAGTGTCCATTACTTCTTCCTTTGTAGCACCATTGTTCAAAGCACCTTTGAGATACCCTTTTAATTGAGGCTGAACGTCCTGTGGAATAAGACAAGCAATAATCACCAAGGATGTCTTTTTAGATGTTAATATATGGTTATAACTTAGCAAGTAAGAGTATACGTGATTGTTAATATAGTACCAAAGATCAGGATATGCATTAAGCATTTGTTTCCTTATTCTCACACCTAGGTTTTTCGAAAACACCGTGTTCCATAATCTTGATCCTTCTAACAAATCGGACTTTACTTGTTTCACATTGACTGACTTGGGCGTGATTTGACCATCAATTGTGTCTGTTGCTGCCGCCGCTATCTCCTCACCACCACCGTTAAAATAGTTTATTTGACTGGGTCTTTTTGGGGTATTCTCAACGAGTCTAGTTGGAGTAGCTGCTCTTAATAGCGTTAACGCATTTATCACCTTGGGTAACCCCACCATCGAAACGAGTTTCAAAATAACTTCTCTCATTTGATTAACAATAAATTGTTGTTTCTTCAAAACATCCTCTCCGCGATTATACTTGTAATTCAAGGGTATCTTTTTATAGTAGGTTACAGGAATCAAGATATCGGGAATTTTCACTCCTGTAGAATACATTTTGACACAAGCTTTGCTTGACGATATCGAATCCTCGGCTAATCTTAACAAATACTCATCACTTATAATTTTTTCTTCATCGTTGCAAAATTCAAACAATTGCTGTCTAAGAGCAAAATGCAAAACTGCTGGAATCTCTTCAACAAGATTCAACTCTAACAACGTAGCTGTAGCAATTAAATACCATGTATTGTGAATATGTGGATAATGATAGGCTATTTTTAGCAATCTCTCTGGCGTGATAAGCGACATTGCGAAAGAAAAGAATTTCAAAGCTAAATTGTATATGTATATATATATATATATATATATATATATAGATATAGATGTATATTGTGTACCGTTGGTAGAAGGTTGCCTACGCAAGATGGTTTACACCAGATAAGTTGTATACAAGGTAATATTTATCATCATCTTCTTCGCGGGTCAATTTGATTGTTCTCCTTTAAATCTCCATGTTCTTTTGTTAACCGCTGATGAGGGAAAAAAAAAAATCGAATAAAAACAATTTACTATTCAAAATCTGGGGTAATAGACTAGACGAGATGAAGGAAGAGAAAGAAATGAAGCAACAAAGAATATGCGAGTTACAGGAGGTTACAATTTTGCCACGCTCTCTTTGCCACCCTTCCATTTTGTTCCGCCAGACCAGTCGCAAATGTTAAACACCATAGATCTTATATCGTTCAACTCTTCTTTAGTAGCACCATTATTCAAAGCTCCCTTCAAGTGTCCTTTCAATTGAGGGTTGACATCCTGAGGAATTAAGCAAGCAACAACACACATTGAAGTTTCTTTGGCCGATATTATTTGGGTATAACTCAATAGTGGCGCGTAGACATGTTCATAAGCGTAATGCCATAAATCAGGATAGGCAGTCAACATTTGATTCTTTACCCTTAAGCTGATCTTTGTATATACAGAAGTCCAGAACCTTGAGCCTCTAATCAAATCTTGGGCTATTTGTTGTTTGTTTATCGAAGATTCTGAAATTGGCCCATTCACCGTATCTTGTAAAAAATCACCATCGTCATCATCGTCCTTGTCAAATTTGGTGCCAAAAACGTCTTCACTGATGATCGATGCAGATGGCATATACCCGGGTCGTACAATACAGGGACGCTCAGGATATATTCCTGGTTTCAAATTGGATGGAGTAACTGTTTTCAAAACCATTAATGCATTAATTGCTTTAGGTAAGCCACTAAGCGCAACACTTTTCAATATAACTTCTCTAAACCTCGAAGTCAAGTGATCTTGCATTTGATGTATATCTTCATTTTTCGAAAATTTGAACCGTAATGGTAATTCTTGGTAGTATCCATGTGGGATCAAGATATCAGGTAAATTGACGCCAACTGCCGAGAGATCCTGATATTTCTTAGCAGAGCTTATCGAGTCTTGCGCTAGTTGAATCAAGTAATGATTAGTTAAAAGACTAGGTGAGTCGGGAGTGCTTGAATTCGGATCTTCAAGAAGTTGTTGTCTTAGAGCAAAATGGTACAATTTGGGGATCTCTTGTGGCTGATTAATTACCGTTAAACACGCCGTGGCAATCAAGTACCACGTGTTTTGTAAGTGAGGATACCTATATGCCAAACTAACTAGTCTCTCTGCTGTCAATATACTCATTCTGTGGAAACCCTAGCTAATTAACAAAAACAGTTGGAGGTGGAGGGAGGTGGGGTGAATCAAGACCAAGACCAATTAGAAGTTGAATTAATTTTCGTTTCCAACCTGTCTGTTTTCGCGCGCTGATATCGCACCATACAACCGTACATACACAACACCACCGTACTATTTACTATCGAGCAGACCACTAGCTATAGTAATTTCTCTTTATCTCTACTCTATCGACTAGACTCGTTTCACTCGTCTAGTCAACTATTGAGCAGAGCGAGATAGTGGAGCAACACTTAGTAGCTTAGTAGCTTGTTACAACACAATCTCGCTCTGCTAGATAGTAGAGCAACACTTAGTAGCTTATTACAACACTATCTCGCTCTGCTCGATAAGTGAAACGAGTCTAGTCGATAAAGTAGAGATAGAGAGAAATCACTATAGCTAGTGGTGGCAGCTAGTGTGTTGGATGCTAAACTGTTCGCCAATTTGCCAAGCATACCAATGTATCAGGCTGATCTCATCTCCGCGATATCGTAAAGGAGACTAACGATTTGAACAAGGATTCGGAATATTTGCAAATGGCAATGGAAAATCTTCAAAATGATGTTAACAAGTTTGATGAGCAGTTTAAGCAAG